TATAAAAGAAGCAAGCACCCCCCCCTTTTTTTTTTCATTGTCAGGTGTCAGGTACACACAGACTTTGTGTGTAACTTTTTTTAATTTAGTGTAAATATCAACTTAGTTTGCAAAACAATTAAGATCATCTTATATCTCAATTCTATTCTTTTATATACATTTATCTAAGTCTACTCTAAAACTATACCTATACACACGACACAGGTGCACACAGACTTTGTTAGTAACTTTTATAGTTAATATGAATATCAAAAATAATAAAGGTTATTTTTTTTTCTCACTTATACTGCTGAGACATATACATTTATCTAAATCTGTTACTTATGCTCACAACACCATTAAATAACAAACACTTTGTAACATTCTATGCGGAAACTTTTTGATAATTTTACATTTATCTGCCAGTAACTTTTAAACGAATCAGCTCTAGTACACTGTTATGTCAAAATACAATGTAAAATTGAATCTGCCAAAGAATTACACTTTTATTGAGAATGCATCCCAAGGATGCATTTATATACTTTTCATTATGCTAGGGTTTACAGCATGATGATGAACTATAATACAAATAGGTTTACTATCTACCCAACAATTGATTTGTAAATCATGATTAGCATGATTTACCCAAAGGACCTAAGAATAGCCTAAAACCTTTAGTGTGAGACCTTGCTATGACATTTGATATAACATACACATTCAAAATAACATTCATATATTACGAACTGTTCAACAACGCGATGGCATAGTAAAAGCGAATATAGTACCACAAAGTTTCGAGAACCTAATTCCACTACAGTAGCAGTTTATGAAGATTATTATCTACAGTCTGATTGGATTATTTTGTATATTCCACACGGTCATCAAGCGATTGAGAAACAATATCTAATGAATATTGTGGCAAACATTGTATCGTATAGTATTAAAAGACAATTTTTCATGTATGTTATCTTTTTACTATCTCATGCCGTGCAATAGATAGCATCCTAGTAATAAAATTAAACAGTATGGGCCCGCTTCTGCAACAAAGGCAACATAATAAAGCGTGCTACTCTTTGGGGGGGTATTCAATGCATTCATCTTTAATAAACTCAGTAAATCTGTAAGCCATGTCTTTCTACGTGTTGTATTCACATATAATCCAGCCCAGCCTTTCATAGTATTGATCTATACGAGGGCTTGATTGTTGCGAAGCGAATATGCAAAATCGTAGTATCTAAGTAGTAAATTCGATTTCTCTCTTTCTTTATTAATAACGGATTGTTTAAAATCTACATATATATAGCAGAGTTTATTATTGTTAATGATTTGGAATGTCTACGGCGACAGCCCACAGGGTGACACCGTCGTCAAGTGTAGTGATATTGCATCTAATTCAACATTTGTGTTAAGCACAAAGAATAAAAGGATTATTATTTGTAGCTTATAAAAAATGTTCGATATTATAAAAACAAGAAAAGACTTATTTGAATAAGATCAGACAAAAAAACTAAAGATTTATTGATGAAGACAAGAGTTATTCTATTTATACTAAGTTCTGAATGCCAAAGTAGCAATTTATCTTGTACAACGCTTATCACATCTGGTGAACCTCAGTATTTAGATAGCTAAGATGCACTTCACTTATCATAGCTCGTCCATGTTGTTGCACAACACAGACATATCTACCCATCAAGAATACCTTAATCTTTATAGACAGTTGTAGCCCTTCTGGCACAACAATTTGTTAATATTAGTCCTAATCGATTTTACCGTAGCCAAGCAAAGGTGTACAACCATAGTGTTCAAGCAGCAAATTCGGGTTCTCATTTGCATTGTTAATAATAAGCTTACCAGCAACATAGGGCATCAAAATTCGCATAAATTAGTCTTACAAAATCAGTATGTCTCTTGTTGAAATTACAAGCTGCACAGGTTGCAGAGCTGCCCTTCCAGACGGTTTTAGCTACTAAAGATGTGGTTCATGCCGTGTAAATAAAAGCCATAAAGCAAAATATAACCAAATTGGACAGTTTTCAAGCCTTCATATCTTGACATGTAGACCTTTCTGAGCCACCGGAATAACGCCAAACAATTGCACTTGAGTAGTAGTAACTTTCTGACACCTTTGCTCAACTTTTTGAGAACCTAAAAAATATGGCCAAAAATCAACTAAAAAGCATGAGGTACCCCTCATGGTTTTTTACGAAAATCAAAGGATCGCATTTTTCGCCTTGAAAATAAAGACTTTTACTATGGCATATATCAAATCAAAATGTTTGTCTCGATCCAGAGCAACCTCTGAAACCACTGTTATGAGGCTTTCATATACAAAATATGGCTATTTTCGCTAAAAACTTCATTTCAAATTTTATTGAATTGCTCAATAGTTTCAATCAAAACACTCATTACAATTAGCACCGTCAGAAGCGCCTTGAAAAGTACTTCAAGAATGTATTAGGAAGCGTAGGGTGATCATCACAGTTCATATAGTCGAATACCAAAAAATAGATTAAAGAAGTCGAAAAAAGGCGAGATCTGTCCAATCTTGAGCAGAAGAAAAAATAAGCTGAGGTTGAATTAATTTTGGCGGCGGCATTGCTGATGGCTGACCTAAATGCCTTTCTGTTGATGATAATGATGATTGCGATGTTGATTAAATGGGGATCATGGAATTGAAAGGGTAATTGCTTAACCCAAATACTTTTTTGAGTGCTTTTGTTACAAGTGAGCCTTTTGCAATGTCAATATCTCAAAAAAGTCGCTGTAGATCTTACACAAGTCCTTTATTTACTTATGACCAGCTTTATGTCGCCATCTTATTAAGAGCATCAGCAGCAGTGAATGATATGACAATTCTATTATCAAAAAATGGCATTTGTGATATACAAATACTGCATATAATTTGAATTTCTTTCACATTGTCCCAATAATAGGCTTTGTTTAATATCAACGTAAGCAAAAAGGATACTAACGGAGATACCTCCTCTCCTTCTCCTGGCTCTGATACAACCTTTCTGTTACTAACTAATAATAAATTGTTTAAAATCTACTTGATATACCAAAATTTTATTATATCTGGTTTAAAATGTCCTTGGCAAGAGCCCACAGGGCGACGCTGACATTGAGCGTAGCGAGATAGATCGGCTAGTAGAATAATATACTATATCTTGGCGTAAGATACGCGTTTAATGATAAAGCAACCCGCCACTATTGCATTACAGCATGCACTATTGAAATAATATACTTGAAAGCATGTTCAAACTGGGTACTCCTAGACTAATTTCGACAAACCTCTCAAATATACTGAATTTGTTCAGCTGTCAACACATCAATTTTTATTTGCAATAGCCTCTCAAGCTGCTAGTAAAACTATGGGACAATAGAAAGGTTTTTATGATATTTGAATAAAATGTTTTCAGCCGAGTTCTATGTAATTTACGAGAACAGCTAACCAAACACTTACAAATAGAGTCTGTCCTCTCCTTCTATGCATGATAACCTAATAAGGTAGCATTATAACCTCAATAGGATGGAAAGCAAAATGCATAACAAGTCCTTCTCTTCATTTGTCTAGGCTATTCTACCAAATCAGCTTTGCTACGTCTAAACTAGGCTTTCTTCTTATGATTCTCCAGCTGTGTTGTATATTAGCCTTGTTTTACTAGCAATGCATGTGATGAATTTTGCCGTTTCGGCACAACTAGTGAACTCAGATTTTGCGAGATTCACATTAGTATTCCTTGTAAATACCATTGGGTATGTTCTTGCTTCACAGCTCTTTCGAATTATGAATACTACCCAAGCAAGTTGAGAATTCATTCATGCAAACTGTCTATGCAAAGTAATCACGCTTGTTTCCTGCGTTCATTTCTCAAATATTACGTTTATTACATGACGAAAAAGTGGAATGTCTACACAATATCATCTAGCTAAGCAGTTTGTGATACCGCAAACTTCAACGCAAGGAATTGAAGAAACAACAGAAACAGAATACCGGATCACAGATTCTGAAATTTCTGTAATGAATTATAAGGTTAGTGGCTATATTATCGTAAATAAAGTTCAAGGAACAACAAGTTTTTGATGCAGAAGTAACTCGCATAAAATAGCATACAGTTGGTAAAATCATGTGCATTTCATTTGACATTTTGTGAGAATTGGTTGCATGTGTCTGGAGGCATTAGTACCACACAATGACCATTTTTCTGTTAGCAGATCACGCAATTTTGAAACAATGTGTATGATCATGTTGTCCTCTGCTCGTTCTCTTCCCAATGTCTCTCTTTCTCCCATTCATGCTTGCATTGATATCTTGATCTTCCATTTTTCCATATAAAGTTACGTCATGTTGTAATTTTGTCTTTTCACACGCAAAAATGAACTATTTGGGTGATATATATATTAAGAATTGCTCATGTCGAATTGTTTATTTACTTTTGTAACACATGGAGTCAACATCCACAACACTCTCACAACAGGATTTTTACTCGGTACCCGGTTTCCTCACCTTATGCCCACAAAACCTTATTTACCCAATCAGATCACAAAACTACAACGATTTAAGATAAGCTTAAATGCCTTTATAAGATGTAAGAAACATCTGTGCGTATTTCATCATAAGGAGCATTTACTTATTGTGCATCTAGAGTTGATAGAGTCTGTATGATGCAGCTCAGCGTATACTGGGCTCTCTAAACAAATCAGTAAATTATTTGCATGAAAGGATGTGTCTCAAAATGACCGAAAATGGTATTCCTTTGTCCAATTTGATCACATGCGTTATCACTTATTTACAATAATGGAAACGTCCGTTTTGGCTTCTGTCTTTTCTATTTGAAAAAACGTATTAATAAACAACAGAAAGCGTTGTGTATAAAAGACTGTATCCACTTGCCTTTTCCTCTTGTCTTTTCCACTTTTTCATTTCATCTAGTTCAGTTACACTGTGACAACATTTAATCAAACCCACGTTTTTTCAGCAACACGCAGTTACATTGCATAGTCGATTACATACATATACCATGTCGAATCACTCATCGTCCATTCTAAATCTAAGCATCACTCCAGACGCAGACACCATTCATACATTCAGCGATGATGGATCCACCCTGCCGAATGAATCATACACAATTTCAGGCACAGTAGAGATCAACCTTCTTCGACCTGTTCAGATTCGACAGTTATACGTACAATTAAAAGGCACCGTAGAGTGTGTGATCTCTACCTCAGACTTCTTCCAGCCACACGATTTAAAAGCATCAAACAGCACAGATGAAATACCAATGGACAAATGGAACACACTGGAAGGAAACGAGCTTGGATTTGTAGACAGATTAGCAAGAAAAGCAATGGGACATGCAAATGCAAGCTTAACTATAACACATGAACGTATTGTCGTTGTGGATGAGCCGCAAGTGCTTGGAGTGGGAAAAACGAAATGGCCATTTTCATTAAAGATCAACAACGTGCATAAGTTATCACCATCAATCCTGTTGCCGCATCATACAATACAATACTGCCTTTCAGCTAGAATTAAATTAAATTCGCTTAGTGAACGGTTCAAAGTATCCTACTGGAACGCCCGCATGAATATCCATGGCAGTTCTCTATCAAGCAACAAGAGAAAGCTAAGCACAAGCAGCGATGAGACCACCAGCAGTAGCAGCGCAGCTTCCACTTCCACATCAACTGCAACAGATGATGCTTCATCGATATCATCATCCAGTATCATCAGCAACAATTCAACCAAGAGCAAACGGCACATGCTCGGTGCAAATTGCCCTATCCAACTATGCCGACACGCATACCCTAGCCTATACTCACTTAATTCCATACCACGTATTCGATACCGTGGATCAAGACAGGATCACCTCAATTACGAGATTGGCATGTCCAAATTCACATGTCTCCAAAAGAAATCGTTCCCGTTTACCTGTCGGTTCAACAAGTTCTGTGATGATGCTATCATTGAATCCATGGAATACTACTTGGAGCAAGTTGAATCATATCCGTAAGTGTGTATAGATCATGTTGTACACATGCTTACTTGTGACACTTGGCAATTCACACTATTGTTGTTACATTTTAGAATTAGAGCTGGCGATTGGAATACAATTGTTAAACAGTTTCCTGAATCAATGGTACCACGACAGAGAAAGTTTTCTCGTAAGTTTTTTTTTTTCGCTTTTTACACTAAAATGTATATCTCATTGAATCTAATCAATGTATGTTTGATGAACCTAATTTAGGTGCCAAGTATGACATGTCAAATTATATAGATGGACAGGAGCTTGGTAAGTCTATTTCCTCCTGCTTGAATTGACACTTGCTAATCTCGACCAACACTTTTTTTAAACTTGCAGAATTGTCTCTTTCCCTTGATTTACCCCACATTGCTCCTCAAATCCAGACAGACATCTTACAAATCAGTCATAAGTTGCGCCTCATACTCAAGTTTCAAGACAGCACAAAAGAACGAAATATGTCGCTTAGTTTCCCACTCACAGTTGGCACGGTACCTCACGTTAGATCGTCGATGGACCGTGGAGATCGTAGAGTGATGCCTGAGGACATTGATGCAATACATGTGCGACAGGAATTGGACCAATGGCTACTTGCGCCCTCAGATCAACATTACGACGAATTTAACAAATTGCCCAGTTATAGAGATGTACTGCGTGAAGGATACCCCCCATCGCCGTTTATCGAAGATAATTACTAGTGCTATCATAATAAAACCTTGCACATCATGCTTGCTCAAGTGGATTTTCGATTCAAGTGTATAACGCGTGGTACAAGGCAACAAGATTTCGATGCCATCAACTCCGTTGAAAATCATCATTTGCTTTTCTGTACTATGAGTGGAGGCAAGTGCAGTAAGGTGATTTAATTGCATTTGTGCTAGTGTAAAGGTTTTATATAAAGCAGAACTTTATCCACCATGATTTCTTTTTTCTCCTTCTCTCTTTCATATTGTATAAACTAACATGGGTGCGGTTGTGTCGAAAAAGAAATCCAGCTCCAAATCATTCCGTTCAGGACACCGTCGTCCAAAGCAGCAATCACCCACATTGAGCCATCAAAGCTCTTGCCTGTACAAAAACAAGGCCAGCAATGTGTCCACTTCATCCTCTCATGGCTCATCATACCTACAGCAGCCACAAGCATTGTTTGATAAACACTCACTGCAGCCATACTCTCACAATGGCACCATCACATCTACAGCGGCATCTTCATGCAGGACATCGGTAGTTGCTCCAAACATCTTCAAGGTAGAGAGCCCTTCAGACAACGTAAATCACACAAACAGTTTCTTTTTACCGGATGATTGGGACACCGAGGAATTTCAACACAACGTAAGGCAAAGCACTCTGTGCCATTATACTGCATACTTACGCTAATTTTCAGCTACACTTTTCTCTCAAAAAACTGTTTAGTGGGTAAATGCAATGATGCTCCAGCCTCTGAATTACGATTCTCACAAGATTCTCTACAATAGAAATGTTACACCGGCAGTGGTACCAGTGCTAAAAAAGGGTGCGCATGTCATTCAAATGGGAACATGCTCTGGCGCTTGGATAATGGTAAATTTCAATCACATTTTCCAATATAGAAATTCGACTCTAAATTGTGTAAAAAAAAAACCCCCCCCCCCAGGACATGGCCACACATTATCCAGGCTGTAAATTTACGGCTGTTGAATTAGCCTCAGAGCAGATCCAGGTCCTTCCTGAGCTACCCAACATCACATGTGAACGAGGAGACGTATTAGAAAGAGGCTTTGTCTCTGTTGAAAATGAATCTGTCGATTATATCCACCTAAGATCTGTTGGCTCTCTAGTGAAAAGACATTGCTGGACAAAGATATTTGCAGAAGTTCACCGAATCTTGAAGCCTGACGGTGTCATTCGAATCGAAGAGATGCATCATTCGGTAAGCAATATACATATAAAGACATATTTAATCTCATGTTTACTAAACACCTTGTATATATGCAGCCAGCTGGAACAGTGATGATTGAATCCTTTATTGAAACACGTACGCTTTATCTCTTGCTTGGATAGATAAACGATAGAAAACTAACATGTTTGTGTAGTGAAGGAAATCTTTCACGATATGGATCAAGACCCCGAGATTGCACTCAAATATGGAAATATGCTCCAAACAGAGGGTTTCCAAGTGATTGAGAGCCAAAAGAGACGAGTTCACTATGGTAAGCTTTGCTCAGCCAGCAACATTTGTCTCATTTCGTCTAACACCTGCCTTGTAGCAAGCGATGGCAAACTGAGCCAGGAGTTTGTATCTGCTATTCTAAACTTGTACGAACAAAAGAGCTCGCTGATTGCACCTCGACTTGGCTTAGACTTGGAAGATTATAGACACCGTATAGAGCAAATCTGCTCAGAGTGCGTCAAGGTGAATGCCTATTTAGAATGGTACTCTTGGGTCGGCAAAAAGCAAACCAAAAAAGTGTAAATAAACAAAAAGATTGCAGATACAGAAAACGATAGAGCAGTTTCAAGGAGCCATTTGGTCTATCAAACTTACATATAAAGCGATTAAGACGAAATGCATAAAAGCATGACTCATTAACAAAACCAATAAAAGGGGTGTGTTTTAGTGTACACCAATGAGCCATGATCATGCTTTGGATTACTATAAAATGAGGGTTAAAGCAATGGGCTCCCCTCTTTTCTTTATTAAATCCCCCTTTTCTTTGTTCATATTTCAATGAAATCCCCCTCCTCCATACCAAACAACTATGGTGCAACTGAGCTAGTACAGCAAGACGACATTCTGCTCACTGAAGAAGAGAGGGACCTGCTGCAATCCGATAGACCTGGCTATGGCTCTCGCTCCAAGATTGAAAGCGCATTTAATCTTGTCAATTCGACTGTAGGCGCTGGAATTATCGGCTTGCCCTTTGCCATCCATTTAGCAGGATTCTGGACAGCTATTCTGCTATCCATCTTTGTTGCCATCATATCTCAATTGGGCCTTCACATGTTGGTCGTATCAGGCCAACGTTCGCAATGCTTCAAATTTGCAGTTTTGATGGAATATGTGTTTGGACGATCTGGGTATTATTTTCTAAACTTCCTCATACTTGTGCAAGCTGCAGGTGCTTGTGTCAGCTATTTCATTCGTAAGTGGCATGGAATGTACGTCATGACTACGGTACCACTCTTTAACGGCATTGCATATAGTCATTGGCGATACAATTCCTGTCTTGTTGCAACTCTATTTTCCCCAATACCCAAGTATCACAGAGAGATCATTTGTCATATCATTAATCGCCATTTTGTTTGTGAGTATTTACCATCATAATGACGCTACTGCATGAATCATGTACTCATTTGATACCATGTTTTGTGCACAGGTTTTTCCCCTGAATCTCTCTCGTTCCATCGGATCTGTCGCCAGATGGTCCATCTTATCCGTCCTGTGTTTGCCACTGATTATCATCACACTTCTTGTGAGAGCACCTGCCTACAGCAAATCACATGAGTCGCCCTTGGATTGGCATGGACCTGACATCTTCGGAGCCCTCGGCATCCTGGCCTTTGCATTTGCATGTTCACACGTATGCTTTAGTGTCTTTCTCAGTCTCAAGGACCAAACAATCAAGTCATGGACCATCACCACCACACTTGCATCCATCATGAGTTGGGTGGTATCCATTTCGTTTGCTGTCATTGGTTATCTCAGTTTTGGCAAAGATGTGCAACCAAACTTGTTTCTCAATTTCCCAGATGATGATCTTATTGTAAACATTGGCAGATTCGCACTTGGCTTCAGCATGATCTTGACCATTCCGTAAGTATATTCTAGAGGGCCATCTGTATGTACCTATCGCTAACTTGCTGTTCATTAGCATGGGATTCTACCCCACGAGAGAAGCAGTTCAAAAGTTGCTGGGATTCGAGACAGCAACCCGCCAGCCCAACAAAATCCAGCACTACACTGTTACAGTCGTTCTGTTCATCGTCATTACTGCACTTGGTATCACTGTTCGATCGCTAGGAAAAGTCTATGCATTGATTGGTGGTTTTGCTGCTACCTTCCTGGCCTACATCCTACCTGCTGCTGCCTGCCTCATCACTAGACGCTATCCTGCAGTCGCTGGTACGGTCACCACCACTCTGGTGGATGATGAAATTGGCATCAAGGCACCTTTGCTTGGTAAATTGTCAGCCACATCTTCAACAACATCATCATCTGAAGACATTTTGTTTGAAGAAGAGATTGTTGTGACCGAATCCATTATCATTGATGATAGTATACCCAAGTTTGGCTTGTTGGATTTCTCTGCCGTAATTTTGTTGATCTGGGGTACTGTTGTCATGGTTTTTGCAACATCTGGCGTATTCAAATAAGCCTATATACTATATACCCATAGCCTCTTATATATATATATACCTTCTGTAGATACCTTTTACACACGCACGCATACACTTACCCCTATACACACATATTATTATCAATAAACCTTTTGTCTTTTTCTGAATCTGCTGTTGCTGTGCCCATTAAAGTACCAGTTGGGAACATTTTGCATATGTAACTTTTTTGCTCTGTACCAAGATTGACTAGATGTTGACATTCTTTGGCCATTTCTGCTAGATTTGACTACATTTATGCAGATCATCATACCTTTTCCCTGTATATTCTAACAATCATTGAGTTGGAATCATGGCAAGAGTTATCTTGTAGCTCAACAGCGTAGGTTTAGCTATTCATGTGCCAACAATTTCGTGAAACGTCCATCAAATGAAAGCGTACTAGTATGCTCTCTTATATTACTAAATTGTCTGATTCTCTCTGCTCCACTGTAATCACGCAATGCACACTGCTGGCGGCTGGATGCCTGCTAAAATGTAGGTGGCTATGCATTATGGAGGCAAAAAACTAACGCTACATTGCCCCGTCTTGCCTAAAATGTCTAGCTTCAGCACTGATTCACTCAACCACTTATCGATTGACATGTTTAAAATCTTCAGGCACACAGGGAGCATCTCTAAAGTCATCCTGTCAGTGTCAATAGAGACCTACTGCCATTCGTAGATGTGTATCTCAGCTTTCTTATACACACACACACACACACACACACACACACATAGCATGATCTCCAATGAATCAAGCATCCTCGTTAAACGGTGCTTTAATTGGGTCGCAATCCAACCACTCAATTCACTCACACGCTTGCATTGCGTACACCTGTACAGCACTTGCTGTTTATACTATCTCAGAGATGGATTCAGGCTATCAAGTTGATGTATCCAAACCACCTTTGAGCCCATCAAACAGTGACAAATTGAAACGGCAAAACGATCATTAGTTTGAATCATTTTTTTTGCATCAATGCAGGCAAAAGGTACCATCTTTTTTCATGTCCCCTCTAAAACGGTTCTAATTGATGTACACACAAACAAAAATTTTTGACAAATTTTGCGTGTATATAAAACGAAATGATTAATCTACCTTTCTTTTGCTTTTTCTTTTACTTTTTTTTCTTTTTCTGTTCAAAAAACTCACAAACATGTCTTCTAAGCTCTTTATCGGTGGTCTCTCATGGAACACAACTGACGAAACCCTTCGTTATAAATTTGAGGAGTTTGGTCAGGTTACTGACGCTGTAGTCATCAGGGATCGTGATACTGGTAAGTGGCTAGTTAGCTGCCTATTTGGCCTCTTTCTTTACGTTTATCGCGGTTGTGTGTTCAAGGAGCATCGCTTGAACAAACATCATCGTTTATGCATATTGAAAGCCAGTAAAAGCGGGCCAGACAATGAAAATAGACAGAAAGATGGCTGGTACTAACACCTCTTCAATAGGCCGCTCTCGTGGTTTCGGTTTTGTAACTTATACTAACCCAGAAAATGCTCAACAAGCCTCCAATGCCATGAACGATCAAGAATTTGATGGTCGCCGCATCAGAGTTGACCTTGCTACGGATCGCCGTTCTGGCGGTGGTAATGGTGGAGGCTATGGTGGTGGCGCTGGAGGCTATGGTGGTGGTAGCGCTGGAGACTATGGTAGCGGTAGCGGTGGTCAGTGGTAAACTCTCTCTGTTCCTGTTGTCGTAAAGGACATTTCGTGTGCGCTCTCTCTATCTATTTTAATCTAGTTCCTCTATCTCGTTCGCTTTTACTAAATCAACTTTTCTCAAGTAGCTTTTGTATCATATTGGCCCCATATTAAACATCATTTTGCATACCCTCTATGAATAAAAACCATCGTAATTTACGCGTCAATGTACCTGCTCATCTACTAAAACTACCAGTGCAAGGAGTACAGCTCTCACGAAAGCTGTTTCTAGACTAGCGTGCATAGTGTGAGAAATGCTCACGCCTAGGTTGATAAACTGATACATGATGAGCTCATACAATCATGACTAGCTTAAATTGACCATCCTCGCCGATCGACTGTCGACACAATACTGATGAGGGACAGAGTAGATATAGGTCCTATAGTCTATGACAGTGCAGTGCAGCCAGCTTTATTTATCATTACTATTGCTTAGATTTCACCACAATCAACAATTGTTACACGCTTTGAGGTTTTACCATTTGATGATCCACATCGCTCCATCTCACGCACAACATTCATACCAGATACAACTTGGCCAAACACGACATGCTTTCCATCTAACCATGCGGTTTTCTCTGTACAAATAAAGAACTGACTACCATTGGTATTAGGGCCCGAATTTGCCATGGACAGTGTGCCCTATCATGGATCTATCAGTCGCTGAAAGCTTTACGATGTCTCATACTTACAGCCTCAGTATGCTTCAAGATGAAGTTTTCATCAGCAAATTTACCGCCATAGATGGACTTGCCGCCTGTACCATTTCCCTTTGTAATATCACCACCTTGACACATGAATTGAGGGATGATACGATGAAAGACCGAGTTTTTGTATCCAAATCCTGCTTCTCCTGTACATAATGCTCTGAAATTCTCTGCTGTTTTTGGTACAACATCACCACGAAGCTCAATTTCAACACGTCCTGCTAAAGATCCACCAATGGCAATATCCAAATATACACGAGATCTTCCTCCCTTAGCTGATGGTTTATATGTGTTCTTCTCTTCAACATCGCTATCATCATCGCTATTTGCTGTTTGCTGTGCTGTCTCGTCTGCATCTTGTTTGTTTTCCTCTGTGTTGGCATACTTTTGCAACCAAGATTCTTCGGTCCAGACTGTAGTAGTTGATGAACGCAATGTTAACGAGTGTCAATGAAAGCATCAGAATAGGGTCCATACCTGCACGATGAGAAGTAGCTGTGATGTTGTGGGGTTTAGCAAGTTGGACCTTGATGACCTTGCCGTGCAACTCGGCTAAATGCATATTATCAATGGCTGCTTGACAATCCTCAGGTAACTCGTATTCGACAAATCCAAATCCTTTGTGTGTGCTGCTGCCAGTTTTGTCTACAGGAGCGCAGTGTGAGTTGTATGTATTTCAGACAGCAGTTCAGATGAATGTACTTTTAGAATTATCAGGGCTCAATTGCACTGCTACAATTTCGCCAAATGGAATGAACGCGGCATGTAGTGTAGCTGTATCTACAAGCTGATCGATACCTCCTATCATCCGGTCAGTATCTCACTAGAGCCTCACGCAACTCAAGCCTTCATCTTACCGATATAAAGAGTGGTTTTGTTATCCTTTGCAATATTTACAGTGGCCATGATGTGAGTGTACAAGTGAAGAAAGAGCAAGCCACGAACATGAAGCATCACGGCTCCCATTCTCATGATGGAATTGGATGAAATCGAGTCACGATGAAGCATTCAACTCACCATACCGCGTTGCATTTTCCATTGCTTTCTTTTGAATCATTACATTATGCCAAGATCCCCCTCGCCACCATTCACAAAGAGATACTCTAGTAGACAGCGCGAGAGAGATTACAGAGATTTGGATAATCCCCGGTCAAGATCTCGGTCTCCTGGCTCGTCAAGAAGAAGACGTAGAGAAGATAGCTATGATAGATATGAAAGTCGTGGACGACGCAGAGACGATAGCCGTGATCGCTATAGACGCTCTAGATCCAGTCGCTCCCCACCATCCAGAAGAGATAGAAGAAGCCCTGATAGAAGAGGTAAGTTGAGTGCCTGATAGATTGCTTGATGTGGACAACTCATTTGAGTTTGGCATGTCAGATCGTGGTAGACCTGGAAACAGAAGTAGAAGTCGCTCGGAATCACCTTCATATCGTCGCCCTCGCTCACGAGATGGACCTATCAGTAAGAGACCTGAACAAAAGAAACCTGCAGCAGAAGACAAGGTTGAGCACATGGATCAAGATGGCGAAGAGGAGGAAGAGGATGATGAGACAAAAATGATGAAGTTGATGGGTTTTGGAGGATTTGATACAACGAAAAACAAGAAAGTACCAGGCGCAGATGTCTCTGGAGCAAAGATTCATAAGCCCATCAAGTACCGTCAGTACATGAATCGCAGAGGCGGCTTCAACAGGTAAAATCGATCCAGTGCATTATTCTGCAACAGACTACTCATCCGTGTTTCTTTGATAGACCTCTGGATAACTAAGGATTTGCGCTATTTACACAATTGGAGGTATTGAATCACTCGAGTCATTTCCTTGAAATAGCAATGATGGCTAATAAAAGATTAGGATACACATATATACGTGCGAGAGACAAGTGGATGTGCATTTTTTTATTTTATTTCTTTGAGCCTTCTTTTCAATCAATCATCATGCCATCATCACTTTGATCAGAGCTCGAGTCCTCGTTACAGGCAGCTGTGTCATCGCTGTCGTCCGTCTCGAGCTCTTGATCGTTGGATTTGATGGCAGATTTGATGGTTTTTTCAATCATGATGGACAACTCATTTCTTGTAACACGCTGCATCAATGCAAGCAAAGCCGTCTTCTGAGTAGGAACCATGTCAATACTGTAGCTATCAAAGAGGCAATTGCATGAGCTTTCCATGGTGATGGCAAAGAAATATGAGTTGCATACCTTTGAACAAACATGAGCAATGACTGATACCATATGATGGGCGGTTGCTGAGGGCTCTCTTCTCGTTGACAAAAGTATTTAAAGACCAACATGTCCACCACGCGATAAGGCAATGCCTGTTTCTTCTGCAGGAATACTTGAACAAGAATACAGATGGGTAAGGTAAAGAACTGCTCTGACAGCCTGAGTAATGCAGTTGCTGATTGAAGAGCAGGTATTTTGGTTTGTCCTAGCACATTAGCCAATATGCATGCCTCAGCGACACTGCAAGTGTTTGATTCGCAGAGTGGAAACAGTAATCCCTTCATGAACAGTGCAGGATTGCATGCCAGTGCTTTCTTTAGCGCGGTGTAGAGCGCGGGATCCAACTGGCTGTTCGCACTCTTTGCCAGGTCATTCCTCACTCCATGCAATAGCACAAACTGAAAGAATCTAAGATAGCGTCGATTAGCAGAAGATCATGAGCCAGCATCAAGCACTTACTGTTTAGTTTGAGTCGCTTTGACATTTGTCAAGAATAATCTTGTTATCTCACACATTGCCTGAGGCGTCCAAGAGGAAGGCTCTGTCAGTAACAAAACCTCATCCCAGTTGGGCAAGGAAGGAATAATCTTCAGTGCTTTGGGCAATCGATTCATTGTCGATTGAAATCGTGCTAGTGAGGAACCAATCCTGGGGGGGAGGAATTAATTAAATTGTTCGCATATCTATCAAACATTTGTACTTTTTGTAGATTTGGATGACTTGAGAGTTGCTCGCAGAGAGTGAGTGATCTAATCCAAGCTATGCAATCAGCATCTCACTTTATAGTTGGCATTCAAACTGCCCAAAGTACCTTTTTTTGATGCCTCTTTGGACAAGACAGCCTCTTTCAATGTCATTAATGATGTTTGCTGCTCCTGAGGTACTGAAAAGGACCCGCTTGATTCTTGATTCAGCAGTGATATCTGAAAGGCTTGGTTGCTTGCAGGAGAAGAATGAATGTCAAGTTTTTGAGCTTGTCTTGATATGAGGCCACTGCAAAGACGCTATCAAACTGAGTATAATAGCCATATTTGAAATGTCCAGTTGACTTTACTCATCATCGGCAGAATCCTCTTCTCTCAAACGCTGGATCCTTTCCAATTGCTCCTGCTCGATCCTCAATATGGTTCTGGTCATATCCTCATCGATAAATGTCTTAAAGGATGATTAATGTCCATATCGACTTCATTCCATCTGAATGGCATTTACCTCAAAATCATCTTCTTTGGCCATCAACCCAAATCGATGTGGTTTTTTGACCCAAGTTTCATTTTCATCCAGTTGCCATGGAGAGTACAATCGAGATGTACTGTTCTTTAAAAGTGGATCTTTGCCCATTCTATTATTCAGTTGTAGAAGAAAAGAAATAAAGGAGTAGAAATCGAGGATTCAAGTCGAATATGGAATTATATCGTTGCAACTTATAACCTCACCATGGTAAATAAAGTTTGAACATTCCATACATTTTCGCCTGTGTCATAGAAATCAAATGCATGCCTTGAAAAGCGTGTGTTAGTAATAAGTATTTCTCTCAAGATACCCAAATTTGGTTGCCTAGCAACAGGTTGGCAATACACTTAGACAACAACTGGGAGTCACATCTATTCATAATGGAATTATGCAAGCCAATGGATCTACTACTCAAGATTGACGTTATTTCCAAGTATATTGAGATCAGCCCCGTGTAATGAACAGACGGGTAGTGTTTTTATAAATGAATAAACGGATCTCAAATCCTCTCCTGTCTTCTGTCATGTTGAGCAATCAATCTCTGTATTTCCTCAGTCAAACAGACTTTACCTAATTATTAAAAAACCGAAATAGGTATAACATCAAATTTCTTTTGGTGGACTTCTCCCTCCTCTCTTCTCTTTCTTTCTTTCTCTCTCTTTTTCTCGCTTTTTTTTTTTTTTTGATTACAAATACACAAAGTCAACATGTCCATTAAACTGAATCTGGAAGACACCATTGCATTTGAGAGTAAGTAGATAACGGATCATTTGCCATGGACAAACGTACACAAGCTCTGGTCTTTCTTACGCTTATTCCTTCTTCCTCTCACGAAAAAACTAGGACCATTAACACGTGTCGTTAAACAGAACCTCACCATTCAAAATCCCCATGATAAGCCCGTTGCTTTTAAGGTCAAGACTACAGCGCCCAAACTGTATTGTGTCCGTCCCAACTCGGATGTCATTCCTCCCAATGGCTCTATCGACGTTCAAAGTAAGTGGTTGATGATAGGATGCTTGGAGTGTTATGATACTTATGTAAGTATTTAGTCATGTTACAAGCTCAAAGAGAGGAACCACCTTTGGATGTGAAATGTAGAGACAAGTTCTTGATTTTGAGTACGTACGTCAATGAAGTTACCGAGAAAATGGGCATTACAGAGCTGGTAAGTAACAACAATCGTATCAATGACAACAATGTCTGATACAACTTGGTGGACTGTAGTGGAATCATGTTGAAGAGAACGACAAGAGCAAAAAGACTATCCATCAACACAAGTTACGCTGTGTCTACGTCCAGAGCAAAGAGGCCGAGACTAACACTGCTGCCACTCCCGCTGCTGCTCCTGCTCCTGCTGCCAATCTCACATCCATCACACCAGTAGCTACTGCTCCTGCTGCTGCTCAGGCTAATGCTGCTGCCAACGACGCCAATGTAAGTTGTAATCCATGTGTAGAGTGCAATGACGATTAACAGACAATGGGAATAGACCAAGGGATCCCAAAAGGATCAAGAAGATGTTATTGAAAAGATGAAGGCAATGGAGCGAGAACTGAACAAATACAAGGAAGCTGAGAAGTTGGAAGTTAAGACAGGATTCCCTCCCAGCATCTACATCTTGATCAGTCTGATTATTGCTGCTATTGCTTATTTCATAACAACAAAGTGAAAATACATGTAATAAATTTCATCTCTTCCAGTCACAAGTGCAAGCATCAAGCAGTTCATTTTTGAAAGGTCTCTCTCCCGTTCTGATCTATTATTTCATGTGCAAAAAGACGCCTCTCATAATTGAAACACCTTTTTCTCTCTTTTTTTTCTTCCACTTTTTTCTTTTCGTTGCAAAATGCCTAGTTTAGAAAAACAGGGAGAAGGAAAGACGTACATTACATTGCAATATCTATCGAGGTTAGCGTTATGGGCTTATTTTCGAAATATCAAGATCATCTGTAGAGCGCCCGTGCCTGCTGAGGGGCCCTTATTGATTGCAGCCAACCATTCCAACATGGTGCTGGACCCCATCGTGCTCATCGCCACATTCCCTCACTCAAGACCTTGCCATTTCTGGGCTCTTGCTCGCTTCTTTCGTATACCTTTTGTTGGAAAGATACTGAAGGCAGCAGGTGTTTTGCCCGTGGATACAAAGACACATAGCAACGCAAAGCTGTTTGAACATACACTGCTCACCCTGGACAGAGGCGCTGTGGTGGCTCTATTTCCTGAAGGTAATGGATCCAATATAGAAAATATATTGATTGTGTGTATTCATTATGTAACAGGCACATCATACACTGCACCAAATCATTTACCTTTTAAGGACGGGATCAGTTGGGCAAGTTTTGAGTATCTTACACAATTGGCACAACGAGAAGAGGGGCCTAAAAGTGTTTCGATCATCCCAGTTGGTATCACATACAGCACAAAGAACAGATGGAGAAGCGAGATGGTGGTCGAGTAAGTATAAATAGAGTGGATGCCAAGCATAAAGGCGGTATTTATAGTTGGCATTTCATGCAGATATGGCGAACCCATCATCCAAACAGTAGAGGACCTGGAGCAATTCCACCAAGACCCAAAAAAAAGTGTTAAAAGTTTGACAGATTGTATCGCAAAGGGTGTCGAACGTAGTACGATTAATAGTCCAGACTGGTAAATTTCAAGTGCCAACACACAAAAAAAAAAGCATGCCATGATGGATTGACATATGAAAATTCAGGGATACATCACATGCAGCCACTGAAGCCAGATCCATTTTATTTGGTGACTCTAGAGGTGTCCGTCTAGAAGAATATGTACATGTATCTCAAAGGTAAGCAAGTATAGCATCATCATGACAAGCGTGTTGGGAGCTGAGTCCTATTTTGCATGCGATTAGTTTCATAGGACTCTTCCACCCAAAGAATACAGATGACACAGAGGCACTCTACTACAAAGAGAGAATGGAGCTGAAACAGAGGCTTCTCATGTTTTCAAAGCAACTAAAGAGCCTTCGATTGAATGCAGGCGATATCAGCATGTATGAGAACCAAGAAATCACAATGACAAGGGCAACAGTACGACTTGTATCCACATGGACTGGCCTCGTTGTCCAGATACCCTTATTTTTACCCGGCATCATCATCAACTCGCCATTTTACATCTTGGGTCGACTGATTGACTCGTATGAACCTTACACTGAATCTGTGTCTCAAGACAAGCTTATTTTCAGCTTCTTTCTGGCAATGCCTGTGTATGGTACCTTGATTTGGTTACTTTGGAAATTAACTGGCTATGGCCTAATCAGTTTATTGTGCGTGCTCATGTTACTGCCACTGTTTGCTTGGTATCATATGGCTTTGATCGATAAAAACTACGACATGTTGAAGCAAGTGATTGCGTCTTGGCGCATCTTTATCGCCATCACGACTGGAACAACAGGTGTGAATGCGGATTGGACTCACAGTAGAGAAGCCTTGGAGGATTGCGTGCGTCTACGCCGTTGGTGCAGAGATCAGACAAGACAACTGGTATTCAACTTGGCAAGGAAGGGAGATCCAGAAGCACAATATCTTGTGGATTATGGAAAGCCATTGTTTGCATCATTGATGGAGGAGAACCAACAAGAGTAGTAGATATAATAAAAAACGAATGCAAATGGGCACGATGGGTGGTTTCTTTGTCCTGATGGCTATATGTACTTTTTTTTTTTTTTTTTTTTTTTTTTTTTTTTTTTTACCAGTCTTCTCGAGACGAGAATGATTTGACAGACTCGCCATCCTCTTCTTCCCAATCAAATGATTTCGACACGACAATCGTGGTATCGCCATCCATGATCTGAAAATAATCTCGATCCGCTGACTTGAGAATATCAACCATGTTTTCTTGTGATCCGCAAATATGCTGCAATCTTAGTATGCTCCATAAGCTTGATATGCTAATGTGAATGGGTGTATGTGTGGGGCTGGTAGTGGTATAAATATCGGGTGTAGGCTGTTCACTTTGCTGTGTATCGTATTTCGACAAATCAAATGACTCCCAGTCGACGATGGTGATATCGAGGTCTGTGTGTTGTTGTTGTTGTTGTCGATCACTATCTTGCATTTGAAATCCTTTGCTAGGCTCTTGGTTTATATAGCTGTCCGCTTTGCATAAAGCTTCAATGTAATGCTCCAGTTCCTCTATGATTTTGTCTCTTGGTGGTGTCTCTCCATTGTAGTAAGGAAACTCGATGTGTTTGATCAAGTGATGTGGAGTTCCATGTGTTTGATCTGATGGTAGCAAGACAAAATCTGTTGCTCTGGTGAATACACATGCCTGCGTGCAGTGTCCGTTCTCCAGTTGATCATACTTTTGATGTAGCAACCCAATGCCATGGTATGCAGTGTTGTAATTGTACTTTTTTGCCCCCTCTTCGCACCTAAATAAGTGAGATTCGTCAGTCCCTCTGCTCATTACCGGCATGGGAGACATACCATGATTCAAATTCTTTGCGAGTCCATTCAAACTTATGGTCATCATGTCTGAATATCGACTCAGGTGTGTTGTATTTCAAATCAGGAAAGTTGACATTGTACTCGCCATTGGGTGTGGTGACAATCAGGACCTTGGGATGATAGACGCCTAACGTCAATTCCAGAAATGCATCCAGTACATCAGGGTACACATGTTCAATCACTTCTGAGCATACGATAGCTTGGTAGTTTTTCAATCTGTCATCAGCAACGCCAACAGACCCTGCTCGTATGATTAATCGCATTGCTACAACTACCATACATCCATGTTACCTTGATATATGTCAATCACAAGAGGTCGAGGTCTCAACTGTTCGAAATCACTCTTGTAGGGCAGGCAGCGCTCCACAGCTTCCTGCAGCACTTTTGGATCGATATCAATGCCAGCTATTTTTGTGAGTTTGTTCTCTGTAGCAGAGATCAAGAATGACAGCACGGCTGCTTCACCACAGCCATAATCAATGATCTGACAACAGAGTGTAAGCTTCAAAGTTCGAGGTACATTTGGAGCTGCTACCCACTGTCTCAATATTGTGCTGATTCAGTATGTCTTGGATAAAGGCTCTTCTTTGTCTCCATAATGGAGGACTAAAGAACTCGTTGGAGCTGCAGCTGTCTTCGCTGGTTGGTTTCATTCGATTGTCTAACAAAAGAAATGCCTCCCACCCTTCTCCCGTCAAGTACAGTACAACTTGCGGTATGTGACTCTATACTTCACGTGGCGATCTCCTTTCTCTTCTTCAAAAGGTACGACACAAACATGATGCAAGAGTTTCTTGGTTACCTTTTGTTATTTGATACAAATGTCTCATTGTCTAGAGGAGACAAACTTTAGTAAGCCTACTTACTGCGATCATTGCCAAGGTTTATTATGGGGCCTTGTCAAACAAGGCCTCAAATGTTCAGGTAAAGACATGTCTGCTGTTCAGTGCGAGTATCCATCCACTCACAGATTTTGTTAGGCTGTGGAGCTGTTTCTCATTTCAGCTGCCAGCAGGAATTGAAGCCTTGCAAGAATCCAAAGTTAGTGGATGATCCACCAGTGTATCGCAAACCAGATTACGATTCACCCGCAGCAAATGCCTTGCGATCGTTGCAACAGCAGCACTTGAATGATCCAAGCTCTCCTTCTTCAACGCCGACAGTGGAAGGAAGCTCGCTAGCCAAGCTCAAGAAACTAGCGACATCTGAGGAATTTCAAAATGTACTTGTATCTGCAGCCATTCATTCATCAGACACAACACAGCCTCCTAATGAATACCTCGCAAACTTGCCTCCTCTCAATCCTCAAAATACAGCCAAGAACTTTTCTCGATTTGTGTCTCGATGCGGTCCCATGTTTGCGTTTCGAGACAGCGTTATTCTGCTGCTCAGCTGGAACAAGCCAATTGATACACTAGCAGCACTCATCGTCTACTGTTTGATTTGTAAGTTTATTCTTTTGAGCGAGCCGCTGTTTTGATTCTCATCTTTCTCGCCTTTGTCAAGGTCTACATCCCAAATTGATGTTGTTTGTGCCACACGTAATTGTGCTCCAGATCATCATATCAGGCTATACAAAGAAATTCGGCAACAAGCATCAAGAGAAAACGACAGACAAGGACAAACGCAACAACCAACACCAAGGTAAAAAGCCACAGCCCAAGAAATCGACATCTGCTTCGACAGCTTCTTCACTTGGCGGGAGTCGCTTCAACTTTGCCTCTGCTCTGTTTCCTGCTTTTGACGAAGCCTCGCCCGAATACCTCAAGAATATGCAGAACTTGCAAAACATGATGGGAGAAATGAGTGGTTTATACGACTTGGTTGCTTCAAAGAGTCATCTCGTCGACTGGTCATCAGAGACAGAGACAATGCGCTTCTTCCAAGGCACGCTGATCTCTTTGGGTATCCTGGCCAGTGTCATTTGGTTTGTTCCTTTGAATGCCATCTTCTTGGTAGGCGGTGTTGCCATGTTCTTGTTGAATACACGATTTGCAAAGTTTGTGCTTAAGGAAATGCTTCCTCAGATCGCTGAAATTGGCCAATCGCAAGTGGATTCAGCTGTTCAATGGTACACTCAAGTAGAGAAACGACTAGACGATCAAGCCAATGTAAAAGAGCAATCACTTTACGAGAACCAAAGATGGTGGTCTGGAAGTGGGTTCGTGCCTCATGTAAGTGTGCTGACGCTGTGTAGAATGATGGAGGCCTTTGATTGATTCCTACTACTAGATGTTACCTAATGAGCGTGGTATTTGGTCTGACATGTCCGGTACAGTTGAATTAGCTCCTAAAGAAGAGCTGCCTGCTCCAGAGGGTTATCATTGGATTGAGGATAATTGGAGTCTGGATCAAAGTGGTCCATGGATAGATGAGATTCTCGGCATTGGTAAATAGAAACATTACGCAGAGATGAACAAGGACTGTAGCTAAGCCTTTAGTAGAAGTAATGGTGAGCCCTGAAAATGGGGGCTGGGTGTACACAGATCACAACTGGGAGAATCCAAGAAACGGAAACAATCTCATCAACAATCAGCAATCCGAGACTTCCGCCGATAAAAGCGTGACAAGAAGAAGAAGATGGATCCGTAAATGCGAAAGAAATATCAATAACAAGAAGTATAACCTTCCAGATACCAATTAGTTTAAACCATGTTTTTTTTTTTATTCATTTCCTATATGTACAAATAAAAAGTGGGGGTTTTTTCGTTGCAAACTACTACTCTTGCATTTCTGGTGATTCGCCAAAATATTGATCGACAAGCTTGTTTGCAAAAGCAAACAACTCTGGATCAGGTGCAGGCGCAACAGCAGCGAGTGCTTCCATACAATCGGGTACATTATCGATAATCTCTTTACCTTTGTGAGATTGTGTCAAAAGTAGTTCAATGTAGCCTAATCCCAATCGAATCATATCTGCATCTTGCGATTTTACGAGATCCAAAAAGGCAGGTAATAATTGCTTATGTGATAACTTATCCAGATGCTCGGATCCGTGATTGGCAATGTTCATGATGCAGTAAGCAGCACCTTTACGAATGTCAAAGGCACCACGTACTACGAGTTCAGACAGATGCTTGATCACATCGAGTTCTTCCAGTTTTTGAATGATTTCAGGATCTTGACTATGTGTTAAAGGAAGAAAGCGTGAGTTGGCATGGAAGCAGTATTTATGCCGAAATCTTACCTTGACGTGATATTTGACAGTACCCACAAGGCTTCCTTCTTGACAACCCTACTTGATTTGGTGATTGCATTAGGTACAAGTTTCTCTGAAGCAATGCATCACCACACTCACCTTTGATCTGACTTTATCAGGCTCACAACGGTTGGCAAGAATGCTTCCCTTTCAGCCAGAACCTTCAGGTAATCTTCAGAGCCTACCAAATTGCCCAATGTTCTGAGAACAGGCAATACAACTGGTCCCTGTTCAACTAAATTAGCCAATTCCTTGACAAGCGGATCAGCAAATCCCTTTGCCATGACCTCCTCGCGGAACTTTTCACTACCAGCTGTCAAATAGCTAATCACCCAGCAGACTTCAGTAGCAGCATCAGCATTGCCAAGGTTTTTCAGCAATTTGTCAGTGAGGCCAGCAGTAAAGAACTCCTTCAATTGGCCTTCCTGACCGCGCGCCAAATTAGCAAGAGCAAAGCATGCAGATTGAACTAGGCGAACATCACTGGAATCCAACATGTGTACCAAGGGCTTGATGGCTCCATTGTCTCTAATCGTGGCTCGGACTTTATCGTCTTCATCGTTCATATCGCCCAAGTCTTCAGCAGCCATGTTTCCTAAAGCGCCAGCAGCAATTTCGCGAAGATTCTGAAAGATTCATCACCACACATTCAGAGAAAAAAAATAGAAAGAAAGAAAATGTTTTAGTATTTTCTTTTCTTTATATCTTGCTTTTTTCTTCTCAATGTACCATATTATCAGAATCCAATAAAGAGATGAGGTAAGGCACAGTAGAAACAGATTTGATCCACAGGTCATAAGGGCCAGCGGCAATGTCTATGGTAACTAAGATCAGTATCAAATCGTCATGGACATTTGTTTTGCAAAGCTTACTTGAGATAGTTTGAGCTGCTTCAATTTGTTCATCAGAGTTGGATCCCGAAATCATTTGCTGCGTATGGATAGTTGTTAGATCCTACCACAGGCTTGACATGGTCACTGAAACTTACAGCCAAGGTTTCAATACAGTTGCCCTCCGTGATGTACTTGGTAAGAGCCTTTGCAGGCTCCAAAACGAATTTTCCAATATGCTGAGCAGCAACAATACGAAGGGCCTTGTCATCACTTGTCAAATCTTTGGCCAAACCTTCCACTTGCTCGGTTGACAGCCTGTAATAAGGACTTATCTCCTCTGATCAACCCGAACAAGTTAGCATCGCAAATGCAGATGCCTCATCATTAAAAGACCTTACCGTCATCCTCATCCTTCCTCTCTGAAGCAGGCTCCTCCTCCCCTGCACTTTCATATTCTTCATGTCGGTTTAGGTTACGGAAACGCTTTGCCGTAATTAGTTGTTCACGATGCTTTTTGCGAAGAGACTCATTGATGGCAACTCTTCTTTTGATAAGTTCATCAGGTGTTCTTGAGATGCTAGTACGCTTGTACAAGGAACGATGATCACCGCTGGAATTTCTTCTAGTTTTACCCATGGTATTACTGTAAATGTTTATTGAAAAAGACGAAACAGGAAAGAAAAAAGAAAAAATGTCATGGTATCTGTTAAATAGTCGACCCATGGGAGGATTCATGCAAATGAAAATTTGTTTTTTCCCGCTGTTGAATCGTGACTCGAGTAGACTATATGGTTCACATTAAACTTTCTTTCTGCCATTTGAAATAATGGTTCATGTGAAGATTTGGGCGCCATAGACAATGACCGAGAGTATTGCGTCTCATAATGATGCTCGTTTGAGTGTAATAAAGGCCAAACATAGCCAAGCACAACCTTTCACATAAAGCCAATCAAAGCAACATGTAACTTGATTGGGCATTCACATTTTTTGATGGGCTGCATAATAGATATCTGCCGGGACAAGACTGTACTGATTTGCTGATTTAGTTGTCAGTGCTTCTATTTTCTCTTCCCCCTTTATTTTCATTTCTACATCTTCTAATTAATCTCAAATGCCTAGAACACCACCAGCCATCATCCTTCCTAATAATTTACCATCTGCTTGGGTAAACCGTTCCAAAGTCAACAAGAAAAAATCCAACGCATCCAACATCTATGCCTCTCAAAAGCAAATCTCATTTGATGATACAGATGAGTACCTTATTATACCACCTATTCATTTAGCAGATTCCACTATCACTGATTCAAATGAGGTGACCTCGAGTATCATAGCTATAGATGAAATGCAAACAAGAACTTTGTCAGCATCTGTATCCACTAACCAAAGCTCTTACGCTAATACTACCACCCAACAACAGCAAAAATCACATCAGGAACATCAGCAACAACAGCATTTCCAGCAAACACAACAGCGACATCTTTCTGATCAAAAGAATGCCTGCTCTTCTTCTTCTTCTTCTGTCAAGCAAAATGCCTTAGCAGTTACTCCGTCTTCATCGCATAGTCATAGCAAAGAGAGCAACTTGATGAGCCATGAACAGGATCCCGATGTGACAATGGATGAACTAAATACCGCATTTGAACACCACAAACGCTCTGCAAACGACTTTCTTACACCTTCTAGTCAGCAGTTTGAATCTCTTGTCATGGGTCACTTAGGATTTGCATCGCATGATACATGTTGACACTAACTTCTTCTTTGCTATAGTCTCGCGAGATTTGGCATCCGATTTTCAAAAGTTTATGGAAGAGTATCGAGATATCAAAAAGTAAGAGTGTGTGGTTGTGGCTGCGCTGCCGTATATTCATAGTTGGCATTATCATGTAGGTCAATTGAGGATAAGAAGAAAGAACTGATTCAATACACAGAGGAACGTCTACGCTACTTGACACAGCGACAAACTCATTTCCAAAAGGAATTGAAAACATTACAAGAGTTCATTTAGGTAAAAGAGTTATAGTCATGCTAATACAGTAATGTATTGCTGTTCATCATCTGATCCATAATAATAAAAACATTCATTACAATCTTTAACCCCATTCGAGGATATAACAGTACACTATATGCACTACATTTCCGCAAAAGATTAAAATAATAGCATCAGTCCGTTTCGATCAGACGACCTCAGGGTTATGAGCCCTGCGCGCTTCCTGCTGCGCCATGATGCTACTTATATTATTTAAATCATAACTTATTATTCGATCCTAGCATAAACATCTTCGCAAATGTTAATCATCGAGTCTAGCACAAGAAAAAGCAAGTACAAATGAAATTGAAAGTCTTATCAAAAGTACGTTTGATGCACTTGTATAGTATATTAGTTTTATATTAGGAAGATTATCAAATAGGTTCCTGACATAAGTTTATTATCTGCAATATTTTTTCATTAATACTTATTGTTAAGCACAAAGAATAAAAGGATTATTATTTGTTGCTTATAAAAAATGTTCGATATTATAAAAACAAGAAAAGACTTATTTGAATAAGATCAGAAACAAAAACTAAAGATTTATTGATGAAGACAAGAGTTATTCTATTTATACTAAGTTCTGAATGCCAAAATAGCAATTTATCTTGTACAACGCTTATCACATCTGATGAACCTCAGCATTTAGATAGCTGAGATGCACTTCAATTATCATAGCTTGTCCATGTTGTTGCACAACACAGACATATCTACCCATCAAGAATACATTAATCTGTATAGACAGTGGTAGCCCTTCTGGCACAACACTTATATCGCAAGAACTTCCTAATAGCACTTCATCAAGACACATTCGACTAGCCAAAGCTAGAATTGGAGAGATTAAGAACCATGCAATATATTATTGTCACTAATAGCAATATTGAAAAAGGCCAGCAACAATTGTTTAGCCTTGACAGCAAGGTTCTTCAACATGTCAGGTATCTATTGATAACTTAAAACCAGCAAGTTAATATGGCCCTTTTCGTACGCTCCAATTTTTAAAATGCTTGGTCAAATGCATACATGTGTCGTGTACACATGCAAAAGCTCAACGGAGATTCAATTGCTATTGTTCTAAATGATGATCCATGGGATTCCGAAATCTATCGACCTTAAAATTACGCGTTTCTTGATAGTAACCACCCCTTCAAACTTATATGAAACTTGTAGAGAATTCAAAGGAAAATACAACGGTATCCATATCAAGTCTTTGGTGTACATTGTTCGCCTGATATTTGGTACAATTGTTTTTGCAATTTTATGACTGTTTTCTAAAGATTAATCACTACCTGTCATCAAAACATTTTGTTAAGCATTACTAAACATTGCAGACCAAAAAATTTCCTATCGAATGAGCTATTGCTTGAAGCTCTGGCATGATTCTATCATGAAATATTGACAATATTGTCCTGACCAAAAAAAGGTCACCCAGTTTTTTTGCTTGCTATCACAGGCAGATTTTGAAGAAAAATCCATGATTTTGCATGATACTCTTTTTTAACCATATCTCGACAAATACTCACTGGATTCGCACAAAACAAAGACCATTCGATAGCTCTACGTTATATCCATTATAATATAAGGGTTTTAAGTACCAAATGTACGTTCCCCTCATAAATTTGCTCAAAATCATATATTTTATGAGCTACAAGCGGGGGATATTCATTTTATATTTCATTTATCTATAATAACCATACCATCGTATAGAGAATTAAAAAAGAAACAGAAGCTATTAAGTTTGAAGCTCTCGTTCACTTAGTAAAATCCAGCGGTATGGCCCTTTGAAAATCGGTCATTTTGAACATTTTCCGTCATTACTCATTGACATCGTCCTCAATAACCCCACATCAATCATGCCCTAGTCAATAAATGTACTCTCTACAACTTTTACTACACATACATCTCACATTCATATAATAATATAAAAAGTTTTACTAGTACCATCTACTCATAATTAACCATTTTTCTAAATTCTCGCTTTTCTCAACAACCATGCTATCTACGTAAATTTGGTTTGTACCATCGTCATCTTGACAAAAGCGGAGCCCCAAATCGGAACGCGAATTGGAATTCGGAGTTCGAAATATTTATATGCCGTTTTTTTATAGCCCTGATGTTTAGGTAGTCTTTCGTACGTTTGCGATTAATTTTGTTGTGTTAAGGATAACGAGACATTTGAAATACCCGCGAGCGCAATTCCGTTTTGAAGTAGTTGAAAAAGTTGTATCTGCATCTGCTAGATTACGATGTATAAATAGTCGGCTTAACATTTATATTAGAATTAGCGCGAGCCCTACTAACAGGAGCATTCGCAGGAGCAATTGAAGATGACACAGCACGTTATGTTAGTAAGCTTAGCGTCTGCTAACTGTTTCTAGTTGTCAATTCAAGTTCTTATCATTGCTTTTCGAAATTAACGTAAGAAGGTAGAAGTTGATATTTTTGAATGGTTGTCATGGTGTTTGAGAGTATAGTCTACTACAAACAAATCTAAATGTATAACCCCTAGTAGTAGAAATACCGATACGATGCATACACTGAGGGTGAGCGCCTTGTTCATTTCTTTCCATGAGGATTTCAACTCTTGATGGCTTTCTGATTTGTTATTATGCCAAGAAATGAATTAAGAAAATGCTGTCGTCTCTGCTTACCTCGCATAATTTGCTTGCACATGCTGTACGTACTTTGCTCGAGTATAAAGCCATTAAAACAAGTGCTGAGAAAGATTGATATACGAATACAAGGATTGATTTGCATATCCCTTTTGAGTCAAAGGATATTTGGCGCATTTGCTGTGGTTAGCAAATTTCCACGCATTAGCAAGTGCTCTCCGAAGCCATACTTTGGAAGTGAGGTATGGTATTTTTGAGAGACATGCCAGAGGTACGTAAGAAGGCTACACCGATTGAAACATTACCTCGAATAAATAAGCTAGTAATACATTAATATAAAACTGGGTTCTTGAATGCGTTTATTTGCCAGTTAGAAGTTGTAATAGGATTCAACTTATTCAATGAAAAGCAATGAAGTCTAAACTCTTAAGAAGTACGTTATTGACCATCTAAGATTGCTTGAGCCTCATCATGGATCATCAAATGGCTCTGTACACCATAGCTGTATGAGTTTGCGTCTCGACTTTGATCAGATCCATCCTTAAAGGTTTCGCAGTGCAAACAGCCTTTGCGAAAAGCTAGTAGTTTTGTAAGGTCGTAATTAATCGGCATCGACCCAATTAGAAAATAGAGATAATCGCATTTGAGGAGATATCAAATTCCATTTCTAAATGTATCCATCATTATACATCACAGCCTCTTAAAGCTTCAATAATAAATAAAGTATCAATCTTCTCTATCATAAAAATTAGCTTCTCAATAGAAGTCTAGATTGAATGAGATACATTTTGTAGCACGCAGTGTTCTAAGTTTACCCTGCGAATTACTGTGTCGGGTTAATTCGTGTGATACCAAAAAAGAAAAGAAAAACATATAAAAAGATGAAATTTCCAGCTTTTTGTTTCTTTTCATTTATTCATTAAAGTTACCCTCTGATGATTGATACCAACAAGCCTATTGTAGTGATTGGTGCTGGTGTCATTGGCCTATCTACCGCATTGCAATTAAAGCAAAAGGGATATAAAAAAGTTATGATTGTTGCAAAGCATATTCCAGGTGATATGTGTATAGAATATACCTCTCCATTTGCAGGTAATGCTTCCAAGCTAGTGATTTATTGAGCGAAACCTGAATTACAATCTATTAGGTGCTCATTGGAGAACTATGGCACCCAACAACAACACATTATTGAAAAGTGAGCAGTGCTCGATTCATAAGACGTTAAATTGATCTGATTCCATTGTGTAGAGTTTGATACTGTTACATACAATCGATTCATGGAGCTCGCCAAATCCTCTGATAACACGGGTATTATGGCCGTTCCCAGCTATGACTATTATGATGACGCTGAATTGCCAGAGAATGCTGATCCGTGGTTCAAAGATCTAGTTCAGGACGTATGTTCATGCATGAATGAAGCGTATCAGACACTAATTTGCTATACATTTCATCAGTTTGAATTCTTGACAGAGAAAAACAACTTGCCACAAGGAGCCAGATTGGGCCACAAGTACACTACAGGTATTTTTTGAATTATAAGCTTGATCTACAATTGACTGACTCAGTGGGTAGTACTCATCAATACCCCAGTCTATATTGCATGGCTCGCGTCCAAATTCAAGGAATTGGGAGGAGAGATTGTGCAGCGCTATATTAGCCATATTGACGAAGTGTTCAACTTGGATAATAACCCATTTGTTATCAACTGTACTGGCTTAGGTGCTCGGTTCTTGGGTGGTGTCAGTGATGAAGCTGTGTTTCCTACAAGAGGACAGACGATCGTTGTCAAAGCACCCCACATCAAACGAACAATTACACATAAGGGTATGTTGAAACTCAGTGACATTATTGTGATGATAGGCGACTTTTATCCTAAATAGTAAACTTAGGGGCACAAGGCATTAATTATGTTATCCCAAGATCTGATGGCACCGTGATTCTCGGCGGAACTGCCACTAAGCATGATTTGTAAGCTTCGCCATTATGTAAAGCTGATGATTTTTTAATTCAAGGTACCATAGTAATCCATTCCCAGAGCCTCAAGTCAACAAGATCATCCTTGAAAAGACATTTGCTTTATGCCCTGAATTGAAGGACAAGCCATTAGAGATTGTAAAGTATAATGTTGGCTTACGTCCATCAAGAATCGGCGGTGTACGCATTGAAAATGAAATAATCAGTAAGTGGTATAAGATCCACATGGCACTATTTGATGGACTGACATTGTTGTGATTTACAGCCTCAAGAAACAAGCAGCAAAGAGTTCAAGTAACTCATGCTTACGGCCATGGCGGGTTTGGTGTGCAATCTAGTTGGGGCTCTGCTGAGCACATTATTGAAACTATGGAGAAGGGTTTCTCCACATTGACATCTGCTCGTCTTTAAAAATGACTGATGTGATACACGGCCATTTTATCCAATGCCATCTTGATTGGTGTATTGGGCGCGACGAAATGCTTCCATAGATTCAAACGCTACTAGAATAAATGTTGCATTGTAGGTTTGGTCAGCAGTTGCAATTGCAGTGTGGTACGATAAAAAGTGGTGCGGAAAATAACACTGAATAAGTTGAAGTTGTTTATTATCATGTTCCTTTATATGTCTAGTTGGTTAAAAGGGTAAGATTTGAGTGGGAAAAAAATATAAAATATGGTCTCTGCTGGAAGAAAAGGATAGTTTTCTCTTTCTTGATAAACAAAAAAAAATCAAATGGTTTGCAATGGTTGTAATTTAGGCAGGGTTACTGTCATCGGTGCTGGTGTGATTGGGTTGACTACAGCGCTCTTGCTTCAGCAAAGGGGTTACGAGGTAACGATAATAGCGGATCATTTTCCTGGCGATAAGGACATCCAATATACGTCGCCTGTAGCAGGCGCTCGATGGAGAACACTGGCACCAAACTCTGATTTACGTTTGCAGCGTAGGTTGGCAACACGCGTTTGCATTTGACTATATTGACGTTCAAGTAGGATACGACCGTGTTTCATTCAATTTCTTTTGGCAACTGGCTAAAACGCATGCGGCTGAAGCAGGTATCATGGTGGTATCTGCTTACGATTACTATCAAGATAGCAGTCAAGATGTGGTGAATCCATGGTGGAAATCATTGGTACCTACTGTAAGCTGTTTCTTTGATATATATATATATATATATATATATATTATGCAAATCGCTGACGAGTATCACATAGTTCCAGAAAATAGACGAAAAAGAATTGCCTGATCACATTTCGGCTGGTTACCATTACACCACAGGTAGCACAAACAAAGCTTAATTTTGCTACCTATAGAAACTAATCCCAAGTATAGTGTTGATCAACCCTTTGGTATATCTTCCTTGGCTCTTGAAACAATATCTTGCTATGGGCGGCAAACACAAGAGGCAAAAAATTGACCGGATTTCAGATGTTATATCTGATGAGGTGGACATTGTAGTCAATTGTACGGGTGTCAGGGCAAAGGATTTAGCAGGAGTGATGGATGCAGCCATAATGCCCACACGTGGTCAAAATGTCATCATCAAAGCACCACATATAAGAAGGACTATCTCCATGTTGAGTAAGCAATCTCTCAAAGTGATATGGAATCTGTATATTGATAATTTGGGATAGAGCGCGATAGTTATACGTATGTGATACCTCGTTGCGATGGCACTGTTGTATTAGGCACAACCAAGGACACTAATTCCACGTAGGATAGAGTATTTTAATGTACATTGAAATGCAAGTCTAACCGATTCGACATAGTGATCCAAATATTGACCCACACACGACAAACGATATCCTTCAGAGAGCAATTGAATGTTGTCCAGATCTGAGCCTACTACATAAAGGAGTCAATGATCTGGATGTCGTTGAAAACGTCGTAGGAATAAGACCTGTCAGACAAGGTGGCCCACGAGTACAAAATGAACATTATAGTAAGCTAGATATGATGTTGTCAAGATAAGCAATACTAAGGCAGTGCTTTAGAGCTACAATCAGGCAAAGAGGTGCTGATCACACACAATTATGGCCATGGCGGTTCAGGATATCAATCAAGCTGGGGCACAGCTCAAGAAGCTGTTCGCCTCATTCATCAGGGCCATAATGCATTGAGAAACGAATCAAAGCAGATGCGAAAATTGCTTTCTCGATTGTGATATCATTGACTGGAATAAATATCAAAATGATATGCTGCTGTAAAATGGGATTATACTGTATAAAACGAGGTTGGCACTTCAATACTAACGCGCATAGTCACTTGCCGTAAGACAACTGTTAATAAGACCTCAGACTGATTATGATTGAGATAATTTTGCTTAGAGTAAAGAAAAATATTGACATATTTATATGGTATAAAAGAAGGAGAAAGAGGTATAGTTATGCTCTATGAATAATACATCGTTGAACTGGATCAGTTGGTTCTGCTGAATTCCATTGAGTGATGGTTGAAAATGATACAAATGCCATACTATTGAGAACAAAGGTCAGCTTACTGCCCCACCCTAATGAGCGGCCTCTCTACTCGAACTTACCATATAATACCAAACAAAATCAATGCAAAATTAGCAATGCGTCTCGTGGTAGGCAGCTCCAAAGCCTTGAGATGAAACAAGGGAGGAAACACAAAGCAGAGAGGAATACAGAACAGGGCACCAATCAAAGCTACAAACTTGTCCAGTTTGTCCTTGGAGCCGATGATGCCAATGCCTGCACATAAAAACACCACAAACACTCGAAACACGTTCTTTTGCCACTTGACAATGGCATTGTTCTTTCCTGATTTGGTGGTAAACAGACCGTTTTCCATGATACGGATAGCCGGAAATAATTGCAATGGGATCGACAAGCAGATGGCTAGTGAATACAGTGTCTGGATGGAGGATACCATGGGATCCTTGCTAGGCAAGTTGAGTAAAATGATGGTTTGCACATTCTCGCCAAATGTCATGTAGGATAAAGCGCCCATAGTGATGAATAAGCAGGTGATTACCGTCAGGGCTCTGGTCAAGACGCGAGGGAATTTCTTGGGATCCTTCATGGATTCGGTAATGGGGATGACTAGATGAGACGATTAGATATACATATCTGGTTTCTATACTGACCAACACTAACCTAATCCAATGCCTTCAAATGTAAATGCTGCAGTGCCGAGGAAAAGCGGGTAATGCAAAGGATTCCACATCTCCACCTGCACCATGCCAACCGTAAACAGCTCCTTCAAATCATAGTAAAACAGGTAGATCAATCCAATCACAATAAAGACGTCTGCAATCAAAGCGAATACGGATAAGCGTTGGATTTTTCGAATCATGGCAAGTGGAATAAAGGCAAAACTTTGAGCCAATATCAACAGATGCATTGGGATGGTGAGTCGACACTTGGAGAACGTGAGCACCAATGACTGTAAATTCTCTGCAACAAAAATCATGTAAGCGCATACAAATCCAATCTGTGATAATGTGATGGCGACTAGTACAGCAACTCGCATACGGGATCCATACAGCACGCCTCCCATGTCTCCAAAACTAGCAGGCACGACGAGTCGAGTCTGCACCAGCAGCAAAAAGGACCATAGTGAGATCAGGGCCCAGGCAGTGATGGCAAAGATGGAGAACAACAAACCTCCATTGTAGAAACTATCCCACACAGTCAATGATCCAAACAACCAAAAGTGATCACTGTATCTACTTACGCTTTAGGCAAAAACATGATGCCAGTAGTGACAAATGACTTGAGTAGTAGGAACATGGCTTTACCCGGCGTCGCTTTTCCTTGCAGTGTCTGTCCTGGACGAGATCTGGACAACAGTGGCATGGTCTCTCTTGCTTGAAGCTGTTTGTATTGCAACGGGACGACGGGTCGTTTTGTGTTTGTTGAGATGGGTAGCGGTGAGCCTTGTGTAGCGTCTGTTGCTCCATACGAATACGATGCATTGTTCAAGGGCGGGCGATAGGCCATGATACCGCCCTCAGGTATGCTGTCATCCTCGCTGCTGGCACCTGCACCATTGTCATCTTCGCTTGAGTGATACGAATCTGACGAGGAATCCGAAGAGGATGATTCAGCATCGCTCAAATTCTCACCTCCAAAATGGCCATATAAACAGAGGAATTCTACAAAGCTGGATGTTACGAAATTAGGGGGCTTCTTCCCCTGTTTCGCTGCTTTGCTCAACACATAATGACGCCTGAAGCCACCAGGTTGCTTCAAGGACTGCAACGACACATCGACGGTAGGCTCGCGATGTGCAGGCAGTGATATACTCTGTGTGCGATTTCTCTTTTGCTGTTTGTTCTCTACTTGAGCTGTCCATTTGTAGATTTCATCGAGTATGGAGCCACCAGGTAATAAATGATGTGTGTTGTAGGTAGGCTGCTTCCTTTGCTCCTGTTGCTGTTGCTTCAGCTTCTGCTCCTTCCTTTGCTTTTGCTGCTGTTTGCGTTGCTGGCGTTGTTTGCGTGAGGGATGCGGTGGTATCAGTGAAGATGATGAGGATGCTGGATGATAAACGAGGTGGCGTTTCACCACTTTGGCTACTTGTTCGACTGGTAAGTCAATGGTTACTGAGCGTTCCATTTGTTCCTTCTCAATATATATCTATATCAATATACAAAATGATAGAAGAGAGTGTGTTTTGCTTGCTGGATTACTAGTAAAATTATGTGAAAAAAAAGAGGTTGCAAATGAAAAAAAAAAATAGACACATTCTCGTCCACTTGGCTTTAGTAGAGTGCTACTGCACATCACTCTTTCTACTACTCCCACACACACACACATACAATGGATCTCCGTGACGGCCTGAGCATTTGATCTGCTGTAGAGTGGACGATCCATCATGAAGCGATCGACATTTATATGAGGGAATGTAGTATGGATCATCTGGCATGTGTTTGCTGCATTTGCATTGTATGAAACATATGATATGATTGATCATTTGTAAATGGAGATTCATTGCAAATGTTCTTTCATGTTCTAAATGGCCATAAATGGCTTTTAATTTGATAAATCAGATACTAATGCCAATGGCTCATCAAGAGCATCTTTCCCTCTGTGGAAGCTTTCAGATCCGAGAGTGAGTAATTTTGTTTGATGAAAGGCTCATTTCCTATGGATTAGCGCTCTTGCAACAGATTACATTCGATCAGGAGGAGTGGCAAAGCAGCGTAACTCGTAATTGCCCATACTAAGAACAACAGCCCAGGACATGTCTCCCTTATTGTTTTGGTGTTTGCTACAGATCTGATACTGAGCGTTCAAGAGCTCCTCCAGTTTCTCAAGATTGGTTTTTGGAGATACATCAAATCGGTTTACAATACAATTGATTTGGCAGCCTTGGTTATGCCTCCAGTCTGCTTTTAGTTAATGATCACTAGTACAGGGAGTTACGTTAGAAAGCAAATGAAATCAGTTTATAAGACTCTCATAGTCATGCTGGTGGTCATTTTCGCTTTTACACATGCGTTCATCGTCTTGCTACTCTACAAAGATGACTCTTACTTTCAGGAGCAATACTCTGGATTAAGCAATCTAACGGATACCATGTCAAATGCCGAAAATAGTGTGAGCTATAGCGACACTAGTGCAAGCAGCAGCTCTACCAATCTATTACAGGCTTTTTCAACATTATGGCTTTTCATTTATGGTGTTTAGTATCCTATCACTGATGAAGATGCGGGAGATGACGTTATGATTATAGTGTTCGCAATGATGTTCTCATTCGTCACAGTGCTGTTGTTCTTCAATCTGGTTATGTAAGGTATTATACTAGAAGTGTGTCAGATAGTCAGTAGCTTAATGTAGCAAAATTGCTTCTAGAGGTCATTGCCGAGATAGAACAATTTTGGTGCACCAGATCTGAAAGGATTAACCGCAAGAATAGCCCTAGTGTCGTATATTACATTGCCACATACACTGCTGTACGGCAGCAAGCTGAATTACTAGAGAGAGAATGCGACTCATTGATAAAAAGAGCCAGAGGTTAAGCTAAAAAAAAAAAAAAAAAGCAGCGAGCCAACCGTTCGACCTGAAGATAGCTATACTGCAGTGGTCGAAATTATCTACTATTAATAAAGTGAAGCACTAATTGCATTTCCATGAAGTACTTGCCGACATGCGATGCATTCGGCTAACAACAAATACCTGTAAATTTATGAAGGTTATTCTTCTACCTACATGTCTACACGTTGCTACCATCCACAACAAATCAAATCCATGTGCATACAGAGATACCACCAATGGGACACCCCAAATGAGGTACTTTTCATATGCGATAACATAAATAGGTCTCTTTTAGAACCACGATCAACTTTCTCTCTTTCTCCCTTTATTTATCTTTCAACATTCGACTTTATATGGAGGAAGAAGAAGGTACAGACCTGTTTGATAAGCTAGTAAAGATCCTGGTATTAACAACAATGCAGAAATTTGTAGAGTGTGCCGTTCAGAAGGAACGCTGGAGCAGCCTCTGTTTCATCCTTGTAAATGTGCAGGCAGTATTCGATATGTTCACCAGGACTGGTAAGCAGCCATTTTTTAAACTTACAGAATAGCATTGATAAACGACATGTATAGTTTGATCGAATGGCTGACGCATAGTCGAAAAAAGTAAGCTGCTGAATAGCGTTTCATGTTGCATGTCAACTAAACGGAACAATGCTTAGATATTGCGAATTATGTGAACATCCATTTACATTTACGCCAGGTAAAGATGAGAATGGTAGAACCCAACGAGAGAAAAAATCGACTGAAAAGCCACCATGTATTATAGTGTATCGACAAGACATGCCAGACGTACTACCGCCTAAATTATTCATACAACAGTTACGGAAAAAACTCGCGTTTGCCATCACAACTACATTACGAGCCATCTTGGTGTCCTGTATTTGGCTGATTCTGTTACCCTATTTCACCATCTGGATTTGGAGATTGTACTTTTTCTTGGGTGCTAATCTATCAAAGCATTTATCAAGACTGCAACACATGAAACACCAGTTTGGATTTTCTTTAAAAAACAAGGACCGAGCTGAGATGATGCTGGATCTTGCGTTAGCTGGTGATCATGGTCTCCTTGGCAATGACACTTTGCTTACTGCTACACCACCACCATCACATTCAACTTGGTTTGAGGAATACAAATCCCGATTTTCATTGCAGTAAGAAGATGAATCATCGTCGAGATTGTCTCTATGGACTCATCGTTTCATAATTGTAGGACATTCTTGGCAGATTGCTTCGAGGGCCAGATCATCACTTGCGTTGTGGTCGTGATATTCGTCGCTGTGTTTCTGTTGAGAGAGTGGATTGTGCAAAATATACCAATGGATGCGCCCATCATTGAAGACGAGGAAGTCGCAGAGATCGAGGAGCATGATGACCAAGTGGCCATTCCACACCCACAAGAACCACAAGAACAGCCTGTTGATAACTTGTTTGACAATCACTGGGATCACCAAAACGAACCCTTCGACCTAGATCAAGGGCCCCCTTCACCCGTGGCTACTGCAGCATGGCTTGATCGAGGTGAAACCAGCGCTACCGATCAAATCTTTAGCTACAACAGCAGCAGCAATAGCCACAGCAAACACACCCGTGCAACATCGATGCCTCCCTCACTATCAGCCACAAGCTCGTTCTATGACAGCGATGAAGGGTACAATGGTAGTGGTTCATTGGGCGTAAATGAGCCATTGGAGAATCGCAGATCAGTTAGCATGGAGCCATATATCGATACCACACCCTCAGATCATCGCAATGGCGCAAGTAGTAGCAGTACAAGTACACCTGATGCTGCTGTTCTTCGAGGACATCCTCCCAATGCACCAAGATTAAGACATGCTGAAGCACCACGCCCCATTATTCGACCTATCTTTGAAGAACTAGAGGAAGAAGAAGAGGCACCACAAGCTCAAGCGCCCGCAGCACCAGCCATTGAAGCACGTCCACAGCAACAACAACAACAACAACAACAGGCAGTGAATGAGGCAGACGACGATGATGACAATATTGAAGAGTTTGAAGGTGTGCTTGAAGCCATTGGTATGCAGGGCAGTTTATGGTCCTTGCTGCAAAACTGTGCTCTGATGGGATTGCTGATTGCACTCAGTCTTGGAGCCGCTGTGTGGATGCCCTACTTGATTGGCATGTTGTTTATTATGACAGAGACCTTGGATTTGATCCGCATACCACTCAAACTGACGCGCATGATCACAGACCCTATTGTCGACCTTTTATTCTATGTGTGCACGGATTACATTGCACCTTGGCTTTCAGATGTCTACACGCAACATGTGGAGGGCTATTGGGTTGCCTTTTCGACCAGTCATCTATCGCAAAAGATCTCGATTGCCTTCATGTACATGTTCAACTACATTTTCAATCATGGCTTGCTGCTCTCAGATTCCTCCAATGCCAGTTTGACAGCATCCAATATACCCTCAGCATCAGAAGCAACTGCTTCCAATACCATCATGATGTCCATGGCTAAATTCATCAATGAAACAGAGCCCGTCTTGGAATCCGCTTTTCAACGCTACCAATCACTTGCTACAGGACAGACAGCGTTGGATCGTTTCGCTTGTATCTCTGTAGGCTACATCATCGTCACCATTGTCAGTTGCTGGTACCTTGCAAGATCAGCCAATAACAACAATACGGCAGCAGCTGCGTTGGGTCGTACAGCGCAAGAAGCTATCCGTCATCAAGGCATCATCTTCAAGGTAGGCATGTTTATCACCATTGAGCTTGTCATGTTCCCCATCGTCTGTGGTTTCCTGCTGGATCTGTCGACACTGCCTCTGTTCAAGTCGGCCTCTTTTCTGGGCCGTCTCTTGTATCTAAAGTCGCATCCTGTGCCTTCTGTGTTTCTGCATTGGTTCTTGGGCACAGGCTTCATGTTTCTGTTTGCCGTCTTGGTGACATTGTGTCGCGATATTGTGCGTCCAGGTGTCATGTGGTTCATTCGCGACCCCAACGACCCTCAGTTCCACCCTATTCGAGAGATTGTGGAGAGACCCATCTTGTTTCAATTCAGAAAGATTGGTGCCAGTGCCTTGATTTATCTTACAGTGATTATCGTCGGTGTAGGTGGCGTGGTTCATTTCATTGACACTGCGGTTGGGCAAATTCTACCCCTGAGATGGAACCTTTCGTAAGTGAAAAAACCATGCCAACAAAATTGATATCTTGCTTGTTTCGTCGAGTTAATGTGGCTTAACAAACTTAGTAGAGTTCCTCTGTCTGTGGTGCCATTAGATTTGATCATCATTCATGTGGGTATCCCAGCAATTGTCAGATACTTTAAGCCAAAGCAGACCATCAAACAGCTATTTGTGCAATGGATCACGCTTACATGTCGTCAGTTGCGACTGTCCTCATTCATGTTTGGCGTTAGGAAGGCAGATGAAGAGGGCACACTCATATACCATGATTGGATGGCCTGGCTGAAGCGCACAAGGCCCGCACATTATCCTGCAGACGGCACCATAGATGATGTGATTGGCCCTCGGGTATCTTACTTGTGGGAAGGTCAATTGCTGCGTGTGCCTCGCCATGACAGTGTCCCCATCATTGAACGTCGTCGCATGCTAGTCCCCGTTGACAATGTCACACTGGAGCCTATTGATGAAAATGAGAGACGCTTGGGACATCCTGCCGCCAGTGCGCCTGGTGGGGATGAAGTCAACACGGTCATTGTCTACAGCCCTCCTCATTTCAAGGAAAGAGTGCTTGTGTTTGTCGGCTTCATGTGGCTCTCTACAAGCATGTTCTTTTGTACCATCACTGTATTGCCCGTCCTGTTGGGTCGATATCTCTTTGAACATCAATTGCACGTGGAGACTGAGGTGCACGACATTTATTCATTTGTACTGGGTGGCTGTATCATGCTGTTTGCTGGTACTTTGCTGCTCCAGTGCTATCACTCCATCAAGGACATTGCCTCGCAATCTACATGGTCCGATTTTACTCTGTCCATCTGGCTTCAAGCCAAGAAATGGACCTTGTGGATGACTCGTTGGGCCTTCTTTGTAGCAGCATTTGGCGTCATCGTGCCCTTTTCGTTTGGTCTCTTGATTGAGCTGTATCTCGTACTGCCGTTTATCAATCTCGGTAAAAATGTGCTTTCCATTGAAGTGCTTCCCATGTGGGCTGCTGGATTTGTGTGTCAAGTCATCATGCATGGATTTATTCAGGTGATACCCAACAACAGAATGAAAGCGATATTGGATGATGTGAGTATAGGATGAGTTTCTTGAATGCGATGACTGACACAGCTCTGGCATACTAGATATTTCAAGGAGGCATCAATGAAATGAAGATTGAAACATGCTGTATAAAGCTGCTGGGCCCTGTTTTGTTTGTCACCATGAATGCTGCTTGTCTCCCCTTTTTACCTGCTTATATCAATGTAAAGATCCTTGGCAATAATCGTAAGTGGCTATCCCATGGACACAGCAGCACGACCTTCGTTAACGTATTCTTGTAGTTGAACGCAATGATGAAGTAACCATGAAGCTATTGCAAATGGCTTATCCTACTGCGCTTGTGGGTGTTGGCAGCTACTATCTGGGTAAAGTAGGCAGTCGATTTAGAACTAGATTAGTGCAGAATATCAGAGAAGACAACTATCTGATAGGCAGAACATTGCACAACTTGGATCAATAAGCATTTTATATTTCTCTCTCATTCATTATATACACACACACTCTCTCTTTCTCCTATATACATAGTTTCATTATATCACACACACACACACACACACACCATGTCATTATACTCTTTTCTTTCAAACCATATATTGTACATTTCATCTGTTTATTCAATTAAAATGCAATTCTTTACGTAAACGAGACAATTCATTCACGGCTAGTTGTCCAGGAGCTGCTGCAATCGACATGGTAGGATGAGTTGCAGGGCTTAGGAACTGGTTAGAGATTCTAGAGAATCGACCATGAATGCCCATATTGATCAGAATGATTTCCTTGTTCTTGTTGGCATCCACTTGACGTCTGAACTGCTCCAGTTCAATGTTATCATAAAAGGTGTCTGCAAAACCAACCAATTTGATGACTCCTTGGTGGTTGTATGTATCAAACAGAGACACTGCTTGCTGATAGACCTTTTTCATCGCAGCGTCAGACCAGGACAAAGTGTGGTTTGGATCATGGAAGGAGGAGATGATCTTGGTATTTTCATAGTGTTGATTCATTTCCATCATGACTCTCTGTCGTTCTTCTGGAAGTGTGCTGGACTCCATGTCAACATAGTCGCATCCCCATCGATGGCCCCATTGTAGCAATGTTTCGTAGAGATCGACTTGGGTAGGGTCAAATTTGCCAGCTTGAGGTTGTGTACGGACCGTGTAGATGATGGGCAGACGCGTCAGTTGACGAAGATGAGCAAGTTGATGGCCTACATTGGCAACCCAATCATGCAAGGTCTCTTGGACAGGTAGATGATCCACTCTGAATTCAATAGCATCTGTACCTTCAAGCCATTGTTTCATGAGACAAGGCAAAACGGTTGCATAGGATGATATCGTTGGTGTTACAAATGTTGTCTGCTTGCTTTGCATAGGGTCGATATGGCGAGGTTGAGACAGCATGCTGATATTGATAAAGTGAAGCAGCTGAAAGACAAACTGAGCATCGGCCTTTTGCGAGGGCAGGATAACGTACTCATACCAGACATCACCGCTGTTTAAGGGTTTGGTAGAACCTGCCTTCTTGGTCATGCAAATCTTGATCTCCTTTCTTGCATTGCTGCCGGCAAGCCTTACATGTTGGTCATCTTGAGAAGCCATATCAAGGCCCATTTTTTTGAATGCCGTACAGAGGGTACTGAAATACGGTGATAGATCGACTGAATCAATTGCGATTTTCAGGGGAAACGTATTCATGAAAGGATGTTCTTGAAGGAGCATCTTGGATGAGCTGCCATCACTGGATGAGGAAGAGATGTACTTGGCCAGGACTTGCTCAATAGCAACATCATCCACATTGGTAGGCTTGCTCTCCAGAGTTGATCCAATGTCTTTGAGTAGCACAACCCTCTTTTGAACGCCTTTGTTCTTCTTGTCTACCTTCATTGTGTCCATGACGCGCGATAGTTCCAGTACTTTCTTTGAGTACTCATCGAATTGAATAGGTAGATCATACAATTGCAAGCACTTCTTTAGCCTCTCAATAGCGCCGAGAGAACAGTAGCCCAGATAAGATGACAACTCTGCTTCGTGTATTAAACCAAGCGAAACACACTCTCCATGGAGCCATTCAGGAGACAAGTGAGCCTCATAAGCATGTCCCAGAGTATGACCAAAATTCAATAAACCACGCAATCCATTTTCCTTTTCGTCTTGAGTGACAACATTGGCTTTGAAGGCAGCACACGAACTGATGACATTCAACAAAAATGCTTTATCGGCATCTACTTCAAGCAAATAGGTTAATATATTGGTCATCTACGCACCACGGTATAAGCTAACACTCGCCTAAATTAGTTCCAATGTCACTAAAACCTATTATAGCTGATTCAATTTGAGATTTTCCAACTTCAAGCTGTGCAAACTCGGCTTCATTTGATATAGCAAATGTCTATTACGCAAAAAATGAATGAGATGTTTGACTGGTTGCCATGGCAACATACTATTTACCTTGATCACTTCAGCCATGCCATTCGCTATTTCTCGTTTTGGAAGCGTTTCCAGGACAGACAAATTCATATAGATACGCTTGGGTTGCCAAAAGGTACCAATCAAGTTTTTACCATGCGGTGTGTCGATTGCAGTTTTACCGCCAATGCTGGAATCCACCATCGCGAGCAAGGTAGTGGGTATCTGAACAAACGGTACCCCGCGCATGAATGTCGATGCCACAAATCCAACAAGATCGCCCATGACCCCACCACCCAAGGCAATCAGACATGTGTCGCGAGTGCACTTTTCATCCAGCAAAAAGTCCTCAATGGATGCCTTGACTGTGCGCGATTTCGATTCCTCGCCACAAGGCAAGATGCGAGTTAAAAGCCGTTGACTTGACTTAAGATGGGATTGAATGGATTGACACAAGGTGTCAAGATAAAGCGGAGCGAGTTGAGTGTCGGTGATAATCACATAATTAGATACGTTATTGATGTTTCTGGTCAAGTCGGTTGCAATGTGATCCATCAAATCATAGCCAATTTGAATAGCATTGGGAACGTTCAGCAAGGGAATCGTTGTAACATTGGGCAAGTCAAGTACCATTTTTGTATAGGAGAATATTACAGAGAAGAAAAAAAAGATCGAATGGCTGGTCATCATATAGGACATTTATATATACTTGCAATGTTGTTTGTTATTAGTAACATAACTACTGTATAACCCCGCATAAATTTGTTGATTGATTGATTGTATGTGCACATGTAGTCATTAGAAATTATAGATATAATGAGCCAGTTTGCAAATGAGAAATCAACAACTCTCTTTCCAGCGATGAAATTGTTTGTGTTTTCTTTAGCAGCTGTGTGTTTGTGCAGTGCTGCTGTGATTGCAGCTCCAATCAGCGATAATGTGGTCAATGAGGATGTTCGAGACATTCGCATGCCAAAGGACACATCCTATGTTGATTTTAGCGGTATGGGATTCCTGCAAAAAAGAAGAAACAGGCATGTAAAAACCGTCGTTAAATACATGACCAAGAACAAGAAACTCAAAACAACATTGACGCTGACTGTCAAGGGCAAACCTCGTAAAACTGTGTTCACCACTACATTAAAGCACAATAACAACAGAAAGCATCGCAAGACAACCAATAGCAAATCTAAAAAGAGCAATAAAAGGCATTCCAAGAGCAGCAAGAAAAGGCATTCAAAGCACACCAAGAAAACGCACATCAAGAGCACTAGAAAGCACAGCGACAAACACAAGCAAGGGAATAATGATTCAAATGACTATCCCAATGCTGGTAAAGGCACTTTTTTTTCGCCAAACAGAGGCTCTTGTGGCTGGAAGAATACAAAGAATGATTTGATTGTGGCTGTCAATGCACCAGACATGGCAAACAAGAAGCATAAATCAGATGAGAATCCCAAATGCGGCCGCATGGTTGAAGTTGTCAATGCAGCAGGCGATAAAGTCAAGGCTCAAGTTGCAGACACGGTATGTAGATAAATAGATGTCTGAAAGATGGAACTGACAGAGAGATATTCTCTTGTAGTGTCCTGAATGTAGTAAAGGCGACTTGGATTTGAGTCCTGCTGCTTTTATCAAGTTGGCACCTTTCAAGCAAGGCATTGTGAAAATCAGATGGAGATATCTGTAAACGATGCATCTATCATCGCATACTATATACGTTTCATGGATTTTGACATAAAGGCGGATAATTAATGCCTCTATTAGCTGTCATCTAGATTCTGGTAGCATCAGGTCCACTGGTTTTGATCTTGTCTTACTAGGTTCGCCTTTCAATTCAGGTCCTAAATAAATACTCTCAATTTGCCCCTAGGGAATTTTTTCTCTATCCATCATGATACCGACTACATGGGAGTCTCTATTACTAGAAGTGTGAATAAACATATTTGCTCGAATCAATAGTATAGAGGATTTCATCCAGTGTCGTTTGGTGTGCCAGATTTGTGTTCCTCTTGTCGGAAAGCCAGGCTCAGTCAAACCTTGCGCTTTTAAGAGAATAAAAGCAACGCAATAAAGCTTGACTAGCACTGGTCAAAAAGTCTTTCTTGAGTCGATATCAAGGAAGTTGGGATGGACACATCGTTCAGCGGAGACTAAGAGGTAGGCGTAGAAGATGTTTTGGAAATAGAGATTGTACAATAGAAAATCTAATTCTTGATTGTCAATGTCTGATAAAAGCAATACGACATGTTCTCGCTTTAATCTTCAATGACGATGAAACAAATAACTGCCCTCGCATTAAAAAGGGGCTGTCTTTTTGACATTTCGGAAGCTGATTCCTGCGGTTACAATAAAGCTGTCGCGTTCATTCTGTAGTTGTTTCTCTTTCTGATCAATTTAATCAAAATGGGCACATTATTTTCCAAAGAAAAGGTAATTAGACTTTGCATTCATTTGCTACATTGAATGCCTAATGTTATTATCTAGTCTGGTTCAGACAGTTTCGAGAAGGTGCTTTCTAAATACGACGATGATGTCCAGAAATACGAAATACAGCTATCCGATATCCGAATTCAAGATCGTCGAGTGAGTATTCTATGGGTATTGTATTCAACAGTGCTGTGGGCCGTCTATATTGCATATTATCTGTATATGCTGCATGGTGGATATTCAAACAATATACAGGAGCAATTGTTGGCTGCAACACCTATTCTACTTGGACCTATATGGTACATTTTGTGATAAACGAGACGATAAATTCATCATTGATGTAACAATTCATGTAGTATTTACTATGTGAGAAGGGGTCTCAAATGGGTTTACAACAAGCGCTTAAACAACATTACCACCAGGTTGAATACACTTCGCAAGAAGCAAAAGCTAAAGGTGGAGGAATTGAAGAAGAAGACTGCCTATTATACAACAAAATCATTGCTGGAACGATACGATCCAGCATCAGAAAAGAAAAGGGAATTGGATGAAATCAAGAGAAACAAGGTGATCGAAGAGCGAGAGAGACAGAAGGGTGTGTAATTAGTTTGAGACCGAGATTGTATGCTCACATCCTGGTATACCTACAGCATTGCAAAAGCAAAAGCAATCTGACAAGAATCCAGCATCGGTAATAAATCAACAACCTCCATCACAGCCATGGTATGACAAGTTAGTGGATGCCTTGGTTGGCGATGTTGGACCAGAAAGCAAATATGCATTAATTTGCATTCATTGTAATGCGCATAATGGGTTGGTTCTGCCACAAGAAGTGAATACAATTCGTAAGTAAATACACTCCATATAGGACTCAGTTTTCTGATATCTCTGATAGAGTACACTTGCCCTCATTGCCATCAATTCAATCCCTCACGAAAATCACGTATGCCTCACCCTGAAGGATCTGTGCTACCAACGGTGCCACCAAAACCAGATCATGACGAAAGTATCAATCTTGTCACCAGCGACAGCAGAAATAGTAACAACAGTGTTACAAAAGGCACGTTATTACGACAGCGAAAGACCACAGAAGACAAAGAGGAACCAGCAAAGCCCTATTCCATTGAATGAAAATGGGTATATTACCAATAAAACGTAAATTTTATTTCAGTGTATGTATATTTGACGATTAGTTATTTACAGAGAGCGCGCTTATAGGGGAGAGTGGGAATATCACAACCATTGTGTAGGTATCCTACTTGCCCATGATACCGTGTGATTATTTAAATGTAGGTTCGTTGTAAATAGTTTGCTGGATAGTAGCCATTGCTGTATGCTTGCCCATAGAGAGGTGCACTGTTGTACATGGAAGAATACACCGGTGTATTATAAGCATAAGTGGGCATTGTATAATTGCCGTACGCCGTAGCGTAGGGTGTAGATGCGTAACCTGTAGCCATGGCTGGATATAATTGCTGCTGTTGGTAAGCACTGTAGTAATTTGGCTGAGCATATTGCGGTGTGTAATAGGCACTGTATTGCTGGTATCTTCTGCAATATCTCTCGAGCTGATTTGAAGGCGTGAGTGTCATTGTGTATGCATTGGATGGCAAATCCGCCCAACGTACCTCATTGTTATAGCCATTGTATGCTCCACCGTATCCACCATAGCCATAGCCATAGCCATAGCCATATGGATCTTCCGCACTATTAACATTACCCATGATGTGTGTGTTGATTGTAAAACAAGAAATGAAGAAAGGGGAGAAACACAAACAGACAAGCTTTTTATACAATGGTTCTACAATTGGATCATTGTCATCTCCAATACTTATTACTCTTTTGAAACACGGGCTGCGTCGTTTATAGGTGTTGGTAATGTGACAATCAACGTTTTGTATAAACAAACAATCCTTCATCCGAGTTTTCCGAATATTACTCTTTTAAGGAGGGCACACTCAGGTAAAGACAAGCTGGATGAGGTTCATTAGCAATGGGAAGTAAATCAGAGAACAATGGCAATGATCCTTCCCACCAGTACCCTATTGATACAAATCATATCGCATTTTTTTTTTAGATGCTTGAACTATATTTCAACACTAGTGGTTCCGTCACCCACTGAGATTGGCTTTTTTGCGAAGCTATAAGTAAGCAGATCAAATTCGTAGATAGCCAAGACATAACTGCATAAAATACAGGTTATCTGCTTGCCTGAATGGATTTCAATAAAAAGTAAAACAAGGTATTGACATAATTAGTTATCGTCATAAATGATAACACTAACTCTCAATGGTTCGGGTATTCGCCAGCGTTCCAGACATTGTATTCAAGTGGCCACAAGCCAGTCGTTTGACAGGATACTTTAGCGAAAGAGTGTTCAGCAGTAGAGAAGCCATTCATCTCCTAGCAGATGACTGATTTGAGGCACGTAGCCATGTACTATTCATAGCATCAGCATTACTTGCTTTTATTACTCGTATAAGTCTGATGAGAATAGTGTCTAGGTGTGTTGGATAGCGCTTCATTCGTATAGAGACGTGTCGTATCATCCATGGACATAGATTTCTTGTGCGTCATTGCGATAGTACTGAAACCAGCAGCAGATGTCTCTACCTTTTCATTGTCCAACAAATCAGAGAGATAGTCCCTGTATTCCTGAGCATGCTGATTCCCATTTTCAACAGCCAAAGTCAGATAGTTCAATGCCATCATGTTGTCTGGTTTCACACCTAATCCATTCAGATACATGACGCCCACTTGCAACTGAGCGTCATGGCTATGGTTGTCAGCTGCCATCAGAAACCATTTCATGGCCTTGACATAATCCTGTTTCGTGCCATAACCATCATAGTACATCCATGCCAGATTGCATTGTCCCGAACTATTCCCATTTTTTGCCGATTTACTGTACCACTCAAAGGCCAAACGATGATCCACTTTGAGTCCTCCTAGTCCTTTTTTGTGATATACACCAATTTGATTTTGTGCATTGCTATTGTTGTTGCTGGCTGCTTTGATGAACCATTGCAGTGCTTGACGATGGTCCTGCTCTACTCCCCACCCTCGTTGATACAGGAACCCCAGCGAGTTTTGTGCTGCTCCAAGACTGCTGCTGCTGCTCTGTAGATTACTGCTTGCTTTGAGAAACCATTGATGTGCCATGGCATAATCTTGCGGCACTCCGCAATTACCGTAATAATACAGTGTACCCAGCTGATACTGTGCGTCGCCATAATCATGGATCGTTGCTGATTCTGTAAACCACTGTAGAGCTCGCACTGGATCATGCGGTGTACCCAAGCCATGCTGATAAGCGAGAGCCAACTCATGCTGAGCAGCCCCATGTCCTGATTCAGCAGCCTTCTGGAACCAATCCAAGGCGATGGACCGATCATGGTCGCTGGTTTCATCCTTGCCGGCGATGCACTTTTTCCCCAGCGTGTACTGCGCCTGTGCGTTGCCTTGCAATGCCTGTTTCTTCAACGTAGACGATACGACATCTGTTTATTGAGGGAGAATACTAAATATACAACCTTTTCTTTTCAATATAGTTCGCTGCTAGTTGTGTGCACAGCTTACCCTCTTTCTTGTCAAATGCCTTTTTCAAAAAGAAAGACTTGATCATTGTAATTGTATATTTAGTTGAACAAGAAGAAGAAGAAGCAGAAAAAAAAAAAGAACTGCTTGATCTTCTCTTGGAGCCAATACTTCCTTTGTGTCTCATCATATCATGTGGTTATATGTAATGGTGGGCAAAATTAATATGTGACACTTTGAGGTTATTTATAGCCTCTTCCAGTGGATCCTGTTTACATAACGATATAGTGTATGGAAGGGAAGAGCATACTCTGTAGGTATTGTGTTATATATATAGGTATTGCATGTTTAAAACAGCCCTTTGTAGATTGCAACTATAAAGAACAACTCTTTCCAAACAATTTATAAAGTGCCACATGTCAAATGACAAACGTAAAAAGTGCCCTGAAGTGTGATGTACATTTATTGATTTACACGATTTTCTGATTTTACATGTCCATCGTCTTCAAATATAGATTCTGTAGGCATGACACGGTTCTTGTCTTTGAAAATGCCCTCCAGCGCATTGACCCAAGTCCTTCTTTTGGTCATGGCGTGTACTGCGTGCTCTGAGAGAGCAGATTTCGAAGAAGCCGGTGTCTTTCTCTTTTTTGATTTTTGAGTCCTCTGTATGAAAAAGCATCATCATTAAATCGCTGACTTCCTTCACCGATATGCCAAGACTAAATACTTACAAATCGCTTTAGATAACACTGCTCTACTTGAATATCTAGGTTATCCAAAACATGTCTATATTGCTCGTACTGCAGCTGGTTATCAACTACGCTCAATAGACGCTTTTTCCGGTACTCATTTGTTGTGTATTGCTCCTTGAGTTCTCTCGCTGCTAGTCTTAGTTCTGCACAAATTTCATCATCCTCTCTTGCGCTCCAGTCGACCTTGAATACCATGTGTTAATATCCAATCTCTCTCTCTCTCTCTCTCTCTCTGCTTACGACCAGGTCAAACTCACATCATCTTCACCAAATAATCCTGCATATCTCAATTCAGTTTTCAACCTCTCCTCAAAAAGCGCAATGTCATCAGGGGGAACAAACGACATTTCCTCTATGGATCGATTGTGGTGGTAGTCTTTGGTCGTATTCAACAGCTCATTCGATATCACATCGTCTTGATCGTCCTCTTCGTCATGAATCATGATGCCTTCATCTGTCACCAAACTACTCAATAAGCGTTCTGTCAATCTTCCGCAGCTAATATCCTCCTTAAACAAGTGATCGTCTGTCAAAGGATGAGTCAAGTATTTTACATGATCGTGTGAGCCTTGTCTTGAACTTGAGCTCATGGGCGAGTGGGATCGACTCATCGCTGGTATATCATCCTCAGACCAGACGTCCATATAGTGTCTGCCTAGGGGCGGTATGGTGTAAAACTTGTCGTCGTCTTCTTTGGGTAGTAAAAATGACCTATCTTCCTCGGCAAGAGGTCGAAAGTGCGGATCAATGGCTGTCCAGAATGTCAAAATGGGAACTTGATCTTTTGCTTTGACTCGGACAAAATCAGTGTCGGGTGTGTTGGATCGATTGTGTGCTTTTGCGTGGTTTTGTTGTTTGCTGCTGTGATTTCTGTTTGTGTCTGTCGATTTCTTCTTTTTCGTATGCTATAGGTCATAGTGGGTGTCAGATCCAGCCACGTTTATGCAATTTACGCCTGTACCTGTCCTGATTTTGAGTGTGCTTTTGCTATGGGTGTGGATGCTGTGGAGGGGGGCGATAGACTGCGAGTAACTGTGCTGGAGGCTGCATCGTCCATTCTCTTTAGCTTTACAACGTTCAGTGGCGATTCGCTTCGAGATGTGGTACCTAAAGTGCTGCTTCAGTAACTATGAATCAGCATAACGACGAGTGCTATCTATACTTTTTGGTAGACTGATATCATCATCCCTTCTCCGTTTCCTCCGTAAGGCCTCCAACGCACTAAAAAAAAAAAAAAAGAAATAAGGTATGTTATTACTCACTCGTCTTGCATAATGGCTCTTGTGTGGTGGTTGTGCACTTTACAGTTGTCTTTCAAGCTGGTTTTTGCTATGTGTGTTTGAGTGTAGCATATCTGAAGACTCGTCTGCTTGTGAGAGCAAGGGAGAAAGAAAAGAAACAGAGAAAAGCAGCATGGTAAAAATAGGTTGAGCAAATATAAGATTTCGAGATACAAATAATGAAGCAACTGGAATACCTGTATTTTCTTGCTTGATTTGCAATTTCTCCAACATGGCTGGACTAGCACTCTTTCCCGATTTTTTGGAAGGATCTTGATGTTGTTGTGTCTGCTGTTGTGATAGCAATTGGTGCTGCTGCTGCTGTTGTTGCTGTGCTTGTTGTTGCTTCTTTTGAAGCTGCACCTGCTGTTGATCCAACTGCCTTTGCTCCTCTTGTGCTTATATAGGTGCAGGTGAGTTTCTAGGACGATACAGTCTCCAAAAAACACTACTCACTCAATTCTCGAACTCGTACATTCTTCTTGATGTTGGATAAATCTTTTGTGAGGTTTCGAATTCTTCTTTCTGATAAAGGCAGCAATGCCTCCAGATCTGCTTTGATGTTTAATAGTTCAATGTGGTCTGGGATAGAGCCCAGGGAAGAGTTAACGCTGGTGTTGTTCTTGTACTGTCTGTAATGAAGCGCTGTGGCTGCTGAAACGGGTACCGGTTGAGGGTAACGACGCGTTAGTTCATGATTCATGTTTGCACACAAAGAGAATTGTGTATAGAAAGGAAAAACAAAAGGAAAAAGAAGAAAAAAAGAGTATTTCATTGTTGTTGCCTTAGTATACTGTACACACAGCACACAAATTAATGTCTGACAATCAAATAAAGAAGGGGGGATGCTTGATTGCTCAGTCGATCAACATGAATTGAATCAGCTGTCGTATACCTACAGCATGGAGCTTTTGCACTTTTGCCTAAATGCATCAATAATGCTCTTGCCATTGAGAGGCTGGCATTTTAGGTGGAAACCCAAGCGAGATGCTCTGCAGTTTGAGCAAGTCTTATCAAACGGCTGCTCATAGCTTTGCATTCGCATGAACATTCACATTAGGATCCGCAATTTTGCAACGATTGAATCAATTTGTCAAGGATCGATACTCTTATTCTTTTATAATACATAAATTTACAAAGTTCAGGGCATTCTCATTGAATATTGCAACAAATGAAAGCTTGATGATGCGATATAATCCACTTTGTACACAGAAATGGTAAGTTAAGGGTGCAGTCAATAAGCCTTATATCCTGCAATGCTTAAAAATTAAGCCATACTGCATACAGAAGCAATTCAAAGCGCATAGGCTAGATTTATATTGATTTTCAGCTCGTAAACCTCTTCTAGTGAGCTTCTAACAGCATCGATTGCCTTCACAATACGCTTGGCATCACAACTGCCATGCAAAAACATTCAATCTCCGATTATCGCTTTTTTTTTTCTCTCGAAATGGGAATTTCTGATCAAACTTCGACTTCCTTGAACTATATTCTGTAATTCGACTGTATAAATCGCAATGATTACACTATCCTTCCTTAAGCTTTCTTGGAGTACTTCTCGAGACGCTTCTAATGGTGCTAATTGCGAGAGGTGTTTTGACTGAAGTGACTGAGCAAAATTAGAAAATATGAAATGTGCTTTTTGGCGAAAATACCGAGATTTTACATATCGAGGACTCATAAACAAACTTTTACGGGTTACTTTGGATCGAGATGAACATTTTGGTTTAATATATACCATAGTAAAAGTCTTCATTTTGGAGGCCAAAGTGCGATCGTTTGATTTTCGACAAAAATCATGGGGTATCACTCATGGTTTTTGGTCGATTTTTGATGATCCCAAAAAAGTTGAGCAAAGGTGTCAGAAAGTTGATGCTAGTCAAAAGTAATCGTTTGGTGCTACTTCTGCGGTCTAAAACGGCTTTTAATACGAGAAATCACTGCTCAAGTACTCCCACAGTTGGCTGTGTTTTTCATACATTTGAACGGTAAGAGGTAATGTATATGTGCTGTATGCTCGTGTATGAAGTGTTTCGACTGAGACGGATGTGAAGCATCATAGAAAAGCCAGATCCACAATTGAAGATTGGTTATAGGGCTCTGGTTTGATAGTGGAATGTTGAAAAAGTGACATTTTGCTCTGTAATAGTAATATGAGCGCGGTTGAACAATACAGCACTGCTTCTCTTGGGCTCTAATGTGGCACTCGCGTATTTCAAAAATACACAGAGCTCATTGTTCAAGTAAAGAAAGGTGCTCCTACACACACTTTCCTATATCAACCAACAAAATGACGTACATGAGCACCATCGGTTAATCAATTGCAGCTACAACAACACTCATTTCAAATTCATTTCGCAATAGAGATACACTTTTCTCATTAAAATAAGCTTACACAGATACTAATTTCTTGGTAAATTCAGTAAAGCAATCCTATACTCGTTGAAATAACCGAACCTTTCACTTCCAATAGAACCATCTTCTATATTCACTATGCCCGTAAGTCATCTCATGGGAAGTCTCGAAAGACACACCATCTAAAACGATATATATATGCAACCATTCTCCTTAGGCATATCATTCACAATACAACGAAGGCGATTATCAATCCGTTGGTAACATGTTTTTATTACCCATCAAGACGAAATTCAGAGGAAATGCACCTTTCGGTAACGTATCTGTAGAGTTGCTTTGGCACACACTAGGAAAAAGCGCACGCGTTAACTGTTTGTTCCATGACGATTTCAGCTGACCCCAATAGCGAGGATATTATCGACGAAGCACTCGACTTGTTCCGTGCCAACTGTCTCTTCCGTAACTTTGAAATCAAGGGAAATGCCGATCGTGTGCTTATTTATCTGATTCTATTCATCTCACAATGTCTTGGCTCCATCAACAAGCTGACACCTCAAGGTGAGGCGCTCAAGACGTTGAATACCTTGGCTGTATCCAATTTCGCTATTCCCAGTGACCCAGCATTTCCCTTGAATGCTATGTATCAAGCACCTACTGACAAATTTCAAACTGGTAAGATTGGGGGGGGGGTGGATCCAAAGAGCTTAAGGGAGAGTGTGGGTATTGACTCCATGTTATTGTATAGAGCAAATGAAGCAGTACATGCAACAACTTCGCCAGGAACTTGTGGTCAGATTGGTTGATAGGATTTACATTGATGGACACCCAAGTAAATGGTGGATGTGTTTCTCCAAGAGAAAGTTCATGAACCTCAGTCTTTAAAATGTTGAATAAAATATGGGGTATAATATAAACGGTTTATTTCTTGTGCTGTTGCCCACTCATGTCGATACCTCGTTTTGCCCAAAATGATTTGCCATAAGTAACCAACTATAGGACAAATTGTTTTAGTATGGGGGGGGGGATTATCCAGGAGCTAGCATCAAGATCAGCATAACTTACCAATTCATCTCCCTTTCTGATCTTGCGGTTGCCATTGACAAAGATGCCCACTTTGATATGTTTTGTCTTTTCATCCATGTAATTCATAAAACACACATTGGGCTCAGGCCCACAGCCACGGAAATCATTACAGAACCGTGCTTCATTGCCACATCGACCTGCATCGATGGATAGATCCGTGCCGTAACGCAGCACATAGTCTGAAGTAGCTTCGTAGCCGTCCTGATACTCTACCACGCCCAAGTAGTCGATAATCAGCTGCTTTGGCTGTAAAGTCTGTGCTGCTACGAGTCCATAAGCGCCACAGCAGGGATGTTCCTTGTCAGTAATCTTTTTGATCTTGACATTGCGCTTCTGCTCTTTTGTCCCGGGAAAAGTGCCAATCAAGTTGACATGCTCGTTCATGAAATTGATGGTACGTCGTGGGTCTTGTACTTTGGGGTTTGCTGGTTGGTAGAGATCTCTCAATTCTGCAGGTACATTGGGTGACCAGAAGAGCTTGTCAATGTATTTCGTTTCTGGTGTCCACCCAGACGGTGATGGCACTGTTTTGACATTGCGTAGATAGCTTAGATGGTTGTTGCTCATTCTATGAAATGGTCTGATTTGAAAGAGTGTAAAAAAAAAAAAATCTGAATTCAAACAGGGCCACTGCAAACAAGATTTGACAGTAGCGGAGTCGTGTGGATAGTTGGTAATCGACCGTGGCTGAATCCGGATGAACTTGCATTCATTTATCAAGAGCAAAAGTAGGGCACATGAAGGGCTACATTACAGCCATGCATGTACATTGCCATTGATTAGGGAGATTTATAATAGATGGATAAAACATTGCGTCTAGAGAAAGTGGATCTTGATCCATGTCGATGTTCCAATGTGCATTTCAATCCTACACATGTTCTAGTCTTGATGTAATGCAGTTTATTGAGTCAAATAGTAGTTTTACAAAATAGAGGTATAGTGGTAATAGAGGTATAGATGTGTAATATATGCAATGCGCTGTGCCTATTTAATTTCTTCAGTTAGGATACCAAATCCAGAGTCATTCAAAACGATAGTGGAGGAATCAACTGTGTGCATGAAAAAAAAAAAATGAGTGATACGATACATGAATCAAGGAGAATGATACATACGGTGATTAGACAGGTTACCTTGATAATTTGATACATTTGATTTACTAGAGAACGAGGTTGTATCGTCATTCTCATTATCTTGTTCTTGTTCTTGCTGCTCTGGATGGAGTGAGGCCTTTTTGCTGCCATGTCGAGAAGAGTGCTTTTTGTTCATGGCCCATTGGTTTTTGTGCTCTTGGTGCATTGTCTGAATCAGTGATTTCAATTGCGCATTTTGCACAGTGATCCAGTGTACACTTGATTTCAATAGATCCATCGATTGCGCCTGCTTGTTCATGAATCGCTTTGCCTCGTGTAACTCGGTCAAGAGCGCATTCAGCTCCTGAATGTGCATGTCTTCCATAGCCTTTGTCTGCCCCCGCAAATGAGGCACCACTGTTGTATCCACATATTCTCTGTAAACATTGAACCTCTGCTCCAATGTCTCCACCTTTGATGCACTTTCCTGCAGTGCACGATCTCGCTCATCGATGGTATTCAACAATGCATCGATTTCCTCGTCTTTAAGCACTAGGCGTGATTCTAACTTCTGTACTAGCCCTTGTTGTGCTTGCAATCGAAGCATGAGCTCATGGTTCACTTGTTTAAGGCTGACATTGTCGGTTATTTGGGTCTCGAGCTGTTGCGACAGCGAGGCAATGGAGCGAGTCATGTCCTCTAATGAATGGTTCAAGTCAGACAGCTGCAGCGCTTGTTGTGCTGCATTGCTTTGAGATTCCGAGAGATGTGCCGTCAGGGTCTGTAGTTGTGCCTCGAGCAGTGTGTGCTCCTGCTGGCTTGATTGCTGTGCCTTTTCTAGGTCGCACACGCTTTGTTTGTGTGTATCCACCTCCAAACGCAGCGCCTCAATGATCTGATCTTTCTCTTGCAATTGCCTTTGGTGTTCTGATTGTGAGTTTTGTAATGCTTCTTCTAATTGTTCAATCTTTTTCTGCAATTGTGCAGCCTTTGTTGACTTCTCTTGACGTTGAATCTATAAAGGAGGCATGAATCAGCATATTGCCCTGTTTTGTTGCTTTTGTACATGGAAATACTTGCGGTCTTTTGGAGCATGGCATTCTTGGATCTTAGATCTGCTAGTTCCTGATCTTTATCTAACAGTAGTGCCTTGGTATCTTGCTTCTCAGTCTCCAATGTGTGTATGGTGGCATCCATTTTTCTGGCTTTCGTCTGCAGGGTCTCAATCTCCTTTTGCATCGCATATCTGTACTTTTCAAAAGGGTTGATTGTGTCTGTAGGACTGATGGATGATTTTCTAGGCGAAGAACGGGATTCATCTGATGTTCTGTTGGAGCTCGTAGTGGATGAGATGGACAAGCTTGTGGTTGTCGATTCATTGTTGTGGGCATAGAATTCACTAGAGGTTGAAGGGTCTATTTGCACATATCATGTGTGAGTAAAGCCGCATACAAAAGTGTTCCCCCTTATAAACCAGTTACCTGGGCCTTCTGAAAATCGACTTGTTTGAGTCAGGAAACCATACCGCTTGTGTCTACCAGAGTCGTCCATCAACACTTCATATTCACCAGGACCAGGTATGTAGTCTTTGCCAGCTGAAAAGTAAACAGGGGGAGGAAGTGAGACGAGCTGAGTGATACAAGGCACATTCATTATTTCACTACTACCTTCGGGAAATCGCTTCGACTTTGAAAACATGTATTGGTTTTTATACAACACTAGATCAGAATATAAGGAGGTGGTGGTGGTGGTAGAATGAAGAAAGAAGGAAAAAAGAGATGGAGAGAGAAAAAAAAAAAGAGAGAGAAGAAATGTTTGCTATCTATTTGAAATTGCTCTCCATTGTAAATGTTCTCCCTTTTGTGCAATGACAAAAAACTCCCTTCCATCACATACAAATGTGTCATATCCTCAAGTCTCAGTCAGGGCTCAAATCACACTCTTCTTCCATGAGCCAAATTTCATCATTCACATTTACACTATTCGCATGCGTCTAGATTAAATCCTATTTATTTAATTGCTTGTTGGTGAATATAATATGTATCATTGTCGCTTTCAATTGTGGTGTGTATGGCGTGTTGTTGTAAAAATTTGTACATCTGATTGTTTAGAACAATTTCTTGGCTTGTTCAAGAGCAAAAGGAGCTATCGACTTCGTTTTAATTATCTCCCTTGACAAACTCGTTTTCATATACTTTACCAGCACGAATAGCTAAAACGACGAGAGCGAAATTGGAGACAGTAGCGACTGTACGTTGACGAAGCATGAGCTTTTGCTCGGGGGTAAGTTGGGGTTGCTATCAAAATCTAATTTAGCCGCTAATGACCCTTTTCCTCGAAAATGGCACAACTTACTTGAGGCATGAACATTTTGAAGGTATGTATATGTTTAAGAAGAAAAGAAAGAGAAAAAAAAATCTTGACCTCCCCCCCCCCCCCTGCTGGCCAACTAGAGGCTATGGAAGAAACTAAAACGACACGGAATTTTAATACATCTGGATGATGGACATGTCAAACGAAAGGCTTATCGTACACACATTTATACACTAAATGCAAACGATGCAAGGTAAAGCCAGAATTTATTGAACTCTAAATGTATGCGGCCTACCGTACAGTGCTCGATCAACACCTCCAGGTGAACCGTATATTGTCAATGGGATCTGGCAATCAAATGTACTGACTTCGATATCCTGCAAGCATTGATGATGAACATGCTTTTCATCTTTGATAATAGGTATAAAGGGAGGTTGGTTATCAATGCTCGTGATAAACTCGAATTTCAAAAAGTATTTCAGAGACACTAAACAATAAAAAGGGGGGGTATTTAGTGTTCTTGTATAATATGTAATGTCCCGACATCTCTCTTACCTCCTGTCGTCTGAAATTCAGGTGATGCGGTTGCTGGTATGGGTAGTGAAAATGAGAGTCGCTTGTTGTCTAGACAAAAGGAATGGAAATCCGAATGTGTCTTCCGAGATACTCGTGAAATGTGTTGTGGTGTTCTCAATGAGATGGTATCTTCAACTGACTCGCAGCTTTCCAAGAAAATGGAAATCTGCTTGCTATGTTAGTGTCATGCAATAATTCTCGTAATCTAGATGCCTCACCTTGTATGTGGACAGAATAGCTTCACTAAAGTCTAGCACGCCGATTACAGGCTCGCCTAGTCGGTGTGCAGTCTTGATCAGATGCAACTTTGCCACGCGTTGATTATTTTTACATATATCGTACATAGCTATTAGAAATGTCAGCCAGCCTGATCCCTTGTCCTACTTCTGCTCGGTCCTACCTTTTCTACTACGATGTGTGATGCGAGACACCACTTGAGAACATGATTTATCCAATATCTGCTCATCCGCACTTCGCTCTTCATACGCATCGCTCTCCCGTCTGGTAATCTCATGGATCGTATGGTTTTGAGTGCTATTTTCAAACAGTTCATTGACATAGTTCATAAACGCTTTCCGCTCCTCTAGCTGCTGTGCTGGTTTCTTGGGTTGCTTTACTGGTTTCTCCTCTGCCTTTGTCGCATTGTACTCATCCACAACGGCTTCATCTTTGTATCGCACGACTGGATTCATCAAGTCGTAGATAGGCCTTGATCCATCTTCTGATACATGATTCAATACTCGGAAACGAATCTGCGCTACTTGACCTTGCGTTGGTAAGCCGGATTTTGCTGTCGCTGCAGTGGGTGCTCTCTGTGCGCCTACCACAAGATAGTAATTGAAGCGAATGGCTTTTCCTCTGTGCGATGGTGGAATGTCATTAGGTAGTTGTATTTTGTATGTATCTATGTCGCGCAAAGAGATAAGTATTCTAAAGGTTTGTTTCCGTTAGCACACGCATTTACATTTTTTAGTCTCTCCAGGTGCAATATTCAAATCGACAAACAAAATGGATGGTGGTGTAGAAAAGACGGGCAATGTGCGTGTGTCTATTGGGATATTGGATCAGTAGGGCGTCTCTTCATCTCTATTTCCATGCCCTTTTACCCAGTGATGAGTCTGATTTGGCCACCATCATTCCTCCACCTCCACCAAATCCACCCTGAGGACTATACATTGTGTGATGCTTTAAGGGTCCAAATTCGTTCAAATTAATCAAGCTGGAATCTGCCACAAAACTGCCTACCACTTGCGCAAATCCACACAGCAAGTGCTCTGATACAGGCTTCTTTAATGGCGAGGAGGAATAGCGTCTGGCAGCGCTGTGTTGATAGGAAGAACGAAATGAAGCAATCGAGTCCATGGAGCTTCGAGGGCTTGGGTGCAGAAATGTATCGATGCTGGAACGAGGCGTTGGCGAATCGAGTTCCACAGGGATGCTTTTTTCTTCATCATCTTGATCAAGCACCAATGGGCGAGGTGGTTCTTTGCGTCCTACTGCATTGTTGGTCGTTGTGGATGATGCGTGGAATGATGGAGGTGTCGTGGGTTGACTTCTGGTTAGAAATGCGAGTGTAGAAGAGGCCAGTGAGGATATGGTGCGTGGTTGTGGCGTGGATCGCGTCTGCGGCTGCGCTGCATTTGTTGGAAACGGGATGGGAGCGGATATGGACGATTTCACTGGCTTATTGACAGAAGATAGGATGGGATTGGTAAAGGTTATTGTACATGATAGTGTTTCTCCAGCGTAAAATACGGCACCTTGAGAAAATGTGGTTGTAACTAGAGAGACAGAGAGGTTGAATACTCTCGTTTACTTGCTATATATACCATCAAGTACTTACCCAACACACTCATTATTATTTATATGGTCTATAACCAGAAAGAAAACAAAAGCGAGGATTTCTATGAAAAAGGAATTTAAAATAGGGCGTGTGGCAGCAGCAGAAGCAAGCAGTAGAAACAAGCGGCCAGAAAATCTAAACCACGCTTGATCACAGTTACCAAATGCGCTAGACGATTAATGCAAATCACAACAATAGAGTGTTGGTGCCATTAGTCTAGTGGTTTTTAGGGAGAGATTAAGCCAGCATTTAGTCTCTATGAGACGAAAGCTTGGTTCATCTCGGCTCATTGGATTTGGTCTAAAATTCTGCTTTCCACAAAGAACCAACTAGCTGCTTTTCATTAGAATAGGGGCTTCTCACTACCACAAGCCCTCTGTACAACACATCCCGGCTGCCAGCTATGTTAATGCTATGAGGCTTCTTTGGTGTCTATTTGCTCGTCAATCTGGCTGTAATTTGAATCGTTTGACACAAGTGATGATTGAGAAAAGAGGAGAGACCTTCCGTAAAGTATCTTCCATTTCTTTAACACTGCCTCTTTTATCAATGGCCTCATACTACTTGAGAAAACTCAACCGTATTTCAACTGAAATATACAAGCATTTGGCAGCTTGGTATGGTAAAGGGAAATTCAGTCGCTTAAATAGAGCAAGTCGCTATATAACCTATAATACAACCTTGGACATCTCATATGATATAAATGACTGATTTGAACGACACTAGCAATTCGGCTATGTGTACGACATTCATCTTTCGCATAAATGATGTCTCCAGCAATGAAGATAACTCTTGATACGATTACGACGGACATTTCCAAATTGCAAAGCAATCATCGCCAATACCAAGGATAAGCTGTCAGTAAATAAGATGCCAGTCTAATTTTACTGATTTCATATGCTCATTAGAACTGTTTGACCGGTAGTAGCGACAGGCGGTGTATACAAAAGGCACGGACGTAATCAACGTAGGCTAATGCCTTTCACTTACTAGGAATTCTACCAAAGCTTGTGCAAAAGATCATTTCAGCGACGATATTGTCAATAGCACCCCCAACAAGCAGCGTTTGCTTCCATTATTGAGCATTGATGTTATTTGGGATTTAACCTTACATCAACATTATTGGCACAGCAAAGGAAGATCCAATTGCAACCAAGTTTACTACCACCATTCGTCGCATGTTTGGAGATGATACGTTATCGTGTAATATTTTGTAAAACATTCAAAAAAAAACAGTAGAAAATTAAACCATGTTCTTTCAGAAATGTAAAGAATTGAGTACGGTACAAGATGGATAAACCATAGGCGAGGCCGGCATTGGGGAGGGGAGTTTGGAGGAGGTACTAAGTCCATTCACCAAGAACATTACGCATCTCATTCAGCATTTGGTAATCTTAACCTTGATGAGGGTTTTACCGTAGCAAAGCGAAAGTGAAAAATCATAATATTCAAGCAGCAAATTCGCTTTCTCATTTCCTCCATTATTTATAAGAGAACCCAACAACATAGCGCATCAAAATTTGCATGAATTGGCTTTGCCAAAATCAATATGTCTCCTACTCGAATCAGGCTGCAGAACTACCCTTCCAGAAGATTTCAGCTGCCAAAGATGTAATTCATGCCGTGTAAACAAAAGCTATACAGCAAAAGCATAACCAAACTTGACAGCTTTCAAGCCTTCATGCCTTGACATGTAGATCTTTCTGAGCCACCGGAATGACACCAAACAATTGTACTTGAGTACTAGTAACTTCCTGATACCTTTGCTCAACTTTTTGGACCAAAAAAAAAACATGGCCAAAAATCGACCAAAGAGCATGAGGGGTACCTCGTGGCTTTCATCAAAAATCAAACGATCGCATTTTTCACCTTGAAAAATGAAGACTTTTACTATGGTATATATTCATTCAAAATGTTTCTCTCGATGCAAAGCAACCTCTGAAACCACTTTTATGAGGTTTTCCTATGCAAAATATAGCTATTTTCGCTAAAAACCTCTTTTCATATTTTATCAAATTGCTCAAAAATTTCAGTCAAAACATCTATTACAATTAGCACCATGGGAAGCGCCTTGAAAAGTACTTCAATAATGTATTAGGAAGCGTAGGGTGATCATCACGGTTTATATAGTCGAATATTATAGAATAGCTTCAAGAAGTCGAAAAAAGACAATATCTGTCCAATCTTGAGCAGAAAAAATAAACTGAGTTTCAATTGATTTTAGCGGATGGCATTGCTGCTGGCTGACCTAAATACCTTTCTGTTGATGATAATGATGATTGCGATGCTGATTAAATGGGTATTATGAAATTGAAAGGACAGCTGACTAGCGCAAATACTTTCTTTGGGGAGTTTTGACTCATGAAGGTGTCTTTCGCAATGGCAATATCTCAAAAAAGTCGCTGTAGATCTTGCGCAAGTCCTGTATTTACTTATGCATCTTATTAAGGGCGTCAGCAGCAGTGAATATTATGACAATTCTATTATCAGAAAACGGCAATTGTGATGTACAAATGCTGCATAAAACTTGAGTTTTCTTTCATATTGTCTCAATAATAATTGGTCTCGATTGATATAAGCAAAAAAAAGGTGCTGAGAAAGATGTCTCCTCTCCTCCATCTCCTGGCTCTGATATAACCTTTCTTTTACTAACTAATAACTGGTTGTATAAAATATAATTGATATAACAAAATGTCATAATATCTGATTTAAAAAGTCTTTGACGAGAGCCCGCAGGACGACGCCGACATCGGGAGTAGCGAGATAGATTGGCTAGTAAATAGCATACTGTATATTCAGTAATTCTTTTAGTTCTCAAAATCCAGCTACTGTTTACAGCCGTGGCTGGTACAAATGCACAAACGTGTTGCTATAAAAGAAATCTGGTCATCTGGAAATGCTGAAACAGACACTGCAGTCTTAATAATTCAATATAGTATTTTTTTGTAGTTGATGAGATAAATTTTCAAAAGGATTAGCAGTGATTAGAGCAGAGCTAGTTTTAGTGTCGACAAGCAGAATAGGGGAGGCAATCTCAAGGTTGGCGTTCATATTCTAGTGCAGAGCCAAGGACCGGTATGCAGGAGTAAACTCTGTGAATGTTTGTAAGCACATGTGGTTGATAATATATGTATACTACAATGCTCTAAAAGCTTGCATCATTGTTTTTCTAGAAAAGAAGCACTAGCCCGCCATAGTGTGCAAATGTCAAACGAATACCGCTTTCGACAATCAAGGCTTGATGTCATTTGAATACAATAAAATGCAAAAGTAGAGCTGTTTATTAATTAATTAGTTATGGATATATGTTATTACTATAAGGATGAGATTGTTGTTGTTGTTGAGATGAAGATGTAGAGGGTAAAAACATTTTGAGTTTTTGTTGCTGCTGCTGCTGCTGGTGGTGGTGATATTGCTGCTGCATCTGATGCTGTTGCTGCTTCAAATGTTTCTGTTGATCATAGTCAAACAAGTACAACTGCTGCTGTGGATGGTGAAACTGCTGTAGTTGTTGTTGTTGCTGTTGGATGTATTGATGCGGTGGTATAGCAGGCGCCACAATAGACGGGTTGTTCATATATCTGGATGATCTCTTTTGCAAATCTTGTATAGAAGATGCTGATGGAGACCGTGTATGTTGTTGCTGTTGATGAAGCCCTACTTGACGCAATGATTTTTGCAAATCTGCCAAGCTCATGTCTTCTTCTTCTTCTTCCTCTTCTTCAACTTGGCCTTGGTCATGGTGGCTGGCAGTTTTGTATTTCTCTAGCTCCTTCTTGGTAGCTGTGAGTGACAGAAATTGCAGTGGAGACAGCGCATTCATCTTTTGTTGATCAAACAAATACTGCTGTTGCTGCTGGTATTGCTGATATTGCTGCTGGTATTGTTGCTGCATCAAGAGATTGTCATCTGTGAGTGGCATGGACGCTCGTCTAGTAATGATAGTGGGTCTTATGATATTAATATTATCCTGATTTGGACTTGATAATAGCCCTAATTCGTCTCCTAATTCTTTTTGTTGCTCGCCTTGCTCTGTGTAGGCACACTGCTGCTGCTGCTGTTTCTCTTCTATTTTTAATTGTACATTCTCAATACAAGGGCTCGCGTCTCCTTCATCTTTACATTCACTATGACCTGTTACTCCGGCAGGCATCGAGTCTTCTCCTTGATTGACTTGGATCAACTTTTTGCCTCGCACCGATGTATGGTATCTCAATTTATTGTCGTCTTGCTGCTGAACATTGTATTGCTGATGCTGACGATGTTCATACGGACAGACGTCGTCGTCGCAAACAGTAATGACATCTTGAAAAAAGTTCATGTGCTGAATAATCTCTGGTGAAGTTGACGAGTTGAGTTGGCTGTTTGCGTTATAGTAGGATTGGTTGTTGTAGTAATAGTTGTTGAGTGGCACTTGCTGGTACAAATCAGTAGTGGATAGTTTTTGAATCATTGGCTTTCTCCTTCTGCTGGATGTACTGGCTGCTCTATTGAGTGCAAGTGTTTGTTTACCATTGCTATTACTGCTGCCATTGTTCATCCAATTTCGAACATCGTCTGATCTTCTTTTCCTTAATGTGGGTCCAGGTCTACCCTCCAAGGGCAACTCCTGATGTTGATTGGACGATGTGGTTGCTGTTGCACCAGCAGGTGCTGTGCTATTCGTTTTATTGCGTCTGAGAGAGCGAGAAGTAGCCGATCTCTTTGAGTTGCCTCTTCGTTTTATGGGTTTAGGTCTGTTACTGACACTTGTCATGTCGGTAAATACGCTCATGGTATCGTCATCGGGTATAGGTTCAATTGGAGGTGGTGTGGATACCTTGATGCATGGGTCACTAGCCATCAGTTCAGCCAACGACCTGCGCCATTCTTCAATGACTCTAATCTTTTCATCTGAAAGAGCAGGTGGTCTAGGAAATTGCTGAATTGAGTGAACAAGAGGTATATTATCATCCACAGCAGCTTGCACAGCTGTCTGCTGCTGCTGTACTTGTTGTGCCTGCGCCTGTACTTGTGCCACTTGATGTGCTGCTGCTGCTGCTGCTGCTGCTGCTGCTGCTGCTGCTGCTGTTGTTGTTGTTGCATTTGGAAGGGTTGGGTAATAGAATTGTTGTTGTTGTTGTTGTTGCTGTTGCTGTTGAAGTTGCTGCACTTGATTCTTTACAGCTTGTGTAAACTTCCACATTTTGGTTAGTACAAACAACCATCGTTCTAAATCCTTCTGCTTTTGAGCCTTCAAGATGTAGTATTTCTGATCAAATGTACGTATGGAGAAGCACTTTGAATTGGATTGTTGCAATGCATTCTTTTTAGCTCTTTTTAGAACTGAAATTGCAGAGATATTGGCTACATCTATAGTCCATTCAGGCAATTGATAGTATTTCAATTCTGTCTTGCTTGATTCCACCAGTCTCTTGTTCTTATCTTTAGGTGTTGCTAACAAGGGCGATGTCAAAGAGTAACTGGATTCAATTGATTTCAATGATGCGCTGTGATTGGGTGGAAGTTTGATTTTACGTGTTGATAGGCAGGTGAAATTGGATCCATCAAATCTGAATAACCTCCACTGCCAGTGCTTTTTCTCTGTTCTGATGGAGAGATGGCCTTCAAATATGGGTGTGGAAGTTACTGGCACTTCTTCATCTCGGTCTAATGAGGATAAAAAGGGCATTGAAGCTATATGAAATAGTTTGGAAAGGAGAACAAAAGAGAGAGAGAGCGAGGGGAAAACAAGAAAAGAGAAAAAAAAAAAAGAGAGAGAGAGAGAGAGAGAGAGAGAGGGAAAAGAGGAGGGAAATTACCACTTTTTAATACCTGTTCGTTATTGTTACACCAGTTCAAGCATCATATTAAAATTAAAAGCAACTGTTTCCCTTCACTCATCATCGAACATTTCAAAATAACCATACGTCTATTGCGGGCTAGCCCCCCTTTTTCGGTAAAGAGCAAATTCATTTTTCTGTGGTGGCTGCTTGGTACTAAATGATCATGCCAAAGAAAGGGGAGCTTGTTGGAGCTTGAAAGGCTGGCATCCATTTAGATTTCATATTATTATTTTTCTTGATTCAGGAGTAAAGCTGATTTGTTGCCCATGAAATACCCTTTTTTTTTTACAAGCAAATGCTGCTGCTGCTATGATTCTATTGTCACCATAAATTTTGTACCACTGCGTATTTATAAATGCACGCCTTTTGGTTACAGTGAGCTCGATTCAATATGGAAATAAATGGCTGGAATTTAAAAAGAACACGTTGATGGATCTTGGTAATCTCTTCATATGATTCCAAGGATGAAAAGAAAGCCTGGGTAGGGTTGTCATATGGATACCGTATTCCCCAATCACTCTCTACATTCCAGACGCTGCGCTCTCAAAGAATTCGTCGGCTACTGGGACGATGCATTCTTGTTCAGGATGCTTCCAATGTTGGTTCGTACCTGGCTCTGCTCGATGAACACTAGATGCCTAAGCAACCATGGGCCATCTTGCTCACATGATCCACAGCGGAATCCTCTTTCTCGATGACAATAAAAACTAGTGATTTAGTGCCATTAAATACTTCAAATGCTTAAATTATTAGAAAACTCGTTGTATCCTTCCTTTATATATACGAATCTGTAACATTTGAAAGTGTCACACAGACATCATTGCTAAATTTGCATAAAAAAGTTTTTCAGTATCTGTTTTCTCGGACCACATAAATTGCACTCGTTTGCCTAGTCACGAGTGTGGTGTTGACACAGCCAGGGTTTGATTGATGGATACAGCTTTTCTTTGATCAACTTTAGTATATATATATATTCAAGAAATGGGTGGACCTCGCTTAGAAGTAGTCAAAGTATGCTATTGCTAGTCAGCATTTGGTATTGGAGATTAACGCTCTTTAGTTTGGATTCTATGTGTTCTTTCCTGTAGGCGTCATGCTCTACTTTGGTGGACCCGAATTCTATGATAATTATGTAAAAGGCATCAAGTTTTGGCCAGACATCAATACCACCTATGTAAGACAGCCAAGCCAACAACTAGGATGCCCATTGTATTGACGTATTTGCTCTATAGAAACCTCCTACCACTTCAGAAGAAGTCAGAAGCGCTTTGGATAAAATGAAATCTGACAGAGAAGATCGCTGGAGAAAGGCATTACAAGATAAAAAGAACAGCGAAGCATCCTCCTCTTCAACAACAGAATAAGCAATGTGTTATATATACAAGAACTTTTATTTAAATAAAGCTGCTATCGTTCAAGCCATAGCTTGTTCTTTGACCTCATCAACCGAAAGGCTCCAATGGGAATACGCTGCCATCGACTCAAGTCTCTAGAATAAGCGTCTTCAATTTCAGGCGAAGGTGATCTCGACGAAGATCGAGTATAAAGTTGTGATGTATCCACTAAATCATCCATGGATACTGCTGTTCCTTCTTCGTTAGCGTCGTCTTGCTCGCCGCCATCATCGTCAATCTGGATATTCATGTCTTCTAACTCATCAATGATGGCTGCGGGAGACGCAGGTGTGGAGAATGAAGTGGTTTCCAATGGTTGTAAATGCTGTTGATGTGCACTGGATCCCAGCGAATTTGATCGAGATGGCCTTCTCTTTTTGTCGTTTTCCAAGCCGTGCGTTGCTTTGCGTTTGTTGCTACTGTTGTTGTTGCCGTACGTGAGACTTTGTATCCAAGCTTCTTGGATTTGCTGTTCTAATGAAGATGTGGATGTCGACATTGCGGGGAAATAAGAACCACTGCCAGAGGGTTTTGGGAGGATTTGTCTAGATGTATAAATAGGTTTTGCTGTTGTTGATGCATTATTAGGGTTATTAGTGGGTGTATTGGATGTAATTGGTACTTTTTCTTGGTTGTTGTCTGCTGCGTCTCCTTCTTTGTCCTTCTCTCGATTACCGGCTGCTGCTTCCGTAATCGTCTTCGATCCTCCCTGAAGAATATCTAAAATTTGTTCTTGCAGTTTAAGATCAGTTGAAAGTGAAAGCGCTAGTTGAGCTGGTAGCATATCAGGACTGGTTGTCTCCTCGGTCACTGTCTTGGGCGTAGGCGGTCCTTTGGATGGGTGAGTTTCTTCTGATATATCTTCCACTTCATCTATAGGTTGAAGCGCAAGTGGTAGATCGTCAGACACAAGCGCTGAAAGTGCCCGCAAAGCCTCGGATGTAGAGAAATCCTGTGAGCCTCGCATTCGCCGTGCTGCAGAAACGGCACTACTGGGTAATGAGGGTCTTCTAAGAAGAATGTCGTTATGCTGGCGTGAAGTCTCGGCCGATAAGGCGCTTAATGCATTCGTCAACTCGAAAGCCGATAATTGATAATCGTCTGTCATGACAGGTGTATTAGCTCCAGTCGTTGTATCGCCGCCATGTGTGTTGCTGTCGCCTCCCATAGGTATCAAAGCCTGCATAAATGCAGCAGCAATACTGTCGTACAAATTACCCTCACTATCCAGTAGTGGCAACAGTGGGTTTGTCTTATCGTCATCAGCAGAGTCTATGCTTGCAACATCGTCTTCACTGGGTACAGCTGTTGTATAATCGAACTCCTCCTCCTCTTCCTCTTCAGACGACGATGACCAATGGCTGTTATTTCGCGCATAGTAGGCTTGCATGTCTTCTTCATCTTCTTGATCTTCATCGTCATATTCATCTTCCACAAACATGCCTCCGTCCTCATCCAATATATCGCTATCCATATCATCCATCTCTTCGTCACTATCCAGCGTCAATTCGTTGATGATTTTTTGAGTTTCGACATTTTCAATGTCTTCATCGTCACCCGAATCAAGATGAATACTCGACGCATAAGAGGTGGCATAAGGCGACATGGTGATGGACGATTCAGCATTGATATCACTTTCAGTGGGGTCTACATCAGAGTCATCGTCATCTGTAAAGAACTCTTCGCTACCAAGCAGTGAATTGTCGGATTCATTGGAAGAATGCTCTGAAAGTGGAGACATTGTTTCTAGCAAATCGTCCAGATCGTCCACAATCAACTCTTCGTCTGAATCCTCTTGGTCTCCATCAACGTTATCTTCTTCGTTGCTTGATGGGTACTTGACAGCCATTTTTTTGCCCTTGCCTTTTTTCGTAGGAGGCGCTTTTTGACGCACAATGTTGGCCAGCACCGTTTTGCTTTTGCCTCGTCTTGGTGTAGATTTCTTGGGCAGCATCTTTTTCTTGGGTGCCTTTGATTTGTGGCTCTTTTTAGTATCAATCCCAACTCTTTCAACCACGACAGGCTCATCATCGGATTCACTTTCGTCGCTATCGCTGATGCTAATGTTGCTATCGTCATCACTATCATCGGCGTGGCTGTTGCTAGTAGTGGTGTTGTGTACCGTCCATTTGTTGGATTTCCTTGATTTTTTTTTCGAGATGGCTTTGCTGGATTTCTTGGGTACGGGAATGACTATAAATAGGTTATTTTAATATTGTCAAATCAGAATATTCTCTCGCCCTGTTGACTTACTGATCTTGGTTTGCAATTTTGCTGGTGGTTGTTGTGGTTGTTTTTGTGGGGCAGGATGAGGAGGACTAGGCGGAGAAGGAGCAAGAGTGACAGTGCTTGTGGTAGGAGGGGCTGCTTCTTGAATGTTACATGTGCAATCGCCATCACACAGTACACAGATATCGTCGAGGTCTTCATCCTCATCGTCGTCTTGAATCGATAGTGTTGAAATCACAGGTATAGGCTGAGGCGGCGTGGGTGGTGGTTTCGTTGCTACAGGAAGAACAATGACTGATTTTTTCCGATTTGTTGCTGCTGCTGTTGGTGGTGGTATCAACGTCTTTCCTGCACTGACTGGTTTTCGTTTGCTTGTACATGATGAACAAGCATAATGATCGCTTACAGAATTTGGCTTTAATCCAACACAAGCACCATGAAACCATTCTGGACAAACAGCATGCCGGTCAGTCTTGATTTATGAAAGAGATTTTAGTATTCTTACCTTTGCAGTCTTCACATTCGATCATGAATTCTTTGCCATCATAACCTTTACGGCAAATGCAATACTTTTGAGCATCTTTCTTGGCTGCTTTCTTCTTCTTTCTTGGCTTTGCCTTTGTCTTTTTCACCGTCTTTTTGTTGTTACGGCGACTCTTTGCTTCTGACAAGTCTGAATCAGATGACAGAGACGATGCGTCTGAAAGTTGCAATGAAAGATCTGAATCTGACTGTGTACTGTCAACCTGTATTGATGATTTGCTCATATATTTTTGTATGAAAAAATAAATGAATTTTTTTTTGTGTTTTTAGAGGTATATTTTTGATGTAGAAGGAAAATTAGATTTCCAAATGTAAACGAATTGCACAATAAATAGATGTAATGATAAGAGTAAAAAGACTGAGAGTGTTATGAAGAAAGCTGAAACCTTAAGAAAATATTTTGCGGCACTAAATGTGTGTAAACCTTTCTACCTGACTGTCAAAAAATGTTACAAATGTCTTGAACCAATACCACCATATTCCGTTATTGGGTGAAGGAGCCTTGGGTATCACAGAATCCAGCTTTGTTTAAATGGAGAAAAGACTCAGAACTGTGCTAAACCATGCTATGCGACATTGTATGTCTGACAACTTTGGGTTCTTGTTGGAAATTGAAAAGTTTACATTTGCGTATCATTACTTGAGTTTTCACAGAGAAAGAGCTTTTGTTCATCTATTGCCTTGCATGAGGAGAGCAGATCCAAGAATGTCCCTTGAACTTGTTCGTTTGTTATACATTGCTATGAGAAAACTTTGTCATCGGAACCCAGCACTGTGATTGGGATGGGTTTGCCAGATTACATTTGACAATTATCGAACAAATTATTGTATAACAGTGCAAATGAAACTGTATGCTTGAGCCAAATCAGAAAATCTAGGTGAATTCACTTTCTCAATGCAACCTTTCAATGCCTACTTGACCATAATATTGTACATCACTCAGGCAAAACATGCCCAACCACTAAACTTGTATCAAAATTGCTTCATCAAAGGAAGTAATTGGGATTGCTATCTGATATTTAGGCTGTATATCAGATATATATTAACACGTCAAGCCTTTAAAATTAAAAATTTGCCTGATCCATGATAACAAGTAAAAAGTGAATAACCTACAGAGTATATCCCTCCAAGCAACAGCGTATATGGTGGACATAAGCCATTCGATACTGAACAAACGATCTCAAATGCGCATTCAAGTTATTGTAAAACATATTTAAACATGCCGGCTCTTATTACCAATCCTTATTTTACTCCAAGGGAGAATACTCCCGCCCATCATTTCAATACTACTAACTTTAAATGAAGGCATTTTGATGGAATATATCATGTACATTACAGCAGAGGAGGACCCCCCATAACTCGGTTTGATTTGTGAGAAGACCTTCAAATAAACATGCTACTAGTAATTGATGGGGTTCTAGCGAACCGTGATAGCCCAGTAATACACAGTATTTGTCAACAAATGTAGCGACTGAAAACACTTTTACATCTTTAGCAAGCCTTCAAAGTGGGCATATCATCTCTTTGATAAAAAAAGTCTTTAGCATCAACATAGGACGTGAAAAAGGTCTTCTTTCCTCCTGGTGAGATGCCCAGCATTGCTTAAAACTTTTGCCAAACCGCAATGAAGCTGCATCAACAAGCGGTTTTCAGTCATGCAACCTTTGCCAACATTTGATCCATCAATCTATTACTCGTGATCATTCGTAATCAACAGGTTCTCATATAAAATTCATGCTTCAACGTTGCTTTTCTTTCTTAACAATAAGCCTTCGAATTTTTGAAATCCAATTACACCTTTTTTTTGTCATAGCGACATGCGACTTTCAGAGCTCGCATCAATGTTTCAAAGTCCAATCCTAGACAGCCCTAACCTTGGTATGCTATAATAACCGCTTTTGTTAGGACGTTTTTCTATGTAGATAGTATGCCAAAATCAGTGATGCAAAAGATACTAGCTGTCTATTAGATTTATTTGATGTATACAGCAGCAATTTTTCTGGAAAGAAGCTGTAAAATTAAATTACTTTATAGCCTTATTGTGCATTTCCAGTTGAGGAAAAGGTTCTCTCCTTATAACATAAAGCATTGTACTATAGTTTTTAACGGCCAAAACGATTGTTTGGTGGCAGGATAGCCAGAACCTACTGTTGCAATAACATAGCAAGCACACTGTGCTAAAGCACTTCCTGTATTATAACTTTCCATATATTAAACTTAAAGATATCCCTTATCCTAAACTTTGTGATGGATACCCGATCAACAAACTGCATATTATTAACTTATTCTCGAACATAGAAAAATTTAAATTATATCTATTTGGATACACGTTTATTATGCTTAGAATAACGAAATATAGACAGAGGAAATACAATTAGAACTGAATATATTTATTAAGTTATTCCAAGATTGAATAAGGACTAAAACTAGGGTAAATTTCGAAGGTATTTATAGTTAATTGACAGTGCTGCAGCAATAGGACCTTGATCTTGAATGCGGAATAATTATATAAGCCTTGAACTAATTAACGAGGATGTACCGCGTAAGAGCTCATAGACCACCAGTCAGGAACAGACAACAGAATTGATCCAGGATAGAATGTTCTTCCTAGTAGGTTTGATGGAAGAGCATTTGTCAGAATTGAAGACTACATTCAGGGACGAAGGGTCATAGGCTACCACACTCTAAGAACCAGGATATAGGTTAGCCATTGGATGGCACCATTTATGTTCCTTAGTGCTGCTTAAATAAAGAAATCTCAATCTACTACGCATCTCTGCTCGTTTTCAAATCTTCTCATGTATTATACAACGTGTAATACATTTGCCTCTCAGAAATGATCTTTACCCTAAATATGACCTAAATAATAATATGATTCCTTCATCTCCCTTGCAATAATAACAATTTACTCTTCACTTTTTTTTTTCAAACGAACTTTATTGAGTATTTGTTAATCACATATATCAACCCTGTTAAGTCTATATTAGTTGCTCAAATAACTTTGTGTGCGGAAATGCACATATTTGCTTCAAACTTGTACAGAACATAAACAATTTTCGTTGCAACTTATTGATCATAGGCAATTGCTCATATAATGCTTCTGGCTTTTCATTGGTCGGCTGAAAGCAATTCAAGCCCATATATCGGAGTTTGTGGCCAATTTGAGACCCCGCTCTTGCCCTTTAAACAGTGTAGGATAAAAAATAAGGGTGGATCCGGATAATAGATAAGCCGTGGGTGTACGGGGCGTAGGTAGGGGTAGGGTGGATATGATGTAGGGGGGGGTACAAAGTACGTGAAATGAGTGTCAAATTTTAGATTTTATTCATGCAGATCTATTTTCTGATCTGGCAAATACGATAACATGCATACACCGTGTTAGAGATATCTTTCAAAAGACGCTCTGCCACGTCTATATCTGAGGTGAACACCTTCATTTGCTGCTGTTTCCAATTGTCAATATCTACGAGGTATACAATTCCGCCAATTGTCTTATAGCATCTTGTATAAAAATGCCTACCATCATAGCAAGTCGAGTAGACTCTACCGTGCAATTTGTATTTTAAAGTCTGTGATATGTGGATATATGTAGACAGGTAAACATATTTTCCTGCTGTTCGTCCAGAGACAAAGTTTGCACCATCTTGTATGAACAGGAACTCGAGAAACTGATCATCTTGAGGTAGTATTTTGAGTGATGTCGAAACTCCATCGCACCCTGGAAAGTTACACTTTCCTTTCTGATGTTCCTCGAGCACCTTCTCTCTGAACAAGTCATTGAATTTCACGTCCAGTGCCGCTTCATTGATAAATCCACGACAGTCTTTCAATTCCTTGACGATAGTAGCTGGAATCATGTAGATAAACTCAAAAAAGGCATCTCTAGCATATGCATGCGCTTTTTCTACAGAGCAAGACACTTTTCTTTCACTTTGCAATGACGGAAATGTACAAATCTTGCTTGCAAAGGCACCCGACAAACGCTGTAGTATCTTGCTCGCCAAATTGTGAGTATCACCTTCATGGCCTTTCGGGAATGTCTTGATCATTCGGGGAACACCAGAGACAATCTTGTATTCTGTCATATTCCAAACAAACTGTCTTGCTGTAAGAGTAGCTGCACGAATACCAAAACGAGACTGCTGGGAATAAGATTCATAATAAGCATCGACAAGAAGACTACCATAGGCATTGCTTTGGTGGTCAGCTGTTAAGCACAAAGAATAAAAGGATTATTATTTGTAGCTTATAAAAAATGTTCGATATTATAAAAACAAGAAAAGACTTATTTGAATAAGATCAGACACAAAAACTAAAGATTTATTGATGAAGACAAGAGTTATTCTATTTATACTAAGTTCTGAATGCCAAAGTAGCAATTTATCTTGTACAACGCTTATCACATCTGGTGAACCTCAGTATTTAGATAGCTGAGATGCACTTCAATTATCATAGCTTGTCCATGTTGCTGCACAACGCAGACATATCTACCCATCAAGAATACCTTAATCTTTATAGACAGTTGTAGCCCTTCTGGCACAACATCAGCGAAAGACATATCCACAAACGGAAGAACGGCATTGAGCAGGAGCTCAAAAGATGCATCGATAAAACAAGAGTTGTTTTGGTTGGGGAAAATGTACGTAGGAACAGGTAAAGACGAGTATTTCCCTGGATCGTTATTTTTGTAATCCTTTACGAGCCATTGATATTTTTGAAGAGACACCAATTTTTGTGGTACCAAGAAGCCGACAGTGGCAGATAACTCATTTTCAAGTCGAGACTCACTTGTCATCCTGGTCTCATCGCTTGTATTGGGTTCGATTGCTACTAATGTCGAAGTCTCATGGGGCATTGGAGGAGAGCAAAGATCAATTACTGTATCAGATATAGATTTTTGAATTCCTTGAATCGTAAGATCAATACGTGTACCATCACTTGCAGGAAAGGGTAAGTTCGAAGGAGGCGAAGGCAATGAAAAATTAGAATCGGATAGTGCTCTCATATTGGATGAGATAGGCTCAGACTTGCGTTGTAAAACTGACGGGAGGTTGCATTTGGTCTTCATTAAAGAAGAAGAAGAGGAAGAGAAAGAGGAAGATGATACGAGATTAATAACGAACAATTTGGATTCTTCATTTGAGTCGACAACATCTTCAACAGGAATTCCAAGGTCTAAAATATCAATGATACGTTACAGCCACAGCAATCAGAAACTATTGTAAGCATCCTTACCATCAAACATATCCTTAATGTCTTTATCTAGGTTCTCAGTTCTACCAAATACATTTTCTGCTTTATCGCTTTTGCATTCGTTGTCTGAGAGTAATTCAAGGAACAGTTTCTCATCACTGATATCATCATCTGGAAAATCATCTGGAAAATCATCCATCTTGGGACAGTTCCTCTCCATTTCATCAGCTTCATCCAGATGCTCAATTATGGCAGCATCCAAACTAACATCACGGGTTTTTGCTTTCTTGGCCTTGCGTTTACCATCCTCCTCAGCATCGCTAATGAGCACCACTTCTTGTTTTCTCTTCTTGGTGCCAAAGAGTGCAGTGTTGTTATCTGGCGCACGGCCGTCATTAATTTCATACAGAGTTGCATACTTTTTTGTTGGCTTCTTGGGTTTGTTTCCGTAATGTGGTCGGATATTATTGTCATAAAAATCCATCAACAACATCATTCTATCACGCTTGGCGACCTGCAACAAAAGTCTTAAGCTTGTGGAAACGGGCTGTCTTTTTTCTGGCATCAACTTGTACAAGGCGCTATGGAACGCCTCAATTGCATTGGATGTGCGGCTCTTGTGTTGCCTCAAGTCGTCCTTCATCAAAGACTTGCATCTGAACACCAGGTTGGAGCCACCACTGCAACCACTTTTTACAGTTGGGAAACAAGGTCAAAAGCTCCTTACCAGTTCGGTACTATTTCTTGTGGTACGGAACAGATGGACTAGTTTCAAGAAGGTATCAATCTCATTTGGCTTGACAACTTGGTGGTTGTTGGACATGCGCTTGACTGATTGCATCCAATGCATATAACATCCTTTTAAAAAAGGTAATGTATTGTGCTGCTTGACACCAAAGCTATCCCTGAGCGTTAGTATTAAACCTTCGCGTTGGGCAGCTGAAAAGTCCATAATGACTCCCAAAAACCTCTCCATTTTGACATCAAATTTTCTAAACAAAGCAACAAAGTACTCTTTGAAAACATGTGTAGTGCTGCTTCTGACTATCGCTTGATAAAACACGACATGCTTCAGGAGTTGCTCGATATAGATGACACTTGAGCATAGATAATAGCCCTTTGGGACAGCCTTGAAAGTGACATCTGTTATGATCGGTTGATCTGCGAATGGGAGATTACGCTGAAGCATTTCAGGTGAACAGAAGCTCACAAAAAACTTGCTAGGGATAATCTGTGCTGAATCCATGAAGCCTGGATACTTCTCATCAAGATCTTCAAAGGCAGCTACCACATCTTCCTTGGTAAAATATAGATCTTGTTGGATCTTCGACTTCCGGATCTCATACTTGGTGCGTCCATGATTTGCCATTACACTGTTGATTTCTCTGACGCTTTTTGTGATGGCGCCAGTAGATGGATCGATGCCAGCAATAGCAGCAGTAGTGATGTTTGGCCTATCTTTGACCATATTATTTAACTCTTTTTTTTTCGTGTCTATCAAGATGAAGCGAGTTGTAGATAGAATGAGTGTGCTTTTTTTCTCGGTTGTCTCTTGATACATTGTAACTGTGCTGCCTCTGTCTTCTCTGCGAATATCAGTTACACGGAAGATAAAAGTTGCACCAGCACCACAGTCGATCCGCTTCAATGGCGCCTCACAGTATGGGCATTGAAACTTTTTGAAGCAGCCAAGCTCGTCTTTCCGGTCAACAGGAGGTCGTTGATCTTTGACCCATTCAGGTCTTTTGCACTGCAGACTAATGCATCGCAAAGCACCAGCGCACTTTTTATGGATTTTTCTGTCGTAACGGCTCTCATTTTCAGCGAGTTTTTCAACTGGTTTGTACTTGTTTTAAGCTTTGCTGTGGCTTTTTTTTAAGGCCCATCCAATATTTAATCTTTTGATTCCGAATGTATTGGTGGTGCAGTCAAATGCAGCGGGAAGGACTTCTTCAACGGTTTCGTCAACAAATTGATTGAAGAAATCATACTCTATTTCATAACTAGAGTTGTCCATGTTGCTTAAAGTATTGAAGAAATATAATAAGGCAGATGAACAAAATGAAGTGCCTGATCCTACATGTCAAAAACTTTTACTGCTCTGCCCTGTCGAGGATGTACGTATAATGCAATATAATCTATCCATCCATTTCTAACTACACCATATCCACCCTACCCCTACCTACGCCCCGTACACCCGCCCACGGTTTATCTATTATTCGGATCCACCCTTACTTTTTATCCACCCTTTTTATCCTACACCCCCTTTAAACGATGGTGCAATTGAAATATGCATAGGTAGCATGGTTGTTGTGAAATCTGAGGTTTTATAGACTAAAATTCACGAAAAAAAAGAATAAAAAAACAGTAAAGTCAACTTGATAAAGGTATATTTTATTATCAAACTGACAGGTGTAAAGTAAAACTGAAGTCTCTCTACTGGCCAGGTAGATGATCCTTCTTATATACTATAACAATGGATAAAAGTTCTATTAATTAGATTGACAAATAAGTCAACTCAGATCAACTAATGTCTAATCATACTAAAAGACAACTCCAGCAAGCTAATCATGATTTAGCTATGTCTGGATGAATAATTGGACTCTCATCCGAAGTACCCTGATCTATCCTTTCTATAAGGATAATTAATATCGATCTAGTAGCATGTATCCGATAGGTACAGTCTTCTTAGTCTATATTAATAGTACATATCTGAGTGTATATCGCTAAGCATACATCTTTAGCATGTATCTGGATATATGGCATGTCTATAGCATATCGTATGCATGTCTATAGCATGTCTCATATATTGTACAAGTCTGTAGTACATAAAGTATCTGTAGCTAGTATCACGGATATAAGCATGTGTCTTATAGCGTGGATCATAAAGTGCACATCTGAAGCAACAAGCTCATATTGCATTAATCTTGGTGCCTATCCAGATATGGTAAACATCCGTAGTCAATGTCGGAATACAAGTACAAGTCTATAGCGCCATCCATGTCCGTGGTGCCATCTATAGCCTATATCTTATATAGTATGAATCTTATAATACTAGCGTATCTGAAGTCCATATCTTCTTATAGTATAAATTGATATCGTACATCTAATCCAGTGTGCATACAGTTTCTATCTAAATCTGGTAACTGGATGAACTGTCGGAAAGCAGATCATAGTGGATGTATTCCACATACATAATCAGATCATACGAAACCATATACCTTGACCCTTGTAAATAAAGTAAGCAATTCTTCATTCATCGAAAGATATCAGGACAGAAATATTATCAGACCACAAATCAATCCTATACTAACCAGGACATAATTACAGACAAAAAGAATAGCAAAATAGTATAAAAGCATGACTCTCAAAATCAATCAATAAAATCATCTTATACTCTACCAATATTTCAATACACATCTTTTATAAAGCTCATTAGTTGTTATATTTACTTCTTTTCTTATATCAAACATCTGTTATTTGTAATACCCCTTGAATTCTTTATACATATCATATATTATAATAGATTTATTGTAAACTCTTTTATATACATCTCTGTAATACTTTCTGTTTTCTACTTTTACTTCTGTTTACTTGTTTATTCTAGTTGGACAACTATAAACCTGGTGCTCATTTGATAGTTAGATCTGCTTTGGCTAATTTAATATCCCTTTCATATTCTTTTATCAAAACTATTTCGACCACTACCGACTCGCCTGTAACAGCAGATAAAAAAAAAGAACAATGTAGATGTTGAGCAATAGCATGAGACGTTTTTGAAAGCCAATTTTATAAAAAAAGAAAGCCCAACGGGGGGGTCGAACCCCCAACCTTGAGATTAAGAGTCTCACGCTCTACCGATTGAGCTAGCTAGGCAATCTATATTTTCCGCCTTTCTAATTTAGTATATCACTCAATACTTGTGCTCGCACGTTTAGATGTGCTGCTGTGCGTCTGGCCGGTTTCTACCTTGTGTCTTGTTCATCTCCCCCGTCTTGCGGCGCGGCCATTGCCATTCTTTCTTCTGTTTCTCTTCTCTGGTGGGTTTTGATGCCGTTTTCAATACTGGTCCCCTCCCGTTAGCAGCTCCCCTCAACCTTTAATTTAAACATGCTTTTTCCCGCCGAATCACTGTTAGTCTTGCAATATATGATCATACCGATTCCGCAGTTGACTACATTTGTAAATAAATAAAAACCAATATTAAACTGAGCTAGCTAGGCCATCCATATTTTTGTCGTCTTGATAGATAGATCCAATGGTAGGAGTTAACAAATAACTTAGAGTGTAACTAATAGATTGAGATTATGTTCGAAGATACTGTTTATTGATTGCATTTACAACTTATATTTATACTATTTCTACGATCGATAATTACTTAATCAATTGAACTTTCGAGTAGATATAATACTTGATATAGCAACTGATAATCAGATCAATGTCTGCTGCTATCAGTTTCCAGAACCTTCGAGTATGTGCTGGCGCCTTTTAGTCGCTTTCTTCAAATTTGGCTTAAACCTAAATTTAGGCACGACGTTTTCGTTAACCAATTTTTTTAATACATTGAAACTAAGTAATATTGAAAAATTGATTTAACTCTACAAATCCATACAATACATATCAAGAACACCATTACAAACTACATCAAAGTAAACCAGACATCAAGCTCTGCGTCCTCTCTTTCTCCTGGTCAAAAACGACCCAGTTCCTCAAGATCTCCACCTTTTTTCGCTGTAGATTTCACTCAACAGTTGAAAACAAAGAAAATGACACCCTCTCCAACCTCTCATCACCACCATCCACAAACATCAGTTGATATCATCAACATTTCTACTGATTTTGGATCAACAACTCCTCCATCTGCCGCCAAGACATCCGCTACTCTTGCTCGTCTTTTTGCTCCCCAAAGTTATATACCATCAGGTTATCAATTCATCTACTTTGCTACTCCTGTTTGCCGTCGTCTTTCTGAGCTGCGTCGCCTTGTTCAAGGCGTAGGATTGAATAACTCTCGTGTGCTGGATATCCAATATCCTGTACAGAATGTAATTTCTTTTCTTGTTCATAATGACTATGTTCTCACCCTCACCAAAGCCATGCATCTCCATGGTCGTGGCTGTTCTCCGTTGATTGACTTTGATCCATGTAATCCAGTCAATCTCAAGGATCCCAAATTTGCTTCTCTCTCTCCTGATTTGCGTATCCAAAAGGCCATTGAGGTCGAAAACCTTCGCTGTCTTCGTTCGCTGTCTTTTGTCCGTCGCTCTGTTCGTATTTCTGTTGCCCGTTCTTTTCTCTTGTATGATCGCATCAACCAAGCCCAATTTGAAGCCATTTTGAAAGAGGAAATGCTTGCTCGTTCCTCCTCCTCTGCTGCTGCTAAACCACCATCCCCATCCTCTGATCAAGAGCGTTTAGCCAAGAAACAACGTTTGAGTTATCTTGGCTACCTCTTGCATCATGATGCTGAAACTGCCTCTCTTTTGGCTTATGCTGTCTCCCCAACTCTCTCTGCTACCAAGGATCTTGAAATGTCAGAGTCTTCTGATAACTGATTGGCACCTTGTTGTTGAAATTTTGCTCTCTCATCCCCACTGTCATTGTTTCTGTTTCTGCTGCCTTTGTGGTAGTGTCTGTATTCACTTTGTCCTCCTTCTCTGCTTCTTTCTCGTTTGGTCCTTGTCTCTCTACTCGTTTTGCTATATGCAAATGCCTCGTTTTCTCCTTTTTTTTCTTGCTTTTTTTGTGCCACTGAGGTCTGTGGGTTTATTTTGTCTGTGCTGCTGCCTGAACATTGAGGTATCCTCAATTGCATGTCTCATACACCATAGCTTCCTATTCTCTACCCTTTTATCTCACTTGTTTTACTCCTTTTTCCTGCCTCTACTTCTTTTTTTTACCAGTTTAATTTTTAGTTTAGGACCTATTCCTTTTTTGGACACTTGCATGTCGTCCCTGCATGTTGTTCCTGCATGTTGTTCCTGCATGGAGATCAAACTATCAATTCAAGCTTTTTTGCTGTACGTCGCTTCCCAGGACTTGCAACTAATGATCCAAAGATCGCATGCATATAAGTCTATATTTTTTACACTGTAATTCATTGTAATCAATAAACAACCACAAATTTTCGCCTGAGCTAGCTAGGCTGCTGGTCCTCCAGTATGCTGGTTTGCGTTGCTGTCTTTGCTTCATGCAATCGACTATCTGGTCCACCCTTTGGCTACTATCGCCCCTGATCCAGATCCCGGATCATTGTGGTTCTATCCTCCCTCTCATGGCTAACTGAGATGAACGTTTGGCCGACTGTTTTCTTTGTGCGGTGCCTCGGTGGTAAGTCAAATCAAAGTTCTCATCCGTTGGTTCATCCCTCAAGATCAATCGTGCCACTACAAGTAGCCTTCTGCTCTTTTACTGCCATTTCAAACCTTTTTCCTCATCTTTTCCGTTGTCTCTGTTGAGGTTTTCTTTCTTTAGTCTATATAGTTACTAGTTTTATGACATAGGCTCATACCGAGTGCCCAATTATAAAACATTGTATATAAATAAAAACAATCTTTAAACTGAGCTAGCTAGGCACCTTGATATTATTGACTTTTGCTATGTTAATCATATACATAAATTTTTTTTTTCACAATTTAGTTACACTCCAGAAGGGAAATGATGGTTTTAAGTCATCAACTTGTGTCATATAGTGGCATAGACAGTTCAAACATTTAGATCTCATGTGTATTTTATTTAGAGCTATATTATAGGGAAAGCTTTTTTTTTTGCGGGCAATTTTCAAGATCTTCAAGTTAAAACTTTTTATTGAAGCGCAGAGTAGTAGTGTACTATTTGACAGCAGGTACAAAGAAAAATGTATGGACTTCAGAGGGTGATGAAGTAATTAGCCCTACAGGTGTCAATTCTACAACCACCATTTGGTTCTCTAATCCATAAATATACGTTAATCAACAAATCAGATGAACTTTAATGGTTTTTTTTTCTTAATAATGTGTTTGGCAATCCCAATGAATTCAACACCTTTCATAATATCCTTGATATCCTTATCACATATAATTGATCATAGATAGCTTAATTGTATACCTGTAACAGCAATTAGGTATTATAGCAGCAACGTCTGCCATCATTGCCTTAACCAGCCATATAGGTCTCAACTGCATATTCTCTATTGGTGCCCTGATCTATTTCTTTTTTATTAAAAAATAAAGAGGTTTTTCGGCTTGGTTTAGCATGCACATTCAATGATCGCATTAGCTCGTTCTTGTAATTGATACTCTTGGCAGATATCTGATACAGTGATATACTTTGCTATCAGCATGGGACGTACAATTCCAATTACTCGATTGATGGTGGTTGGCCATGATGAATAGTAACATTGAATCATTTTTATTTATTTCTAGTATATTTAGCAGTAGGGCTACTATTAGTAAATAGAATCAAATTCAATTCAATACTTTTCAATCTGTTCTGTAAGAATGGCAAGCTTATTCTATAACTTGTATTCACATAATGGCATCTCAGATGTCTAGGGATATTAAATATTCTATTGTTTCATTCTATGCACATGCTAAGCTCAGATGAATGGCATATACAAACTAAAAACACATACACAACCATGTATTATACTGTTGCAAGCGACGAAATGGATTTGCATTCTATATTCCATGCGCCGTGCCAGACGGATTTGTGCAGACTGTATGCTCAAAGCCTCACCTTTTATGAGTATTTGTTTATGATTTGCGAGCAAAGAAAGAAACATTCAGATTTCTTATTTGTGGTATCGTATGTATGATAACGAGGATTGAGGTATTTAAACAAATCAATCGATATATGTAACACTTTTTGAATTAAGGTTCATCTTCAATGCTGCTGCGTTCGTGAGGAAGATTCAGGTACTATTCTGAAACAAACAAAACCCAAATTAAAGAGCGGGAACTTTCTGATCCGACATTTACGACGATACACGATTTTGAAGGCATATATAAAGAGAGGCTGAACCGCTTGCTTCCATTTTTCAGCCGTTTACTTTTCTTTTCTTTCCCATTCACTTTTCATATCATAACATGAGCAACGAAAACGAACCTTTGTTGGGACAACCTGACGTCCATCAAGAGCCTACATTTTGGTCCTCCTTCAAGGTCACAGTCTTTTCGTCGTATATCAATTACTTTTTGATCTTTGTACCCATCGCCATCGTGTTTTCCGTTCTGGAAGCATCTCCTACTGTTGTCTTTACGCTCAATTTTATTGCCATCATTCCCTTAGCAAAATTGCTTGGGTTCGGTACAGTTAAACCGGTTTCTTAATGAGTTTGAATGCAAATCTAATGTGTTGTATAGCTACGGAAGAGATTGCTCTTCGATCTGGTTCTACTATCGGTGCCTTATTAAATGCTACGTTTGGTAATGCCGTTGAATTAATCTTGGGTGTCATTGCATTGAAAGAGGGGTTGATCCGTGTAGTCCAAGGCAAGTGTAGAGTTGGCGTGTCTTGTGGTCATGCAATGCTAACTGATTTGATGCAGCCTCTGTCTTGGGTTCCATCTTGTCGAATCTTCTACTCGTAAGTAACTGTTCGTTTTTTGAAGCGAAACAAGCTTCTTATCAAAATCTACTGTAGGTGCTCGGTTTTTGTTTCTTTTTGGGAGGTATCAATCGAACTGAGCAAAAGTTCAATGTTACAGGTAATTATGATTAAGGAGTGAGAGATTGACATGTTGTGGTAACACAAAGTACCAGCTGCTCAAACATCCTGCTCCCTTTTGGCTGTAACTACATTGTCTCTTCTGGTTCCTGCTGCATTTTCTGCTTCTACACCTGAGGAAGACACTGTTGAAAGTATTCTCGAACTGAGTCATGGTGTTTCCATTGTTCTGTTGATTGTGTATATCCTCTATTTGCTCTTCCAGGTAACACACATTTGATAATAGATAGACATGCTTGGGCGTAAGAAACAAACACTAACCACTATGAAATAGCTCAAGACACATACTTTCTTGGTACAACCAAAAAAAGAGATGAAACAATTAGCTCGGTTTTTTTTTTTTTTTTTTGCTAACCAGTTTGTATTTTTAGTATGAGGACGAAGAGGATGAAACAGAGGTGCCTTCCACTACACTGCCCTTCTCTGTCGGATCGTAAGTTTCCGCGTGTTCTATTTGTTGTTTGTTTGTTTGATAGTTAACCTCACCTTGAACTTGTTTAACCCATATTAGACTCTTGATTGTCGCATGTGTTGTATCCGTCCATGCAGAGTACCTTGTTGGAGCGTAAATGTTTTTATTTGTAGTCTGATTCATGGTATACTCATCTCGTTTTTTTCATAGTATCGAAGGTGTAGTTGAAAAGTGGGGCATCAATGAAACATTTGTGGGTCTCATTCTTTTGCCCATCGTTGGAAAGTAAGTCGTAATGGGTTCCATCGTGTTATCTTGTACACTGACTACCAGTTTCCAGTGCTGCTGAACATGTCAGTGCTGTCACATTTGCCATGAAGGACAAGATGAACCTGTGTATTGGCATTGCCATCTCGTCCTCGCTTCAAATTGGCTTGTTGGTTACACCTGTATTAGTGTTGGCTGGCTGGGCCATCAATCAACCTATGACCCTGTTCTTTGAAGACTTTGAAACTGTCATTTTATTTGCAAGTGTGCTCATTGTGAACTACTTGATCCAGGATGGTCGATCGAACTGGTTGGAGGGTATCCTTTTATTGGTAAGTAGTGTGGTGCAGCATATCAGACACACTATATCTCTAACTGGTAATTTGTTTACTCTATAGTCATCCTATGTGATTATTGCCATGGCGTTCTATTTATACCCTTAAATGTGAAGTTATTTGCCTGCAGTTATACATGTTTCCTTATATTACATAAATAGTTCCATTATTTGGGTCCTAATATTTATGGAGAGAGACAGACAGACAGAGAGAGAGAGAGAGAGAGAGGCCTATTTCCCCTTGAAAGAAAGAATAATGTAGTTGAATTACCAACAATGCCTTCTGAATACATTGACGCTGCTTAAAATGAATGGTATCAACTGAGAGCATTTGTTGTACATGGCCTGAATTTTCAAGTTGTATTTTCCAAGCCAAATCAGTTTCAGCAGTGTGATCTCTTATCGTAGTGCGTATCAGACACACTGTCCGTCCGTAGATCACACATCCAAATGGGCCATGTAACACAGACAAATACATGTATTTATTTGGATTATTGTGTGCGCTGCACTATTAAATTCCTTCTCTTCCTCTTTTCTTTACCCCAACATTCCTCAGGCATGACATCTGAAAGCAACACAATGACACATCATCACCCTCGAAAGAGCCACCGAGTGTATCGATCTCCATCCAGTCCAAGCGAACCAAGCCCTTATGCAAAAAGCAGCAAGGAAACAATGATGGAAATTGATGCTAAAGATGAGGAAGCTGGCACTATTCTGATGGCATTATCGCAGCATGCTACTCGAATCCGATCCAATTCAGTGAGCAATGATAGAGTAACTAAGCGGCGAAATCAGAAAGTGATGCATGTCCACTTACCGAGTTTTATCACAGAATGCAACTATTAAAGCTGCTGCTGCTGCATCTACCAGTGCGATGACAGCAAGAAGCAACTCCATGTCCATTCGAAATTTGCTGGGTACATTCACATATTTGGCATCAGGTCGTCCATGTTGATATTAATTAACATTTTTAGTAGATAATGAAACATCATCCAGCACAGAAATACCATCAGTAAGCGATACAAGGAGGTTGATGGATACACTGATTCAAACATAAACCTCATAGATTCGTCCATACCAATCAATTTCAACGGGCTATAAACCACGCTATGAAACAAGACGCAAAGGCTTTCAAAGTAACTACTATTAATGCTCGACTGATTCAATGCTGATGGAATGTGATACTTTGTTTGTATTGTTTAGTTTGCCTTACGCAGAGAAGTGCGGTATCAACAGATGAAGACATGTACCATCATCGACGTAAACAAAGATCATTTAGTAGATATCCCAACAATCACAATAACAACCACCACCACTCAAAGTACCATCCAGTGCTAAAGATCAGAGGCAACACAGCACATATCCACATTAGTTACCGTATTCATGCTCATCAAGCTTCATTGGTAAACATTCACCCTCTGATGAGTAGATACATATGCTAATCGTGTGTTGATAGTATGAAACAAATACACCCAAACCAACAAAAACAATACACTCATCATACCCCAGAACATCTCATTCAGCGCCTTACATGGACCATCACCACGGACATCCCTACTCCTATCGGTAGGGCGCTTGAATGTTGTCAGTGTCTTGTATGTCGACAGAAAATGTCTCGGGGAAAATATCAGCTGTACTGTATAATAAACCTGTCTGTGTAAAAGCTTGTCTATCCCTTCTTTGTATACAAACCACTAACATGCTGTATTGGATGCTTGCTTCATTGTTACTATTGTTGTCTGTAAACGGATTCGTGCCATTACGTAAACACCATTATCATATACAAACACCAATGAATGAAACAGAAGTGTTATCATCGAGCAACGATATACGCCATCTTTACACATCAAAAGGTGGCTGTGGTGAGGCCTCGTTATCTTGCATGGCATTTGGCTACACATCATCGATTCCTATACGATGTGGCATCCTCAAGAACGCTCCTTTATGTGAACGCTTGGATCCTATTTCAAAAAGTATGAAGTGTGATGTGTTTTGTGACACAGATGGGTAAGTTTCGTTATATGATGTGTTCAAGTAGCAATGATTCATGGTGCTTTGTAGTGGTGGAAGACTTTGTGAACAAGCCTTTCCATCGTGCTGTCTGGGTAGTATCAATGGGTGCACTTCCTCCAGACCAAGGAACATCAAACTATACAGAACGCAATAAGCATCTTTATGGTGAAACGTGAATTCATGCCACATTTTCCTGTACGGTAATCACAATGTCATATGCAATAAACATTTTTCTTTTTTTATATACATGTGATCACATTTGACTAGAACTTGTATGAAATAAATCACCATAAAGAGTGCCATCGAGATGGCTGATATTGGGGTCATGTTGGGGCAGTCTAGTGTAGATGAGGCTATTATGAGCTGCTCATGTTCAAGCTTGAAGCAAGTAGTGTTGATGCTTTCAATGATTTCGCCATGATGGCATGTCAGAAAACATAAATATCTTATTTCATCATGTCTTTGTCAAACATCATGAGGTCCCCCGAACATTGCATATTTGGAAAGATTGGATACTATATGTCCTATCAACCGTCTTTGTCGAGTGTACACGCACATTTGCTACGGCAATGATCTCCTTTTTTTTACTGCGACATGACACATTCAAATGACCTTCCATCATCCCTTAAAAACCAAGATTTAAAGAACTAATGAGCACATGGACCTATCAATAGCGTTTATAATTTCTCTATAGCGATTTGTAAGGCTTTTATAATCTGATGAAGGGCTGTTACTTGGGCTACCACTCTCATTGCCATGGGGATTTGCTGTAGCTGGTTGTCATGTTGCCTTTGCTTACAAGCTCACATCTTATAGAGCACCATGCCAAGGTCCATGTAATTTGTATCTATCTACTGTAAATACATATCGACCTTATGTTACGTTTGGCTTTTACCAAATATCAAAAAAGATGGCATGATAGACGCAAACCAGCTTTGACATCTGACTTGAATATTCCACTCAAACCAAGAAGAATATTTATAAGCTGAACACGCGTCATGTGACATGCCTGAAATGAATAAGATGGCTGTTTGCCATCACACACCAATGCACCCCTTTTTTGAGCTCTTCTTCCTTTATCTTTACCCAATTTCGTATACTATGGAACAAGAGCTTATTGAACTACTACTTGCTTCCAAGAAAGCTCTATCCACTGGTCAATCTATCTGCGCACAAGCCAATACTTACTTACAAACATCAGAAGGCCACGTTGAAACGATAGCCAAGATACATCCCAAGTTGCTCTTTGTCGATAACCATATCCTAGTTCAATGCAAGATTCTGGAAGGCGTTAGAGATTATGTGAATGTGAAGACCGAGTCTTGTCAGAACAAGATCAAAGTAAGGCTTTGATACGTTCGCTGTTTTACAGGGCCATGCTCACATTTAGTCCAGGACCGAGAAGCACATTTACAAACACTCACAATCGAGCTGACACAGATATTCAACCATCTCAAAAAATGCATGGTAGACAAAGATATACTGAGAGTCAATCGCGAGATTCAAGGGCCAAGTGAAGCAGACGAGACACAGCAGTATACTTGTTTGTTTGATTACATTTCTGATCAGGATATCATTGATTTGCAAAGGCAAGCGGATGATGAAATAGGGGAGATCGAGGTAGGATCAAATTCATGCTGGATATGGGAGTAGCGGATTGATGGATTGGACTCTAGACGGTGAGCAATGTCATGCAAAACCAATCCAAGTTGATTTCGACATTCTTGGCGGATATTGCGAGAGCAAGAAAAGCAGCGCTAAGTGTGCCGCTAGACGAAGAGACAGTGGCGTATTCGAGCGAGAGGATACAAATACAAGAAGACGAAATCTCCAACATGGCAGAAATACTGACCAGCTTGACAAATCATTACGATCAATTGGGCGAAGCGACAAGGTGGGCAAATGAGTTGGTTTGGCTCTTACAGACACTAACTCGTGGTGAAGGCTGTATCAGTCTGATCCAGATGGTCGCAATCAATTGGACATTACCGTATTAGAGGATGATCATGAACATATACCTAACATTTTAGAGGATTTGAGGCACAGTCTGGACATTGTAGAGTCTGTCAGGTACACACGGCGTCCTATAACATGTATTACTGGCATTGACATTGTTTTAGCCAAGAAATCCAGGACCGAACGCAAGTGTATCTGCATGTGAGGGATGAATTGATCAAGATATTGAATCAGTTGGAGTATTTCGGCATTGGGGGACAGGCCGATGGTATTTTGGAAAAGATGCAAGACGCAGAGGTCGAGATCAAGGAGAGAGAATACAATTTAGACGAATTTTTTAAACAGTTGGCATATTTGGCGCAATGGTATCGATGCTACGCTTCCTCGTACAACTACTTGCTACTAGAGATTGAAAGACGAAGAAAGTCAGAGGAGCGACAAGAAGTGCTACGTAGAGAAATAGTAGAAAAGATTGAGGATGCTTACAATGGCAAGTCATTTTTGATGTGATATGAATTCTTGTCCTAACCTTGGATGGCAGACGAATTGCAGGAAAGAAGATCTTGGTCTGCGCAACATGGACAGTATTTGCCCGAGGTGCTTTGTACCTTCATCAATGTGAGTCTGGAGAGCAGTGGCTTTACATGTGTAACATATTAATAGGAATCGATAGGATGCTCCTTCTATTTTAAGGGTAGAAGTGGAGAGAGATTCGACTCGACTTCCCGAGTTATCACCTGAAAATGTACAAAAGGTATTCTTTTACTATGCCCTTGCAAATGATTTTTTTTTTATTTACTTGGTAATTCGACTAGGCACTCGCTGAAATACACAATTCCTCCCACGAATAAATACTGTCGTCCATGTCTCTACAAGGGGTGGAAAGCCCATCATGAGGGCGTCTCTTTTTTTTTTTTTTTATTTGTGATATGATTACAAAATGAATAGAAATGTACATTGTTTTTTTTTTAAAGGTCTTTTACAAGTTCTCCAGGTCTGCCTGTGTCTGGGAAAGGAGTAGGTGTTGTCGATGTTTCGGCATGGAGTGATTTTTGTGCTTGCTGTGCTTCCAAGACGTCGTTCAAGCGAGCCTTTTGTTTTTACATGTTAATGATGAATATAGATTGAAGAAAGAGGCAATCTACTTACAAGTTCTTCATGAAGCTTTCCTTGCTTCTTCAATTCCATCCTGCGGTTGACCAGCATGCCAACATTGACCATGTAGTAAACTGCCATCATCATTAGTCGTCATGTGTGTATATACAGAATCGACATTTCTTATTTACCAGTGGTTCCTGCAAGCAAGAGAACTGCAGATTTTTGTGCAATATCAGCTAAACGACCAGTTACTGGCATATTGAATGATTTATGAAAGAGGAAGAAAAGAGGGAAAGAAGGAAAATGAGAAAAAAATAATGATTTCTTAAACACAAGCAGGCCTGGTCCAGGCGGAAAATGCTGTGGAAAGCCCTTTCTTTTCCACATATATAAAGCAGCAAATCTTTACCATGACGTATTCTCTCCCAATCTCTGATTTTATATTTTCGTAGTTTCTTTTCCCTCTTTCTCTTTTCCCTTCTCTCTTTTTCCCTCTTACTTTTTCCTGTATATCACATCTCGAAATGAACCTCTTCTTTGGTAAGGCAAAATCGAAAACTACAGCAAAGGATGCCATCTACAAACTGCGTGAGACTCTGGGCATGTTGGAGAAGAGACAGACCTTTTTAGAGACAAAAGCCGAGAACGAGCTAAAGATTGCCAAGGCAAATGCTACAAAGAACAAGAGAGGTAGGCATCAATACAGCAGCAGTAGCAGCCATCATGGCCATACTCACGCCTTACAACGGTAGCCGCTTTGATGGCTCTGAAAAGAAAAAAGACTTACGAAGCTAATATCGAAAAGATCAATGGTGCTCGTATGACCATTGAAACCCAAATGATGGCCATTGAGAATGCCAATGTTAATTTGGAGACGATGGGTGCTATGCGTGCAGGTGCTGAAGCCATGAAGAATATACACGGCTCCATGTATGTAGAAAACTGCAGAACAAATGATCACATCACAAGTTGACCCATTTTTGTTTATTAGGGACATTGATAAGGTTGATGCCACCATGGATGATATTCGTGACCAAATGGATGTTGCAAACGAAATTTCAGAGGCTATTTCTCGACCTGTGAATGTGGGTGATGAGTTGGATGAGGTAAAAACTTACATTTCATAGGTGCTATTTGACATGATCACTCACACACATCTTTCAGGATGATTTGTTGAATGAGTTGGAGGAATTAGAACAAGAAGAGTTGGATGCCAAGATGTTGGAGACGCCTTCACCGGTTGTATCTGCACCCAATGTGCCTACCCGTGTGCCTAGTAAGTTTGATATGCTGTGTGTGGGTGTGTTTGTATAGGTCGCTCAATGATGTTGTCTAGTTCATAATGTCACAGTAGAGGAAGATGACGAGGAGGCTGAACTTCGAGCACTCAAAGCAAGTATTGCCATGTAAAGAAACAAGCGAACCGGGAAATCCGAAACGATTGATTGCAACAACCAAATAACAACTCTACACATGTGCCAGTAAATTTTACCTTTCTGCCTCTCTCTTTTTTTTTTTTCTCTGATATTTTATATATATATACACACCTACTGATGCAAGCATGTTTTTTTTTTTTTTATTTTATTTTTTTTTGAATGGATTTGGTTTATACCGAATAAATCTCGATTATGTTTAATCAAATGTATTGTTGAAGTGTTTGTGTGATCTCCACATGGAGAGAGTGGATGAGGCACTCCAAGAACCGCAAGCCAATTTACTCTTTTTGGTGCTTCTGTGATCTGTTGGTGGTACCTGGAAATATAATGATATTCAACCCCTCCCATTCCTTGTTCTACATCTTTCCCTTCAATGTCTTCCAGTACACTTTTTGTAGAGAAACTTGGCAAACAAGTGCAGATCATCTTTGATTCAAAAAGCCTTCGTATTCAGTCAGATGCAACGGCGATCGTCCCTCAACAAAAGAAGTCTAAAAAATCCAGGTCTTGCGTTTGTTTACCCACTCTAGAAACAAACGACGATCCCACTTCATCACCAGCGTCATCTTCACTACCGATCCCGCATAGAAATATCTTGCATGCCAACTACAATGCACGCACCAACATGGTGCAATTGAACGCATTGGTCGCTGATAAACCGTCTGATCCAGAGTCTACGACCCAATTGTTCAAGTTTATGTACACGGTCAGAGATAATGAGCAAGAAAAAGCCACTGAATTTTGTCAAAACATCATGACAAACGTCTATCAGGGTGAGTTGTCTGTCACTTGCAAGTATTGACATACCCATCTGACCCACCATGTCCAGATCTGATACCGGAAAAGCGTCTGTTGGTCCTGATCAATCCTTTCGGAGGTCAAGCGAAAGCCAAATCCATCTTTGGAGAGAAGGTCAAGCCCGTTTTAGAGGCAGCCAAGTGCAAATTAGACATTCAGTGTAAGTAGCAATTGTATCTTGCAGGTCGGCACTCGATTAAAGTCGAATTTGACAGACACTGAGCATCGTTACCACGCTTTGGAGATTGCCAAGGGACTTGATATTGAATCCTATGACACCATAGTCACTGTCAGCGGTGATGGATTGGTTCATGAAGTGATCAACGGTTTCTTGCAAAGACCTGATGCTAGAGAAGCGCTTCAGAAAGTGTCACTGGGTCTCATTCCTGCAGGCACGAGCAATTCGCTTAGTATCTCCATGTCGGGTGAGAAATTAGGTTTTGATGCAACTCATAATGCGCTTCAAATCATCAAAGGCAGGCCGTTGGCTCTTGATCTTTGCTCAATTACATACGAGGATAACCGCTACTTTTCCTTTTTGTCACAGAGCTTTGGTATTGCTGCTTATGCGGATCTAGGCACAGAGCACATGAGGTAATGCAGCTATCTACAACGCATATAAACATAAGGTATCTTATTTCGTGAATTACATAGATGGATGGGAGACAACCGAACAGTCGTTGGCCTTATGCAAGAGATCTTTTCAAAGAGCACGTACCAGATGGAGGCATCACTACTCATTGCAGAATCAGATAAAGAGAAGATCAAGCAAAACTACAAAAGTGGGTTAAAGTCGTCTGAATGGAAGAGCCCTGCAGTGGGTGATGGAGCTGTGTTAGATACCATACCACTCTTATCCGACCCTGTGCCTGAAAATTGGACCACAATTAATGGGGACATTTCCATGTTCCTTGCCAGTAATGTGCCTCTCCTGAATCGTGGTATGCTTTCTCATCCTTGCGTGTCTGCAAACGATGGTTACATTGATTTGATGCTTGTACGTGGTGGTAAGGGCATCGGAAAGCAATTAAGTATGTTTACAAGTGTGGATACTGGTAAACATCTTGACATGGATATAGTAAGTTTATGCTGCTTGTGGAAGTGGATTAACGTTACTAAGCAGAGGCGATAGGTCGAATACTACAAAGTGAAAGCATTTAGACTGAAACCTATCATTAAGCCAGGCAAGAGTGCATATGTTGCAATTGATGGTGAGCATGCTTCTTCAAAGCAATTCCAAGTCGAGGTTCATCAAGCTCTTGGGTCTGTTTTAAGTTTAAACCCTACCTTTATCAATACCAATGTGCAGTAATCTGCACCCAACATCATACTATTTCATAATATTTAATTAATATAATGCCACACTTTGACTTTTCATCATCATACGGAAGCCCTATAAACGACCTGCGAGTGTAGACCTGGCTCTTTCACAATGCTGTGCGTTTGTATCAATAGAAGCAATTCATATACAGGCAGAAACCATATTGATATTGCCTCTTATTACTCGAAATTATACAAACTACAGCGAAATTTGTATGCTTTCGAGCATCGTTTTCTCGTGTTACAAGCCGTTTTAGACCGCCAGAATAGCACCAAACAGTTGCTCTCGACTAGCACCTACTTCCTGCCATCTTTGCTCGATTTTTTTGGGGTCATCGAAAATCGACTCCAAACCATGAGTGATACCTCATGGTTTTCATCGAAAACCAAACGATCGCGCTTTTGACCCCAGAAATGAAGACTTTTACTATGGTACATATTAATTCAAAATGTTTCTATCGTTCTAACGTAGCCTCTGAAATCATCTTTGTAGGATCTTGATATGTAAAATTTCGACTTCTTGGTCATAAACTTCTTTTCATACTTTCACAAGTTGCTCAATAAGTTTATTCAAAACATCTACCTTACTTGGTACCATTGGATGCGCCTTGAAAAGCTCTTCTAGAATGAATTAGGAAGCATTGGATGGTCATTACATTTTACATAGTCGAATCTCAGAAAATAGTCCAAAGAAGTCGAAATAATTCTTTTTTTTTTATAGGGAAGTCAAAATAATTCCCATTTCAAGAAGAAAAAAATAAGCATAACGGAGCTTTAAATTTTGGCTGGCAAAATGCCTTCCAAATGGTTACAATCGACATTTCTGGAGCTGATGAGAAGGGGATTGCAGATTAAAAAGTACTATAGGCGGCTTTCATTGCTCTAGTTGTGTATTTTTATATAGAAAAAGATTGTTCGCTGCAAAATGCTTCTTTAAATGCGGATTTCAAATGCAAAACTGTTCATTTCCTGGGTCATGAACAGATTTTGACCATGCATCTTTCATCAGTTGACATTTGAGATTTGCTATCATTTCATAAAAAGTTAGGTGCACGTTTAAATGGTATTATACTTGGATTATTTCGCTCTAATGCCTCGAAAGTATAGTTTGATCTGCATTATTGATGTCAAAAAGGTGCCTGTCATGCAGCCATCAACCACACAAACCCTTCACGGACTGCTTTTCATGGTGTAAAAATCTGATTTTTTTCAAATGTTTGAATCAAAAACCTTTTCCATCCACTTCCCATTACACCGCCATGCCCAAGTTAACTGCAAAGGCCACTAAGAAGGCAACTGCTGCCGAAGATATGAGAGCCTTTGGTCCTATCTTCAACAAGGATCTGGGTCAGCACATTTTGAAAAACCCACTTGTAGCTCAAGGCATCGTTGACAAGGTAAACCTCATTGACGTTTGACATTTTCATATGTTATGATCCATCTTGCTCATACAAGCCATTGTCGATTTAACAGGCCAACCTCATCAGCTCAGATACAGTATTGGAAATTGGTCCTGGTACCGGTAACTTGACAGTGCGTATTCTTCAAGCATGTAAGAAGGTAGTAGCAGTTGAAATGGATCCTCGTCTTGCTGCCGAATTGCAAAAGCGTGTGCACGGAACGTAGGTGTTTATGGAGACAGTGAACCACAAAGAGCGAAAAGGCTAACGCTGCAGAATATAGATCTGACCAAAAGAAGCTTCACATCTTGCTTGGTGATTTCATGAAGACCGAACTTCCCTACTTTGACGTCTGCATCAGTAATACCCCCTATCAAATTTCATCTGTTCTCGTCTTCAAGTTATTACAGCATCGTCCCATGTTCCGTTGTGCTATTCTCATGTTTCAGCGTGAATTTGCGCTTCGTCTTGTAGCAAAGCCAGGAGATGAATTATACTGTCGTTTATCAGTCAATGTTCAACTGTTAGCCAAGGTGGATCATGTCATGAAGGTCGGTAAGAACAATTTCAGACCTCCACCCAAGGTTGAATCTTCAGTCGTGCGTCTCGAGCCCAAGAACCCTCCCCCTCCTGTTGATTTTGACGAGTTTGATGGTTTACTGCGTATTCTGTTCACTAGAAAGCACAAGATTTTCCCTGCCAACTTTAAACAAACCACCGTATTGAATATGTTGGAGCAAAATTACAAGACATACTGTTCAGCACATGAATTGGTAAGCGGAAGAGAGGGAAAGCGGCATTGGATATACAGTGGACTTATAGTGTGTGTTTGCTGTGTATAGATGGTTGAATCTGATTTCGACATCAAGGCCAAGGTGATGCAGATCATTGAATCTGCTGGTATGTCTGACATGCGTGCTGCAAGATGTGATTTGGATGATTTCTTAAAGTATGTATACAGTGTGTGTGAGGCTTGATTGATGGATACAGAGTAACTAATTCAAGTGTGCGTAGACTTTTACTTGCATTTAACACTGCCAATATTCACTTTTCTTAATTTGCTTTCTTTTTGTATATTTCCTCCCAACTGTATCCTATCTTTTTCTTTAAATCAGCATCCATTCTTTCTTTTTTTTTTCTTTATTTATATAACATTTGTACCCATTTAGACGCTAATAAACGACAGCTATATAAGATAATGCAATGATTGAGGGATGCACCAAGCCATTGTGAGGCTCTTTGACGTGCCAGAGCTACAGAAATAGAGGAAGAGCCATTCACTGCCTTGTTACATGCTCAATCCATGGGATATATCAAGCAAAAGCATCGCAAACCAAGGCATTGAATCAAAGCACATCCTGAGAGCTGTGACCATCGTTTCCTGCTTGCATTTATGAAAGAAAGGAAAATCTTTTCTGCATCTGTACTCTTCCTGACAGCACTTCACTGAACATATCATGGACGCGCCAGCTGATTACGATATCAAAAACTACGAGAAACTCACAAGCAACTGGAGCAGTGATCCCACAGCATTTCTCAGCCTCTACTACTCATTATTCTACAAGCAATCAGAAGATTGCACCGTCTATGTTCGTCAAGCACCCAGCAAAGTATGTGTGCTGGGCATGAGCACGTATCCATCTAATCTGGCCCGTATCAAGATGCACACACAATTAGTGGGCGAGAAGGTGAAAAAGGACACTATACTGTGCGATCTGCTAGATGCGTCAGATCAAACCATTGGCCGTGTCAGAGCCGAGATGGAGGGTAAATTACTGGAGCTCAACAGTCGATTTGCCGCTGAGAGTTTGGACACATTACTGGGAGGGAAGCATCACATGGATATTGGCTTTATTGCCATCATTCTACCCAAAATAGAAGACACAGCTGTTCAATTGAAAGAATTCACGCCTGAAGAAGAGTACAACAATCAGCAGCAACAACAACAAATGTCCTAAATAGGATAAAATCATGTGTGGTTTGCCTGTGTGCTTGTATGATTTATGTGATACGGCTTGCAAAGAATAAACTACCATCCTTTTTTTAATTTTATTTTGCACACTTGTTCATCAAACTTCCTTTCAGCAGCACACACATACACATCTTTATTATGGGTCAAGCGAGTTCATCCCCTAATTCTCTTGGGTTCTTTAAAAAGAATCCACTAACAAACGAGTACGAAGACATGTCAAACAAATTCACCAAAGCGACCATGTCTACATTAGCTGTGCCAGTCATTATCGTCGCCTATCCAATGTTGAATGCGTATACGTTTCAGGACTCTGATATCACTGGATATCGAATAGTAGACGGCGCTATTGGAGGCGTACTGGGTGTTATTGGCTGTAAGTAGCTTGAGATGGTTTGCGTGTACATTGGTATGTAATACATCGACACACAGGGCCACTGGCTCCCATTATGGCAATATGGGGTGCGATCCAGATCAACTTCAAAGAGAAGCCGCCACTACCACTGCCAGTGCCTGCAGAGATATTACAGAAAGCACAGGAAGAGATCAATCTGAATATATCGCTATTCTACAACATTGCAGTAGTGGGATGTTCAGGAACAGGAAAGGTTTGTTGTAGTGGTCGATCCGTGCCTCAAATGCCAGTGGGATTGATAAATCAATAGAGCTCTATTGTAAATGCTATTCGAGGATATAAAGATACACATCCTAAAGCGTCTAAAGTGGGAGAAGTGGAGACAACAGAGGCACCAATGCCGTTTCAGCATCCTGATCTAGCTTCGATGGTTATTTGGGACATGCCAGGTGTAGGCACACAAAGTCACCAGAGAGACACTTACTTTCAAGACAACTATTTGAGTTGTTTTGATCTACTAGTGATAGTGCTAGGAAACAGGTAGGACAAAGCAGGAATGAGACTAGATCAGAGGCTTATATCACCTTTCCCAGATTAATGCAGGACGATATCGATATAGCGTTGCAAGCCAAGGAACACCGGATCCCCATCTTATTTGTTCGTAGTAAATCAGATCAAGTAAGCATCTTGCCGCCCAAATAATTCCGCCCATCTATTAATACCATGTAACAGGCAATTGCAAGCAAGACAAAGCGACACGAAGGCGATAGCTATTACGAATGGGCCACAGCGGTTGGGGAATTCACAATCGAAGTAAGATTTTTCCATGCTTCTGTGAGGCTCTTTGTGCATGTGTGTAACCAGGTCAATGTTTACAGGTTCGAGACTCTATCTTTACACAGCTCCGGCAACATCACTTGAACACAAAGAAGCTGTTCATTGTATCAGCAGAGTCGTTGAGGATGTTTGTCGCTGCCATCAACAAGCAAGAGGAACGAAAGGCCATTGAAACTATCGATGAAGAGCGCTTCATGACATCTTTGATTGAAGGCGTGGTTGCCAAAAGGGATTACTATCAGAAACAAGCGAAATTAGAGGAGAAACGGAAGAAGAAGCTGGACAAAAAACGTCAGAAAGATGCTTCATCTTTGAACAGTAATCAAAGCAACCTGAGCGCAGTATAATCCATCATTGCGTCAAAATCTAGATGTATATTTAATCAAATAAAAACTAATAATTCAAAACGTGAGATCCGGTGAGGGGTATTTTTTTTTTCCTAGTAAATGATAACATTTATATCAGCAAGGGCCAGTTTCGAACACGTAAAGTGTCGGGAATGGCGTATACATTACAAAATGCATGAATTGTGTCTTAAGCGGGAATGATATACCAACGCAATGACGTTCAGATCATGTAATTTGTATAGGTAAACTTGGTAGTCCGCGCTAGTTTCTTCCCCTTTGCAAATGTCTATTACATCATGGTTATGATGAATGAAACCATCATGAAAAGTGTATAAATACAGCCTGCTTCTTGAGCAAAAGGTATAATTTTTATTATTATTCATATAATTAAAAACTAATACATCTTAAAAATGGACGCCTCAAGAACTAACGCTAAGAAGAACGAAGTCGTTGGCAATGTCAAGGATACCGTTGGTGGTGCCGTCGGTAACGATTCTCTCCAAGCCAAGGGTCAAGCCCAAAACACCTCTGGTCAAACCGAAGGTGTCTTGGCTAACGTCCAATCCTATGTTGCCGGTGCTGCTGATCAAGTTACTGGTGCTGTTAAGGGTGCTGTCAACTCCTTGACTGGTGATAACTCTGGTGAAGCTGGTGCCAAGGTCCAAGAAAAGAAGGGCGAGGCCCAAAAGAACTTTGCTTCTTAAATCCTCTAGCAAGCTAAAAGACTGTAAATAATCATGTCAACTGCACCAACACCCAGAATTATGTACAAACAATCCTAAACACTAATTGTAACAAATAAATCACTTATTTTTACTATATATACTGGAAAACTATGGTCTTAAAAAATAGGCATTCTTTCAAATGTAATTCCAAAGACTTGAGAGCTGGACAAAGGTGAATAAAACCACAAGAGAAGCTGACAATGGGGAGGGGGGGGGGGGTTTGGGGGAGAGTTACTGTACCGAAGCAAAGGTGCAAAGCTATGGTAATTAAGTATTGAATCCAATACTTGATAGCATTGGTGTTAATGACGGCTTTGCCGTAGCACAACAGAGGTGCAAAACCTATGACAACTAAGCATCTAATCCAACACTTGGTAACATTGATCTATATGAGGGCTTGGTCGCAGCGAAGCGAAGGTGCAAAATCATTGTATTCAAACAGCAAATTCGATTTCTCATTCCCTAAATTAATAACTGATTGTTTGAAATCTACTTTATAGCGGATTTTTATTATTACTGATTTGAAATGTCTACGACGACAGCCCCCAGGGCAACACCATCGTCGAGCGTAGCGAGATTGCATCCAATTCAGCATTTGGTAATACATTAATCTTTATGGGGATACCGTAACCAAGCAAAGGTGTAAAACCATCGTATTCAAGCAGCAAATTCGGGTTTTCATTTCGATTGCTAATAAGCTTACCAACAACATAGCACATTAAAATTTGCATAAATTAGTCTTACCAAAATCAATATACCTCCTGTTCGAACTAGAAGTTACACAGGCCGCAGAGCTGCCCTTCCAGACGACTTCAGCTACTAAAGATGTGATCCATGCCGTCTAAATAAAAGCCATAAAGCAAAACATAACCAAATTGGACAGCTTTCAAGCCTTCATATCTCGACATGTAGACCTTTATGAGCCACCGGAATAACGCTAAACAATTGTATTCGAGTAGTAGTAACTTTCTGACACCTTTGCTCAACGTTTTGAGTCAAAAAAAGACATGGCCAAAAATCGATCAAAAAGCATGAGGGGTACTTCATGGTTTTCATCGAAATTCAAACGATCGCATTTTTCACCTTGAAAATGAAGACTTTTACTATGGTATATATCAAATCAAAATGTTTCTCTCGATCCAAAGCAATCTCTGAAACCACTTTTATGAGGTTTTCATATGCGAAATATGACTATTTTCGCTAAAAACCTCATTTCATATTTTACCAAATTGCTCAATAAGTTCATTCAAAACACCTATTACAGTTAGCACCATTGGAAGCGCCTTGAAAAGTACGTAAAGAATGTATTAGGAAGCGCAGGGTGATCATCACTGTTTATATAGTCGAACATTGCAAAATAGATTTTAGAAGTCGAAAAATGACAAAGTCTGTCCAATCTTGAACAGAAAAAAAAAACAAACTGAGCTTGAATTAGTGTTGGCGGCGGCGGCGCTGCTGCTAGCTGGTTCAAATACCTTTCTGATGATGACAATGGTGATTGCGATGCTGATTAAATGGGGACAATGGAGTTGAAAGAACAACCGATTAGCCCGAATACATCTTTAGGGGAGTTTTACCTTATAAATAAAGGGGTCTTTTGCAATGACAATATCTCAAAAAAGTCGCTGTAGACCTTACACAAGTCCTATATTTGCGCCTGGCCAGCTTTTTGTCGTCATCTTAAGAGCAGCAGCAACAGCAGCGAATGGTATGACAACTCCACTATCAGAGAGAATGGAGATTGTGGTGTAAAACTGCTGCATAAAACTTGAGTTTTCTTTCATATTGTCTCAATAATCATAGGCTTCGTTTGATATAAGGCAAAAAGGGTGCTGAGAGAGATGTCTCCTCTCCTCCACCTCCTGGTTTTGATATAACCTTTCTTTTACTAATAATTGATTGCTTAAAATCTACTTGATATACTAAAATTTTATTATAACTAATTTAAAATGTCTTTGGCGAGAGTCCACAGGGCGACGCCGACATCGAGCGTAGCGAGATAGATCGGCTAGGTTTTGTATACTGAAATCTATCATGTCTTTTATGAGTCTCTTATCCATTTGAATGAGAAGAGATGCCAGAGTTTATGCAAATAGTACTACTGCTTAAACATATGAAGCCGCCCGAAACATGACAGCCCAGAAAACGAATTTGCAATTGAGAGTAAGCATATACTGGACTACATCATGAAAATCCCACCCATCTTAAAATCACAATGTACTCTGCATGTCTATGATACAAAATTTGCAGTGAGTGTACATTTTCATTTACCTAGGTAATATCTACTGCCGTATGCATAAATGAATAACCGCTCTCTTTTGATACAATCATTCTGATGTTTCAAAGCTTTACTTTAGAGATGTCGGATTATATTGCAATCACAAGTAAAAAAAACTTTACAGTAAACGATAATGATTAAAGCAAGTCAATTAAATGCTATCATGTCGACTTTTGATCATACTACTTTATGGATTGTAATTGAAGATTAATGCAATAGACTATTAAAATGATGGTGCGCTCTCATGGCCTGCTTTGTCTTTGATCTTCTGGATCTAGCTACTGAAGCAGCCGCAGCTGAAGACGGCGATATGGACACTAGAAATGCCTGCGGTCTCTTTTGCAGTCTTCTCTTTTGAATAATGCGCTTGTTGAAGCTGTGTATAGATAGTGATGTTTTTGTATCATCGTCATCTTCTGCGTCTAGCTCGCTATCGCTACTGATAAAACTAAAAAGACTCTTGTTGTCACGCGATTTACTGGGCTGAGGCATTGGGATTGTACTGGTCATCGTCGTGTCTTGTTTGTTACACTGGCTCAAGGTACTACCAGCACTACTACTAGTGGCACGAGTGGTCGCTTGTGATGGGATTTCTACTTTTTCATCAAAGGCGCCATGATGACTATCAGCAGGGAGCACCTCCTTGAATTCGTCATTTGTAACCGCAAGTGAGTTCTTGACGTTAGTAGTATCCAAGAAGAGGGTGTCTTTCTCCTGTTCCTGATGAGGCTGCTGCTGCTGCTCTTGCCCCTTTTCTTGGTCGGCCTTCTGCTGCTGCTGCTGCTGCTGCTGAGAGTTGCTATTCTGAGATGCATAAAAGAGTAGTTGAGATGCTAACGTAAAAGATTGGCTGTTTCTTAGCATTGTCGGTTTATCTGCCGTGGTATTGTCATTGGCACCCGTTGACTGTATGGCCCCATCGATGGCTTCATTGATCATGTCTCGCAAAGAGATGGAACGAGGGCTTGGTTCCTTGGGTGCATGATCAAAGTGATGTCTGGGTGGTAGTGCTAAATGATCGCTGGTTTCATGAAAGTACGTTTGACGACGGCGTAAACTAACGCGCACCAGATCAGAAAGATAGGTTAGTTGAGAAGCTTCTTCGTCCTGTTCATCCTCCTTGTCAGCTTCTGCTGCTTTGTGTAGCGCTGTATTAGCTGCAATCATCTTGTTATGATGATGCCAAAAAATTTCACTCTCGTCTTCTTTATCATAGCCATGTAGATTCCATTGCTGAGTGGCATTGGGTAGCGATTGGGCACGCCCAATGTCGCTCAGTAGAGATGGACTGTAGCTACTGTTGCTGCTGCTGCCCTTATGGTCATGAATGGATGATTTATGAGTAGATGAGAGTTCATAAAAAGAACTATTGCGCCCATTGCGACCATTTCCAAAAGTGGTACAATTGCTTTTGTAGAATAACTGGCCAATTGTATCACCACCACTCTCGCTGATGCTGTTTGATCTGTTCATATAAGACGGTGATCTCAATTCAGAGCGTAATTTAATGAGGCGAGATGCATAGTGAATACAAGACTGTAAATTCTTGCTGTTAGCAGAGTGATCTTCATTGTTATTGTTGTTTGAGGTCAGGTTTGGAGCATCTGCTGAACTATATTTAGATGCATTCGTATGGCTGTTACTATGCAATGATGGGAACACTAATGAAGGTGGTTTTAAAGCAGTGACCAAGGATGATTCAGTTGATATTAAAGACATTGGGTTATTGAAATAGAGAGAAAGAGAAGAATAAAATAAAAAAGCAAGAGAAGTTAAGGGATAAATACACATTCGTATCAAGGCGGATGGAACAACTAAGCTATAGAACAGCATGTACCTATGTAATGATAGATCCCTTTCATTAAGAGAGAAAATAGAGGGAGTCGCTCAGCTGAATTCAGGTACAAATCGATACATCTCCCACGTCCCACCTTGCTGTCAAACTAACAGTATGTCCATTGTAGAGAGATAATAAAAGTACAGGTACATTTTATTACGGTGTGTATAGTATGTAAATGATATATGTGGTTATATGTACAAAATTAGAGATAATTACAGCTATTTAAACCATGTTATCAGCAGTAGCGCCTGATGATAACAGTAGTGGGGCGACCTCATTCTCCTTGCCTGTATAACCAGCGTCGTTGCATGTTATATCTCGCTTACAGATTGGGCACTATTTATATAGAGTTATTTTTTTTTACCGTCTGTAACATCTGACAATTTCAGCCCTACCAATTTCTTTTGTGTAGTGAGCCATGCATCCACACATAGTGTGTGAAATTGATGATTGCAAGGCAGTAATCTCAATTCATTGCCGCTTTGGTAGTCTTCCAAACAAATGGCACAGCTGTCAGGCTCTGGCTCTTTTTCATCCAGCTTGAATATTTTGACAGTTAGCTTCGATACAACTGAAACAGGCGCTAATTCTCGTCTACGCTGAAGTCCCTGTCGAATCTTCCAGGAGATGTAAATCATCACCAGCATGATACAGGGAGATACCGCTACAATGATCAGGATATCAATCAATGGCCTAATATACAAAACGGATCAGCAAACAAAACAACAACCACAAAAACAGAAACATCCCCTTCTTTTTTTTTTTTTTTTTTTTTTTTTTTATATATTTAACCCACCCCTCTTTTACCCCTATCTTCTACTTTTAAGGGTGTGTATCATGATTTGTAAACTTACCAAGTGACACTATCATCATACTGCAAAACGGCCATCATGGGTGTATCCAGTAATTTCGACAGATGCAGTATTTTATTGTATTCCTTCATTGCCAAAAATACACTTGGGATGGTTACGTCGGATGTATCGCCTATATATTTGTAGCACAAATGGGAAGAAAAGCTTAGTTGCCAAATTTAAAAAAAAGTGTTTTAGGGAAAACACAAAGCCCTCTAGAATCAACTAATTTTACCTGGCGCATACATGGTTATCCAGCCTGGATGCTCTGGATCACCCACAACCACAGCAACAGCACCGCTCTTTTGCATGTAGCGCACCTTGGTAATGAATGAACATCCTCCTCGTTTCACCAGTGCAATCCAATCTGAGCAGGGCGGTTCGACAATACTACATCCAGTTGGATCTTGACTTGGCTCAACTATAAAGCCGATTTTGCCATTGGAGGAGATGCGAGGACCAAATGCTGCATTTCTGTCTTCAAATGTTTCGTTTGATATCTATAGAATTGTTTAGCATGTGGGGGGGAGCAGCAGCAGCAAGAGCGCAAGTCGTGGTATAATTTACAGTGACATGTGTTGATGCATGGACCAAGGAGATGAAGTATGAAAACAACATGAACCACAGGAAACTGGATCTCATTTTGTGTTGAAGCTAGTGCAATTGAAGAAAGAAGAAGAAGGGAAGAAAGAAAAAGGAAAAGAAAAGAGAAACAAAAACAAAGCAGATTCTATTCTGATCAAATAGTGATTTGCAATCTGCTTAGCAGCTGCTTGTGATGTGTGGTTGCAGAAGCAATGATGATGGTAGTGAGGGCAATTAAATAACCGCAGCCTAGAAAACTTTTTCGCTCTCTCTCTCTTTCCCTTTCTCATTTCTTTCTCTCTCCTTCTTCTTCTTCTTCTTCTTCTCGTTATATACCACACTGTAGAGATGGAAGACCCTAATCAGCATGTGGGCCACAACCTCACGCCCTGGAAGAGCGCAGAACCAACGCTCAAGAAACGCTCATTTAGACGACTATCCTTTTTCAAACCAGCCGAGGACCATCCATCTGTGTCACCCGTGTTAACAACTAACACCATAAATAAAGAATACGACCCAGAAACTGGAAATAAAATTATTAATAACTTTATGATTATCAAAGAAATTGGAAGAGGCATGCATGGCAAGGTCAAATTGGCTGAAGACCTTGACACAGGAGAGCTTGTTGTAAGTCTTTTGCGTTACTCCCTATCTCCCCTTTAGTCACTCGTTCTCAACCCATTTAGGCAATCAAAATCGTCGACAAGCAATCCAGAAGAAGACAATTGGGTTACAGTGTACTCAGAGCGAAAAATGGAGAAGATTCCTATGTGGAAAGCGAGCAGAAGATCAGAAGGGAAATTGCCATCCTCAAAAAGTGTGCTCATCCGCATGTGGTTCGTCTGAGAGAGGTGATTGATGATCCCGCTAGCAGAAAAATCTATTTAGGTAATTTTGCATGAATTTTGATTTGGGTAGATTGGTTGTACTAACAACCAACTCAAGCACTGGAGTACATGGACGGCGGTGAAATTGTTTGGAGAGAAGACGATGAAAGCAACACGCCCGTATTGACCATGGATGAGGCTCGCAGTATATTTAGGGATGTAGTCAGCGGATTGGATTATCGTAAGTCTGATAAAGGGAGAAACCATCAAATCAATCCATTGACCAACACACCCTCGATTTAGTGCACTACCAGGGCATTATTCATCGCGATATCAAGCCTGCAAACTTGCTGCTGACGCATGATGGGATTGTCAAGATTTCAGATTTTGGCGTCTCGTATTTCAATCAACATTTGGCCGGATCAAAGAATCAGTACGACGATGAGATCGACAGGGATTTGGCAGAGACAGCTGGAACACCCGCTTTTTTCGCCCCTGAACTTTGCAGTTCATTAGAGAACAATCACCACGACGATAGACACATTACAAAGGCCATTGACGTATGGGCGCTCGGAGTGACGCTTTACTGTCTACTCTATGGTCAATGTCCATTCACAGCTTCTACAGAATTCGAACTATTCGACATTATTCCCACTGCACCGCTCAAATTCCCTCAAGAAACGCCTGACAATTTGGTCGATTTACTGGAAAAGCTGCTAGCCAAAGACCCGCAAGAAAGAATCACATTAGAACAAGTCAAGCGCCATCCGTGGGTGATTGAGGATCTAGAGGATCCAACGATTTGGTGGCGAGAAGCGGATCCAACCCTCTATAAGGCAGTAGAAGTAACAGATGAAGAAGTGAATCGAGCTGTTACCATCATGGATAGATTGAAGAAATCGATTCGACGTATATCCTCTTCACTCTCTAACCTGACGCATAGCTTTTCTCGAAAGAGCTCAACCACCTCCTCTATACCTTCCTCATCCGACATTCATCCTTCCCCTACCAACACAACATCTACCACCAATACCACTGCCACAACACATCACGAAGAAAAACTACAGCAACAGCAGCATTTCGACAATGGCTGGAAACCGGCATCCTTTCACTCGTTCGGCGATTCCGATGACGAACAAGTTCAAAATGAGGAATTGGAGCCGCCATTACCAAATCATATATATCAGCACCATCCTTTTCAAATTGATAGAAATGACTCTTCCGGATCATCCATGTCTGGCCTCGTTGTGACATTCAGTCGAAATAATTCATAGATCTAGTCGCACTCTTTTTGTTGCAGCAAAAAGGTTACAGATTATATATATACCTCTTTTTTATTCTTATAAAAATCATGCTAAGGTTTGTTCCTGAATGTACACATTTTAGTTGTCGCTCGCATGATAAACAATGTATATAGTCATTAGATCAGGTGTGAGTCCATATGAACTGATGGATCTGTCAGAATATATAGATAAACCTTGCTTGATGAAGCTTGTATGCTAGTGTCTCAAGCTTGAACACACACTTACATTGTGAAATCCAGTTTTTCGGTACCGTTGTCTTGGAATAAAGAGTTTGGTAGATCAATCCCTACTATCACTGGACCAAATATTGTAAGATCGCTCAATGGATAAGGCCAAGAAAGACACTACAGGCCCTGAAAGATGCTGTAATACTATTCTGGTCATGTAGCATGAAGAAATGGATGGCTTCGTATACCCTAAAATGCTAAATGTTAACTCTAGGTTAGCTATGTAAGGCATTACTTTTCGATATGTCAGCATATCCAGCTACTTTTCTCGCCATGATTTACAAGTAGACATTTACTAAGCTAAATGTGAATGTGATACGTTTTTGAATTTGAGCAAACCTCCTGCTTCAGATTACAGCAAAATTACGTTTACTGTAGCCTGCCACACATTTGGCGCATTCAGAATTCTGCCTTTTTCATGAGCTGGTACTACCAAATGTCTAAATATACACGTACTGACGTAGGACAAATATGCAGAACGCAACAAATTTGTGTTCCAATTTATGTTTGTACATTTACCACAATTGATTAATTACAAATCTATGTTGCATGTGTTTAAATATAGCCACATGCAAGCCATATATGTCAACTACATTGATTTGTGGGTGCAGTGATACACAGCTTGCGTATCGAAACGATTACCTACAGTGGTGCATGTGAAAAGCATATTCATAATGAATGTTTATCCGATTAACCTGGAATACAATTGCCCCAGATTCAAAACAAGGTTGCGAAATCTTCTAAATTGAAACTTCTGTTGTAATGTCATGTTTCAAACAAAGGCGAATAGAAAAGCCGGGGGTATATCTCCATCACGGACATGTCTTGTGAAGCAGTGCAAGCATTGTATACTGATCAACGGATGCCAGCAATCAGTGCTCCATGCCATAATGATGTCAAGGGCCTCTCCATATGGCCCGCCGTCAAGACTTACACATTGCATTATCCTCAATTCATGCAGATTGGCCTCAATAGAAACGTGCATTTAGTCGTCACCCTGCAAAATGTATGAAATGCGGAATGATTGATGTAATAAACAACTATTTTCCCTCTTCTTCCCTGTCTTTTTTTTCTTCCTCTTTTCACCCTTTTTCTATTATAAATAATGTATCGATTATCGGCACTATCTCGTGCCACAAAATGTGTTACCAAACAAACACTGTTACCCACAACAGCATCGTCCTACCTTCTTCGTCCCACCTTGACATCGTCTTTTGTGCAAGCGCGTCGTCATTATGCCTCTTCTCATCCTCCATCAGTCAATGATGGCTTCCTCCAGGGAAATGCAGCCAACTACATTGAAGAAATGTACGAAGCATGGCTTAAAGACCCTTCCTCTGTTCATCTGTCATGGCAAGTCTATTTCAAAAATATGGCCAATGGTGTACCCTCTGGAGAAGCCTATACGCCACCACCTACCATTATGCCATCCGACAGCGCTCGTATGCCTGACCTGCCCACAGGCATAGCTACCATGAGCGAATCCAGCAAAAAAGTCATTGAACACATGAAGATCCAATTACTGGTTAGAGCGTATCAAGTGAGGGGCCATCATCTCGCCAATTTGGATCCTCTGCACATTGAACATGCCAGCACCGAGAACCAGCATCCTCCTGAACTCACGTATCAGTACTATGGATTCACGGATAAAGACCTTGATCGAAAGTTTACCTTGGGTCCTGGTATTCTGCCTGCCATGGGTCAAACCAACAAGGAATTGAGCTTGCGTGAAATCATTGAGGCGCTGAAAAAGATGTATTGTAAGTGCGAAGCCGTTGGAGCAATTCATGCAAATGCTGATTTACAATGTAGGCGGTTCTATTGGTATTGAATATGTCCATATTCCTGATCGTGCTCAATGTGATTGGATCCGTGCTCGGGTTGAAAAGCCTGAGCCTTACAAGTACACGCATGATGAAAAGAAGATGATTTTGGATCGTCTGACTTGGTCTGACAGTTTTGAACGTTTTGTTGCTTCCAAGTATCCTTCCGAGAAGCGTTTTGGTCTTGAAGGTGGAGAATCTTTGATTCCAGGTATGAAGGCATTGGTAAGTACTAGATGCAAGGGAAGAGAATAAAGGATTTAGTTTATTCACGCATATACAGATTGACAGATCTGTTGATCTGGGTGTTGAGTCCATTGTCATTGGCATGCCTCATCGTGGTCGTCTGAACGTCTTGTCCAACGTCGTTCGCAAGCCCAACGAATCCATCTTTTGTGAATTCAGCGGCTCGATGGAACCCTCCGACGAAGGTTCGGGTGATGTCAAGTACCACTTGGGCATGAACTATGTCCGTCCAACGCCCTCTGGAAAGCGTGTGCACCTCTCTTTGGTGGCTAACCCATCTCACCTGGAAGCAGTTGACCCTGTAGTGCTCGGCAAAACCAAAGCACTTCAATTCTACGGCAAAGATGCCCCAGGTGACCATGCCATGTCCATCTTGATGCATGGTGATGCTGCCATGGCTGGTCAAGGTGTTGTTTACGAGACCATGGGCTTCTATGATTTGCCTTCTTACTCAACCGGTGGCACGATTCATATTGTCGTCAACAACCAGATTGGCTTCACCACAGACCCTCGTTACGGTCGTTCCACACCTTATTGTACCGATATCGCCAAATCAATCAATGCACCTGTATTCCATGTCAATGGCGATGATGTTGAAGCAGTTACCTTTGTCATGCAATTAGCCGCTGACTGGAGACAGACCTTCCACAAAGATTGTGTCATTGATTTAGTCTGCTATCGTAAACATGGACACAATGAAACGGACCAGCCCATGTTCACGCAACCGCTCATGTATCAAGCCATCAGTAAGATGAAGCCTGTCGCTCAAAAGTACGAAGAGCAACTCGAGAAGGAAGGCGATTTCACATCTGAGCAGATCAAACAGGAAAAGAAGCGTGTCTGGGAGATCTTGGAAAAGAGTTACGCTGCAAGCAAGACCTACAAGCCAAGCTCTCAAGAATGGCTATCCAGCAGCTGGCCTGGCTTCAAGTCTCCCAAGGAGCTCGCTACAGAAATCCTTCCCCAGTATCCTACCGGTGTCTCTAGCGAAATCTTGTCTCAAGTTGGAAAAGCCATGACTACACTGCCTCAAAACTTCCATGCCCATCGCAACATTATTCGTATTCTACAAGCTCGTGAAAAGAGCATCGCGAGTGGCAAAGACATTGACTGGTCTACCGCTGAGGGTCTCGCTTGGGGCTCTTTGCTCTTGGAGAACAAGCACGTTCGTGTCTCTGGTCAAGATGTAGAACGCGGTACTTTCTCTCAACGTCATGCCGTTTTGCACGATCAAAAATCAGACAATCGCGCCACCTTGCTGAATGATATCAGCCCTGAGCAAGGTGTTCTTTCCATCTCCAACTCCTCCCTGTCCGAGTACGGTGTATTAGGTTTTGAACTCGGTTACTCTCTCGTGGATCCCAACTCGCTTGTTATCTGGGAAGCTCAATTCGGCGATTTTGCCAATACAGCTCAGGTCATTGTGGATCAATTTTTGGCTTCTGGCGAGCAGAAATGGCTCCAGCGCACAGGCCTCGTCCTGTCTCTTCCTCATGGCTATGACGGCCAAGGTCCCGAGCACTCTTCTGCCCGTATTGAACGTTATTTGCAACTTTGCGACGAGAATCCTTACGTTTTCCCATCACCCGAAAGGCTAAAGCGCCAACACCAAGACTGTAACATGCAAGTCGTATACGCATCCACACCCTCTCAATACTTCCACGTCTTGCGTCGCCAAATCTGCCGTGATTACAGAAAGCCATTGATTTTGCCCTTCTCCAAGTCCATGCTTCGTCATCCATTGGCTCGCTCCAGTTTATCTGAAATGACAGGCAACACACATTTCCAATTGTATTTGCCAGAATCACATCCAGAGACCTTGGCTGCCCCTGAACAAATCAAGAAACACATTTTGTGCTCTGGCCAAGTGTATTACGCTTTGTTGAAGGCGCGTGAGCAAAACAAGATGAACGATATTGCCATTTCTCGCGTAGAACAATTGAATCCATTCCCATATCAGCAAATCAAGGAGCATGCTGATAAATATCCTAATGCCGAAATTATCTGGTGTCAAGAAGAGCCCTTGAATATGGGTCCATGGCAACATGTCGAACCTAGATTGACTACTGCTCTTTCCGAAACACAACATCATACTGGTAAATCACCATCTTATGCTGGCCGTCCTCCATCTGCCGCTGTCGCTACTGGTAACAAGAAGAAGCACTACCAAGAAGAGTATGATTTCTTGAGTCAAGCGTTGATTGGTAAATCAACAGAACCTAGAGGTATTGAAGCTGGTGTGCCTGTTTGGTAATTTTTTTTTTTTTTTTTTTTTTTTTTTTTTTTACATTTGAATAAACATTTGCTTCGAGTTACACTCCTTGACATGCTTGTTTGTTCATGCATATACGACATGTATGTAAATAAACATGCAAACATTACCAAATTATTAGAAAAAAAATGCTTAATCTGGTAGTATTGTCAACAATCATGAGTCAGATTCTTCTCGTCCTTCCACGGCTGTAAGTTTGGGTTTTAGGTAATTGGGCAGCAGACTTGGTTTTGCCGTAGAGGATAAATTACAAATTGTGGAACATGCAATCAAGCTAATGGCGTCCGTACAAGAGAAATAAATGACTGTGATCATAGTGTGAAAATTCGAGGTTTTGTATGGTGCCTGACAGGCACAGAGCAAAAAAAAACATTTGTAACATCACTATCGAACTGAGTAGGCATCTTTAGATGCATCTGACCAGATGCCATCTTTGGAGAATGCGCACACATTTGCCCTGACGCTTTGTCTGCTCTAAACGACGCTCGTAAGATGACACATTCTTGCATCAATTAAGGAACGTCATCGCCAGGATGGAACAGCTGCTGACGATGTATACATTCTGCAGGAGTTTACAGAAAATCGCATAAAATCATTTGCGCTCGCAATCAAGCCCGTCTTGGACATACAACGCAGGGGATTTGACATGCTGCAATTTCAACACATGTTTCTGCATTTGTGATGGATTTTACCGGGCAATTTCTATGACCGAGGTGCCTGATGTATTATACAGGATGGTTGCCTTATCAACTATACGAGTTTAAAGCGGCTTTGAAATAGACATCTGTTCATTTGACAACCTTTTCAGATTCACATTTTCTGCATCCAGTGCAGTTTGAAATCACTGCTTTATTGACACATTGAAAAACCAAACAAGTTCAAATGAATGAGATACTCTTACCTGTATATAATCTCAACTATAAACACTTGTAATCTATAATGGCTCTTTGGTGTAGCAAGATATCGAGTTGCGAAAAGATCAACTGGAGTTTGAAACTGTTGAATCTTTGGTCTACTGTAGCACAGTTTTCCTTCCTTAATTTCCTTGGTTTCCAATCAACTATTCTATTTTTTTAGTCTTAAATAAATTAGCTTCTTCCTTGCTTTCCTTCTTTGTTCTTTTTCTCCCTTTTATCCAACAAAAAGAGCAATCAAATGCTCCAAGATTTGAAGTTGTATTTATAAGAAATGTTGTTTAAGAATCATCTCATTCCAACGTCAATTTTGCTGTTATCACCGCTGTGCTTTCTGGCAAAAGCTGATTTCGTTGTGATTGAATGCAATTTCCCCTGCGCTGAAAGTGGAGATGTGTGCCAAGTGACAGACGCCTATGTGCAATGTAAACCGAGGACAGACACTACAAGGTAAGGGCACTTTTTTTTTTTTTTTTTTTCATCATCACAATCCCCTCCACATCGGCTAACTCCGATTTTGTTTTTCTTCTCAGATGGGTCCTTAAAGATACCATGTCATTACCAGAATACCAAGGATCTCTGATTCCACTTGGCCAACCGTGTATGACAGCTCCTCAACCAAAACTCAGAGATGCATCACATTTATCAAAGAATACGAGCGAAACATGTCTGGAATGGCCGCCAAATGATGACTATGATTCATACTACAGTAATTGCGCACATGATCTTTACTGCGATCGAGCCCACATTTGCGTCAAACAGCTTGCTCATGGAGAGGTATGCGAATCAGACAACCAATGTCTTGATGGCAACTGCAACAATCATACATGCGTTGAAAAGGTCGACAAAGCTAGCTCAAATGGATCGAATACAGCCCACATCATTGCTAGTGTGATTGGAGTTGCGTTATTCCTGGCAGTTGTCTTCTGCATCTACTACTTTAGAAGACGTCGGCTGATGAAGAAGAGGCTGTTGGTCAAGCAGCAAGAGCTTGATAAAGAGCAGCCAGAAGCGCTACCAAAGACAACCACTAGCGCCATCCGCTCCAATTCCTCATCATCAAATACAACCACGCAATCCACCTCCACTGCTTCATCAGCCACGCTGAATAACAGCACAATGCATCCATCTATCAACATGCTCCATCCTGCTTACGACTCGCATTTCCAGCAAGATAGCAGCAGAACCCCAAGCATGCAACAGCAGCAATTACAATACCAATTACAGAGACAAATCCTCTTTAATAAAACAAATAACAGTTCAACACAAAACAATCCTGAACCCTCAACGCCATTAACACCTCCACCGCCGCCTTATTCACCTTGAATTGTAGATATATACCCGTACTCATTCATACTCCCTACCTCTTATACAAATTATTCATTCACTACAGTAATCATAACGTTGGCTTTTTTACCTCGCTTGTTTCACTACTCCCTCTCTTAATAAAATGTACTATATCAATGCACTTTTGGCCTCTAAATGTCGTTTTTACGCGTCATTGCTAATGAAAATCTACATCAACACACATTTTATAAAGGGCTCAATGTACCTTCTATTGAAAAGAGCCTATTGCAGTGTAACACAAGTGCAGAATTTATCCAGGAACCGGGACCGAACGGCATTTCGTTCCATTAGGAAGATCAAAAAAAGCCTCTTTATATGGTTATTTCAATAGCTTCAGAAGCATCTCCAACGTAGGGTCTTGACGCTGACTCTCTGAAAATTCTTCTGCCTGAACAAATACAACAGACCAAAGCGATCATCCTGTCTATAGGAGACTGATGAATGTATGCTTCAATGGATTCCAAGGTGAATATGTGAAGGTGTAGTGCCCAAAGCAAACAGCTTTTTGCCTTGTTCACCTTGAATACATTCTTGCTGACGCTGATATCACTACCACACTCGGATTTCATTTCATCACAAGCAAATCCCTTCCGTGGTATGACGACTAAAATGGGAAGCGCGTTATATTGCTCGTAGAGTCTTGTGCTGCAATAGACAACATCTGCCATTGCGGTTTCATCAATGCTGTCGTGAATTACAATAGCAACAGGCGGTAGGTGCTCGAGTTTGCTATTGTTATTGTTTGGAGTATAGGTGATGCTGAATAAAGCTTCGTTGCAGGTATTCTCTTTAAATAAAGGGTATCGAGATTTCGAAACATTGGAATCTTGAAACAGCTTTGATAATGGGAATACAAATTATTCGTACATCAACGCCTACCTAGTATGGTTTTAATTATAATATCCTTGACTTTTTCGCGTTGTAACAACTTGCGACATTTCGTCCTCAACACAGTATTCGGATCGGTTATTCACTCTATATGTATCCAAAGCTGATGGTTATTGAAATCAACATACATACATTCATTATATACTCACTTTGTCTAGAGGAAATAAGGCATTTGTACAAGTAGTAGGTATAATACGACATTTGGTGAGAGCAAGAAAGAAATGTGCAGCGATCAGGGTTTACACTGTACTAACTACTGGATGATTGCCCCTTTTAACTTCTATGATAGATTGCAAATTGACATAAATAAACTGAATACTCGTCATGCTTATTACTTTATTGTGAACAAAGAGCAATTATTTTTATTGCATGGTAGCCATAATACTATTTTCAGCACTCCTCATTGTGCAATACGAGTGATTATGCTTTGGATGGCTCTCTACCTTCGCTTCGCTTCGATGAGAACCGCCCTGCGCAGCAGCACCTTGCGCTACCAATTGCCCTTGCATATCATCAAAATATTGCTACTTTCATCTTGACCCTCCACTTACACATAAAATTCTTCATATTATCTGTGGATCTGATTATTATGTGATGCTCTGCATCCATTACACGTAGCTACTTCATATACGGGCAAGCAGCATACTGGTATTACCCCCTTTCTAGCCAAGAGTGTGCCTAGTACAGCAAAATTCGAGTGCATTTGAGCTGCGTTTTCTCGTGTTCAAGGCCGTTTTAGATGGTCAAAATAGTACCAAACAGTTGCTCTCAACTAACACTTACTTCCTGACACCTTTGCTCAACTTTTTGGGGATCAAAAAAAACATGGTCCAAATTCGATCAAAAAGCATGAGGTACCCATCATGGTTTTCATCGAAAATCAAACGATCGTGTTTTTGACCTTGATAATGAAGACTTTTACTATGATATGTATTGAATCAAAATGTTTCTATTGATCTAACGTAACCTCTGAAATTATCTTTTTGGGACCTTGATATGGAAAATCTCGGCTTTTTGGCCAGAAACCACATTTCATATTTTCATAAATTGCTCAGTAAGTTTATTCAAAACATTTATATTACTTGGTACCATTGGATGCGCCTTGAAAAGTAATTCAAGAATGTATTAGGGAGCATCGGGCGATTACCACAGTTTATATAGTCGAATATCACAAAATAGTTCGATCAAGTCGAAAAATTGACACAATTGGACCAATCTTGAGCAGAAAAAAATGTTCTGAGATTGAATTAATTTTGGCTGGTGTGGCCGGCTGGCAAACTCAATGCCCTTTGCATCATGAAGGCAATACTGTAATAGATGCTTTGAAGTGTATGGAAAGTAGGTGGCAAATTGCATAGCACTGTTGTTAGCCATTCTATTTTCCTTGCATTCTATATTTAGTAACGCCCGTCTATCAAAATACTTGATAGATCAACTTCTTTCCTTTTTGAAGCTTTGGAGGCGTCTAGTAAACACCATAAATTTATTACATTACGATGAGCATTTCGATTCTTTGGGTGGCTTCCTGACCTACGCTTCGCTTTGGGGGAAACCAATCTGCGTTCAGGTGGCTCGCGCTGCCGTGGACCTTTGGCTAATATTACAGTACCTAAAATGTTAGATGAAACTTGATTGTTGATTGATAGTAATTTAATATAGAACCTCTGATCATATACGAACCATGGCTGACATATGCCTGGCAGCTCAGTTTCCATGTTAGGGTTGTAAAAATGTCTATGGACTATCGATTTATTATGTTATGCTAACGTTGTTGAGAACAGTACAAACCCTGATCCAACCAGAAACCTATCTACGTTCCCTGGCTCCTCGTGCTCTCAAGAGAATATTATCTAGACTGGGGATCCTTTGCTACAGAGTAGTATATCAAGAGGACCGGGTTACAGAGTGCTTATGATGCAGCTGCTTATTTGATCTTTTTGTCTAGCTGTTTACCTCGGTCCTCAATAAGAGATTTCATTGCTCAAAAGACACATCCAATGCTCAATAAGTAGAGCATCGGCTTTGCTCAAGCACAAAATTTCGAATTCCATCTTCTATCGAATAGTCAATGTGTACATGCATGTTATGGTGAATGACTTCAATGCATCTCTCAATGCCATTGCTGAACTATTTACATTTGAAGTACATGACTGTTGGCAAGCCAAATGGCGAAATTAAACAGTCTGTTTAGGCCAATGATACATTTCTATTCTGCCAGTCCTTGTGTTGCATTTTGATCTGCCAAAAATTTTTTCATCAAATTTTTTTGATTTAAATAGTTCATCAACACGTCTAGAGCCATGGCTTTCCCTTTTCTTCACTGAAGGGGGTCTCTTCCCTTCATCCCAAGCTAAGCTGTAAGTACACTATATATATCTCGTGTGGGTCACCTGATTCAAGGGAAATGTGATGATTCATATAAAGATGATTGTATAAAATGGGAATCTCTCTGAAAAATAATGAAAGAGAACATTTATATATTTAACTGAAATATGAATAACATCCATTTCTTTACTTGAATTTAGTATCTGCTCGATCTGTCTATCGTTTGACACTCTTTACTAATTTCATTTAATCTCGCAGTTGCTAAAAAGATCTCTTGCTTGTCTTGAAGGAGGTTCCTCTGCTGCAGAGAGGGGAATGAGCCATCTTAATTGGTAAGTAAAGAATATCCATCCCAATCTTGAATCTTTTCATTTTGTATGATGACACAAATGGTTTCAATAATTATCATGCACCACCACGCTTAGTAGGGCGAAAGCCTGTATGCTGATAGCGAAACATTAATTAATCTGAATTATATGAAAGATTCCAAACCACTTTGTTTATGATCTTCATACTAACATTCAATTAATTTTAGATTGTTCTTTCCTTGTACTCCTACTTATACCTTAAATCTGTAATAAAATCAATTTCAAATATAAAATCTCTTTTGTATCATGTTTAATGTGGCTTATGGTATCTTCATTGATCTTGCAAATGCCGATGTCTAGGGCATAATAATCTTGACATGTTTAGGACCTGACAGACACGGTGAACCATAGCAACGGCAACTGTGTAAAGTTCCAAGGGCCTTCTATGGATGCAGATGGCATGCAATATACGCTTTCTTATAAAAGGAATATCTTCCGTTGAATACCCATTTGCTAAACATTTGATACAGATTGTTTAAATTTTTTGAGACTGTTTTATCAGGTTTTTATTATAGTTAGCAAGCCAGACAGGCTGTGTTTATATAGTACATAAGAGCTGGATATATTTATAAGGAAAGGAGAGTAGGATAATATATGTATAGTACGATTGCCTCAGGCACATCATTTAAAGAGGTGACTTTTGATCAACACCAGGAACAAATTTAGGCTTGGAAAGCTCAAGGATCAAACGATCGTTAGCAAACTTTCTCTTGTTATATTTGGGGATGATGCAGATCAAGCCAAAGACACCACAGCAGAAGAACCAAAGACAATCAGATACACCGCACTCGTTTTCTTCAATTTCAGCTTCGAGTTGCTTGATCAAGGCTTCATCTCTGTATTGAACGGACATTTTGTATATGGTTTATGAAAGAGAGGAGAGAGTTTTTATAATTGAGGCGAGGTTGTTGTTGTGAATGAAGCTGGATTCTCAGAAAACATCCCTCTATTTATATGCGAGTTTGATCTGAATATAGTTTGCTTACTCTCTAGCACAACAAGCTGCGGCGTAGCTGAGTCACCATGCTTTTGTGGTTATGTTAGCCACTGTTGTGTCCAAAAAGAGGCGCATTGCCTAGTTTATTAAAGCACAAGCATCTTGTCCGTACAACAACGTGAATGCCTACTAAATTGAACATTTGCATTCATCTATGGATCTATAGTATTTGCCAATTTTTGGCAGCTGTCAATGCATGCTGCTTTACACACCATATGCAAATCCTACCAACGGATACATGTCTAGCTAGATCAAAAGCATAAAACGCTTCCAATCTCGCCTAAGCAGATATTTATAACTAGGTGAAAAGACGACTGATACCATCCTATTTCACAAGATCAGAGAATCCACGTGATACAAGGTACCACTGCTCAGCATATGAAATCAAACAAGTTAGACTTGATCTATTTAGCGAGGTACCATCATGCTGAACTTAAGGAGGCATTTTTTCCATCACTAGGCTGTCTAGGTGCAATGTTTGCTTTCTGTAGTATATTTTGTAACCTTGATTGTGGTTTTTGGTCTACTATGGCAGTGCTCGCTTTCTTTTTTTTTTTCAAGGAAACATGGATCGAGTCATTGAAAAATAGAACAAACTCAATGTGATCGAAATAATATTACACAGTGGCGAAGCTGCTACAACTATAACATTTGTATCCACTTTTGAGACACTTGTCTGCCATAATTGTATCAGACGCATGAGCACCATTTTAAATACACCTTATATTATAGATAGGCGACGTTCCATCTTCTATTAATGAATGTAGATCAGAACCTAGGCGAGTAATCACCAGCAATTCTTATGACGCCATGCAAGTATACGATCTCTTGGGTTTTGAACTCCATTGCTGAGCGTATTCCAGCGAAATAAACAGCAAGAAAAGACAACAGAGCATTTTAAATGGATGGGAACTGATATACACCGCATGGGTCATGGTAATAGTAGATGTGTATTAATTTAATTGATGCTTAAACATTAACAAATCAATACTATGCATCCTCCATCACAGAAGATGTGCTATTTTGTCTTGTAACTAGACCAATCATGCGCTGTAAATTCTTCAGTACACTTTTTCGCTTCAGTTCTTCATTATTATCAAATACGTCAGGTATTTTCTGATAAGCATCTAATGGTATATAACTTCTTGCTTCTTCGACTTTCTGCGCTGCAATTGCTACTCGTTCTTTTGTAAAATGCTGTGTCTCTTCAACAAATTTGCTTGCGGTATTCAATGCCTGTCGTACTTGAGTTACACCAGGATCAATGATTTCCTTTGTTCTTCCAAACATATCCTCTTCATCCGTATCAATTGACCTGCAATATTCATAGTAAAAATCTTGTTGAGTTTCATCTAAATTGTCAAGCATAGAATCGATATCGATGTCATTGTACGCCATAATAGGTGGTTCCTGTGTGGTGATGTCTTTGGTTTCTGCATGCAGCTGAAATACTCTTCCAGAAAAATCTTTCCAATCATGCAGTTCGTCCTGGAAGCTATACAAACATGATTTAGCATTGAGCGCAAGTATATACTGCAGTTGTGTGCTATTTACATCTGAATGCCTTTCTCTAGCTCTACCAGCTTTTCTGAATTTGCAATGTTGATGGGATTTTCCCTCTCCTCATCTTGATCCGGCATACTGAATATCGAAAGATCCACCCCAGAATGCCTGAAATGTTGCAGTGCTTTCAGTTTGACTTGTCTTGCAATGTGCCATCTTCTTTGAACAACTGGATCATGGCTCGCTAATCCACTATTGTCATCCTTTAGACTCTTTTCAATGATCCATATCAAAATTTGTGTCTTTCGTTGTAGTGGTGTCAATCCCGGCGATGTATATTTATAATATTCAGATGTTGGCACATGTGATGGTGGCCTTGGCTCAACTGCAGTTACATTTCATTAGTTTACATACTATATCAGACAATGTGGCAGTACGCACCATGGATTGTGGATATGATGGAGGACGATGAATTGGATTGTGTATCATAGATGGGTAAATTTTCTGCTGTAATGAGTGATGCATTATCGTCTAATGTATATTTGTGCTGGAATCTGGAAGACGGCGCAACAGGAGGAGGCGTTATTGGCGAGGATGGGTTGGCTTGAGACGATACAGGTGTATAATCAAACTAAGTTACATGAGTATCAATCACACCAAAAGCCAACTTTAACTTACATCTGGACGCTCTAATAAGATGGGTTTTCTATAAGCGAACCCTGATTGTGAGTCTATCTGCATGGCCCCATGATGCGGTGGTCTTTCTATTGCTATGGTAATCAATGAATATTCTACTCTGGTGATCTGTTTGTATGCCTTACGATTGAGATGTGGTGCCGCCTATTGAAGAGATGGCATGGAAATTAGTCTTCTATGTGTCAGCAAAGACATGTAAAAAGCAATTACCTGTGTCCGATAATTAGGAAGTGAATATCTTAAGCGTCTATCCGACATCATCTTCAACAGCGTTTGAAGAATGAAAAAGAAAAAGCAAAACAAGTAAAAAAAAAAAAAAATGAACAGGTGCACCACAAAAGTAGGAACAATAGCTTTCCACCAATTGCAAATGCTCCCCTTTCTACTCCATTACTTAGAAACAATGCTGTTGACAGTGTTGAAAAGGTCAAATTTATTCATGTTAATCATCTATTATCGAATCTAGGTAAATTATGACAGAAAAAAAAATGAATATTGTTACAGGAAAAAAAAAAAAAAAAGTTCATAATCGCTATGAACCGAAAATCATCTAAATTGATTTTGTGTCATTCTAAGGAAGGGAGATTTCTAAAGGAATTGGAGGCATGGTCTAAAAGGAGTGTATACAAATCTGCCTCCAAATTGTCTAATATATTACAAGTCTATAGATACAAATATTGATGGTATAATCCAAGAAGAGTCGGCTTGACATTTGACTAACATTTTGTTTGTAAGTTTGTTGATGAGGACAATACCAGAAACCAAGATAGGCGTTATCAGTGGTATTACCCGGCCATACGAAGAACAAAAGAAACCGAAACGAGAGAAACTTTAGACGAGCAACATCTTCTTGAAAATATAGTGCAATAAATGAATGGAATGCATGGCAAGGAAATGTCAGATTTGGCGACATGTGTCCTTATTTATATATACAGGAATTGGCCATAATGACGTTCTTGCTGTTTCTGTTTGGAAAATTTCATATTTCTACATGACGTGTTAGTCATCATTTCGAAACCTAAATGATAATCTCGGTCATTCATAGGTGTGCCTTGATATATCGATAGATATTCTATCAGAGTCATCGATTTCATCGATTTTTCTTTATAATGAAAGGCTCACAGAAAATTGACGGAGGGCATTGAAGCCTATTCAGTAATTCCCGATGACCGTAATGCAATACCATGTTCAAATTAAATGTGTTGTAGTAAATATGACAAGACATCTTCAGAGCTCATCTTACCATGGGAGAAGTTTTTTTTTTTTTTTAACTTTTCACTGTTCAGCAAGAACCCTATAACCGACATGAAGATACGGATGCACTTACTTCCTGACACCTTTGCTTAACTTTTTGGGCCGAAAAAAACATGACCTAAAATTCGACCAAAAAGCATGAGGTACCCCTCATGGTTTTCATCGAAAATCAAACGATCGCATTTTTCACCTTGATAATGAAGACTTTTACTATGGTACATATCAAATCAAAATGGTTCTCTCGATCCAAAGCAACCTCTGAAACCACTTTTATGAGGTTTTCATATACAAAATTTCGGCATTTTCGCCAAAAACCGCATTCGGTATTTTCTATTTTTGCTCAATAAGTTTAGTCAAAACATCTCTCACCGTTAGTACCATTAGATGCGCCTAAAGAAGTGCTCCAAGAAAGCTTAAGAAAGGAAGGGATGATCATTACAGCTTATATAGTCGAATTCCACAAAAACGATTGAGGAAGTCGCAAACCCATTAAAAATTTCCATTTCAAATGAAAAATATGATAGCCGGAGATTGAAAATTTCGACTGCTGGCACGAAGCATTTCTCTCAAGGTTATTGATGTTTTCGAAGCTAATAAAAACAGAATTGCCGATCAAAAAGCACTATCGTATCTTCATAAGACAGGGTTGACTACTCATAGCAAATTCAAACGGATTTATTCATTTAATTACACGTTTCTGCCACTGTACCTTCTCCAGATACACTAATGATATCTGCGGACATAAACACTTTTTGAAGACTGTAAAATGTACTCAATACCATGATCAGAATACCAAACATCATGCACAACCAGTGAGGAATCTTGCTTCTCTCCCATAGCGATCCGCCTGCTAACTTCAAGAAGCATAAGGGCGGTAATACAAAGGCCAGCACCGTCGCTGAGAAACCACCAGTCAGTTCCAAAACGATGCCCAAATTACAGGTCAACAAGGAGATAGTCAATGTGATGAGAATGAGCGCCGTTGTGATGAAAAAGTGTCGTGTTTTATCAAATGGAGCAGATGGCCAGTAAAACGTCTCCAGCACCTATTTAATATCAGTACGTTGTGGCTGCATGATTTATGCCAACTGCATCCATCAACTTACTTCTCTACAGACAAATACTTCCAATGGTATCGTTGTGAACATGTTTAAGCCAAACGCTAATCGTGCAATGTTGATAAAGGTATTATCAGATGGGAAATTGTTCAAAATGTTGCCTGTATTGAGACATGAGTTCACATTGGATTCTAGCTCTGCAACATTGTGTAGGATGTATTTACCAACTGTCTTGTCTGTAAAGACTAAATATCCAGAGACAGCTAATGCAAAGCATGTAAAGAAAGCAATGCACATACTCCAATGTGTGACAACAGCAAATCTGTTTAGCGATGGTTGCTTCAAAGAGCCAAATATAAGAAAGCTGTTGTGATGGCACACAAAGGCTATACAGTTTTCACAACATGAGCAAATACATCCTCTTCCAGATTACCCACACATATACATACCAAAACTTATAACAGCGATAGCTTGGAATACTTCATCGTTTATAACATTAAACATGACATCTGATGATCCTCTGATATCCGCTGACGCTCTAGGCCCTTCCACCGCCACACTCACGATGATGACAATGATTGCAATCAGAGCCAATGCACTCGTTTTTGCTAGCTTTGATATATCCCGGTAAAGTGAGAGCGGGTACGATACAAACAATGTAAAGAATGAAATGCACAGTCTTCTGTCTCCAAATATCCAGAGGACGGGTACTTGGTGGATTTTAGGAAACAATGACCGTATAACATGTGGAATAGTGTCACCTATACGTCTGTTAATTCAATTTGAAGTTCTGTTATATAGACTCCTAAATGCTTTATATCCATGGTGTATACGCATACCTATGATGACACAGTAAGCGCACATGCCTCCAAATGCAAATGCAAATTGAAAGATAGAAATCGCAATCAATCCCGGTCTGCCAAATGCAAATTCCATCAAATCTTGATATGTTGATCTGCCAGCTAGCTTTCCGTTGTACATCAATAATCTCACAGTCCAATCTTTATGGAATGAAGTCAGCTTAATATAAGGTTGTTCCTATCTATTGGCGTTCAATTTACCTACGATGATTGTCAATGCAACCAATAACAAGATGCCCATCCAGAATCCCTAACATACAAGCATATGAGCCCTTCTCGTTGGCCATGTTTTATTTTCATCACATACAGCTTCCTTAAATGCAAACGGCAATCCAATGATTCCTGCCCCGATAATGCTGTTGGCCATGTTGAGCTATTCGTTGAAAAAGAAGGAGGGCAGTTTGAGTATAATGCAAGTCTCGTAGGATAAAAGTGATATTTACAAAGCTCGAGAAGATAGTACCTCCCTCCGAAGGTAATTTATACTGCTTTTGTTCTGGATCATCCAGCATCGACTCTTCATCGTCGTCACTCGAGTCTATATTGGATAGCAAAGGCTGATGATGGTTGTTATCATCGCTTTCATGTGAAGCGTCCTCGAAATCAAACTCGGCGTATTCTGTTGTTGTTGGTCTTGATTGGGCACTGTATTCTCTAGTGTTTTCATGTATTGCCGGTGATTCTGACATGGTATATATATGTCGTATGTGTGATTTATTCAAAAAAACAAGCTAAAGAAAGAATATCAAGAAGGAAAAAAGGTGAAAAAGGAGACACATCTATGTTTAGTAGTTGATGATATGATCTTTGAAAGAGTCACACAAATAAGGAAAGCTAAAGCATCTCAACATGTTGAGTGAGTGTACGCTCAAGCATAAATGCATATTAATGTTGACAATATCGGATCTTTGTCTCTCTCTCTCTCTCTCTCTTTTTTTCCCCCCTCTTGACATTTTACAAACCCTCATCCCACTTGATTCCAACCAAAGGGACCAAATACTAGGAACGCAATCCATCCAATCATGCCATCTTGGCTAATTATCATATTTAGCTTCATTTCACATGTGTTACTAAACGCCTTTTGTAGTTTGAATGGGAAAAAGCAGCAAGAAATGTGATGACGATGATTTATTGATATTATAATAGGTATTTTTTTTTTACAGAGAAATTAATAAACATATAAATGGGATTTTACAGATTTAGAAACCCAACAGGGAGAGTGCTGCAGCAAAGACAGCAGTGAAGCCCAATGCAGGAACGACATTGCTATTGGCAGCATTAGGCTGAGGTGTAGCGGATGGTGCTTGAGTCTCAACACTAACACCGCTGGCAGCTCCAGTAGCGGCATTGGCATTGGGCGATGCCTCAGAAGTAGCTGATGGGTTAGCAGAGACAAAGTTGCTGGCATCAGCAGCTACAGATGAAGAAGCGCCAGCGGCAGCTGATGAAGCTTGACCAATGATGGACTGTAAAACGGAGGGAACACTTTGAGTGGCACTATCAGTAGCAGCAGAAGCAGAAGACAAAGCAGAGGTCACAGCATTGGAGGCAGAAGCGACGGCAGATAAAGCGTCTGAAGCACCGGATGAAACAGGGGCATCATTTGTAGCACTATTAGTTACCACAGGTACAACACCAGTGGGGGCAACGGTGTTGGCAGAAGCATCTGTACTGAGAGTAGCACTGTTTGTTACTACAGGAACAATGCCTGTGGGAGCAACGGTGTTGGAGGATGCATCTGAGCTGGTACTGCCAAGAACAATGTTGGTCTCTGAGGCAGCAGTACTAGATGTAGTAGCAGTGGCTACATTAGATTCAGAGCTGGATGCGGCAGCACTGGTAGTAGTAGCAGCAGCAGCAGAGGTGGTTTCTTTTGAATGGGTTGTGGCAGTAGTAGCAGTGTTGGCAGCAGTGGTCTCTTCAGTGGCACCGGGCCAACCTCCAATACAGTCTTCGTAGCAAGAAGTATTTCCATTGCAAGCTTTGATACAATTTTGGGTATTCTCAACTAAACAGCTCACATTTAGTATCTAAAAATCCATTGGCTTTGACGATCTCTGTTCTCTATACTTACCACATTTTGAAAGGCAAGTTGTGTCACTGGCATCACAGTTGCATTTGCTAGCTGCCATGACAGCTTGTACACCGAGAGCAATAGCAGATAATCCGACAAAAGTGATCTTCATTTTGAGTCAACTAGATGTTCTTGAGAAGAGAGAAAAGAGTAATCGAGTTGTATGAAATCAAGAGGAGGGGTCCCTATTTATACAATGATTTGACCATGCTAAACTTTATCACATAACTTCATTCGGAGCTGTGATGATTGTTCAGTTAGATCATCTTATAGGTATCTTGGCTATACAACAACAGCTCGGAATAACTTCCATTGTAGTGTAGATGTCCGCTTATTAGGCTTCTTCTGATCAGTATAGCAGGCAAATGTGCACTAACAATCCTCCATGCCAGCTCCGATAGAACTTATATCAACCCGATATCTATCACAAATGTTGCCAGCTTGGCAAGGGAATCTTGAAGCAAAGACATGGCCCCAGAATTCACGGTAGTGTTTAATGCATGGAATTCGGTTCAAAACTTGGCCAATGATGCTGGGATAATTCACACATTTTATCTCATCTAGAGCGAAAGGTACCCGTTCTTTATCTCAAATGTAGGGTGATACAAGAACGTCTTTTGGGCCGTGCATGACATTTTGACATGTTAAAATTCTATCATGATGATATCGTTTGAGAAAATGTGTATTTATAGATATTTTTGTAAGGGTGATAGCGTAATTACAAATTAGGAGAAGAAGCTGCTGAGCTAATGACTTGCTTCATTTTTGCGAGCTTTTCCTTGAGAGCAGAAACAGACTGTTGTCTATCTGATTCGCCTTGGACATCGCGGTAATCCTACAAGAATATAAAGTTTAGGTTCCATCACCTTCTTTCTATCTTTGTGCGTGTACTTACATAGTTGCTCATACTCGACTGTCTACGCGAATACGTGGGGGAAGTGTCTTGTCTGGATGGTGTAATCTGATGCGTGTTGGTATAATCCGTGGTAGATAGGCCACCAATGTTGGTGGCGGCAGTGGGGCTTGTCGCTGTTGTATGATTTGAATCCTCGATCTATTGTTCAATGAAACCAATTTAGATGTCGCCACGCAGTGCAAGTTTCAATGTCTTACCTCTTGCTGTTTGACAAAGCCAAATTTCTGTTGTAATCTTAATAGTCGCAACTTTATCTCTGCCGCATCATCTAGAGCATCATCAGGATATGAGGTTAGATTTGCCATGCCAATTCACAATGTCGCGGTGTATCTTACCTCCACCTGCTGCTGAATGGACGCTTGCTCTGTTACTTTGACTATCAAAGGAGAGTCTGTCATTGGATGTTTGCTCCATCATGGGCGCCGAGCTGATGGTCGGTGTAGTAGGCGTAGGTGAGAAGGATGTATGATGGTAGTCGGTTGCTGTGGGTGTTGGTGCTACATGAGCAGCAGCGGCAATGGACTGACTCGCTGCTTGTGCTGCTGCCAATGCTTGTGCCTGTGCTGTAGCTCTCGCCTCGTTATCCTCTGCTGCCAAGTTACTGAGACCTCTTCGGATGTAGCTTTGAAAGTAATTTCCAGTCTGCAGCAGATAGCCATTGACTTTAGCTTCTGCCAAGGGATATGTCTTTTGAAATTCGTACAGCTCCACAATGCCTTGCTTTGTTTGATCTCTTGTGCCAATCTTTTTAAATATGGCCGTCAATGCCACATTGAGGTCTTGATCGGATAGCGAGTGATGAGTAGTGTCATTCGTATGAGGTTCATCGATTTGCATTGGTTCAGGATGGCTGTTATTGATGGATGGCGCGGTTAAGCGAGGACTTTGATTTGTTGGTTGCGGAGTGTTCTCTGTAGCAACGTGGTCTCCTTCCATAGAAGATGGATGTGATGCCATTGAGGGAGATCGCATCATAGAGTTGGATTTGAAGGACGACACAGAAGAGGGTCTGCCGAGAGATGAGTTTCTAGAGTGTGATATGAATCTATTTTCCTCTGTAGTCTGTTGTTGCTGCTGCTGCTGCTGCAATTGAGGAGATTGCGGTGGACGAAGCTGTTGTTGTTGTGTAGGCAGCTGTTGAGGCTGTGGTTGTGGTGAATGTTGCTGAACAGCAGCTGGTAGTGGTGGTTGTCGATGTTGCTGTTGCTGCATTCTGTCCTTTTTGCGACATGCCTCCAGCATATGATGAAGGTAGGGATATACGCTGCTTCTCTGTGGATCCTGAATCAATGTCAAATGTTGGAATATAGAGTCACCCAAGCCATTCACCAGTTCCAACAACAAGGTCTTGACAGTGCGAAGTGGCATCTCACCCAAAGGCACCTTTTCACTGGCTCTGCGCTTCCATTCTGGAGGTGGTGTGTTGATGAAAAAGTTGTTGATTTCAAACAAAAGCTCATCAGGGTTCAGTATGCCAGTTCTAAGGTTGTCCTGCACGGTTTTAGCTAGCTTCCAGAGACATTTCATGATGAGTTCAGTGTATTTGGTGTCTTTGGCAGTGGGTGAATCACCGGGACGCAATACAGCAGAGCACTGAGCTAGGATGGAGAGCAAGGCACTAATAAAACATATATGAGCATCTATACTTGTAAATACTATACAATTACTTGCCTAAAAGTGACATTTCTAGCACTATTCTCCAATACCTTGACCATGGCTACATTCAATGCCTTTGATAACTGAGGGCCTGATTCCAAAGCGAGCATTTTTTGATCCAAGAGTCGATGCGACAGTTCCTGCAACAGATGGTTCAATGAGATTTGAGGCACCGCACAAGCCAAGTCTCTGTTGGAAAAGAGCATGACAAGTGCATTGACGAGATGCTTGCAAAGACGCGTTGTAGCAGGCTGACGTGGATCCACAGACGAGTAAGCGATACGTACTTGCAGTGTAATGGCGTTGATCAAAGCTTCAATATCAGGCAAAATAGCCTCTGGATTATGAGATAGGAATTTATCCAGATTCTTGAGTGCTTCAATACTGGGTTGTGGATCGCCATTTGTAATTTGTGTGATGATATAGTCCACAAGGTCTTCTTGCGTCTCGTAGGCCTGTTGCTGTTGCTGTTGTTGTTGTTGTTGCTGCTGAATGGCAGGAGCTGCATGCTGGTGGTATCCAAATTGCTGTGTGCGTCTGGTATCAATCTGATTGCGATGGCCGTATTGTGGCTCTGGAATACGCTGTCCATAATCATCCGTAACATCCTCCATGGGTTCCGGTTCGGGTATACTTTGCACAGGATGAACTGAACGTTGTTGAGGATGGACAAGGTTACTTCTAGGCTTTCCAATATGTGATCTACCACCGAGACGAGGCAAGTTGCTAATGGAGGGCAGCTCATCTACTTCCATCTCTTCAGCTTCTTGTCTAGCTCTCTGCTCTCTTTCTGCTGCTGCCAGTACGGTGGCTGATGGTTTCGTGCGCTATAATATCAAAGAGTGAGTACAAGGCCTTGAGTCAACATGTACAACGTTACCTTTAAACGTTCTTCCAGCATACTCTTTTCTTTATCTCCAAGCTTGGTCATGTACTTCATCACACTATCACCAATCAGAATATAGGCTTGCGCAATAGCACTGAGAGCAGCATTTCTGACACCAGCATCTCTATCACCAATATGAACAGCAATCAAGGGCAGCGCCTTGTTGGGAAGCATGATTTCCACGCCCTTTTGTTGAATCAGACCACCAACTTCCTCAAGACACTCTGCACGCGCCTTTGCATTCTTTGAGCTCGCCACAGACTCCAGCAACCAATTGAACATCTTGCTAGGAGGGTAGATGCGGCAAAGCGAGTTGAGGATAGCACGTACACGCGCACGCATCACTTCTTTGGGATCACCCACCTTATTGATCAAAAAGGGCAAAAAGGAGACAGCTTCGTATTCAGTTAAGTTCACACCCTCTTCATCCAAGACAGCTACAAGGTTTTGTGTGATATCCAAGCATTTGATCAGCATACTGGTGTTGGTATCAAAGAATCGGATGGTCAAGTACTTGAGGATCAAATCCAAATTAGCAACATAACGCTTCTTCATGTCGGCATAGTCGATATTGTACTTGGAGGCACACAATTCAGGAGAACCAAGGCACTCGTTCAAGATACCAAGACCATTCAAGCGATCACGCTCTGCATACTGACTGGTGCTAAACAGCAGCGCAGTGAGTTCAGGGCTCATGTTGGCTTCAAACTGGGCTTTGAGGCCATCAATCACGTCTGATCTAGGCGTATCAAATTGCCATCTGTTCTCCTTTTTGGCGCGCATTTGTTTAGCACGAGGTTCGCTTGTCAAGATGGGAGCAGTAGCATCTTCAGAAGCGCTAGCAGCACCTGCTTGTGACATGGCTTGTGATCGAGGTGCAGGTATACCGCCCACCTTCTTTCTGCTGGTAAGGGTCTTCATACGACTAGGAGTTGCACTGGGGGATCTACCCACATGATCATCTGCTGCTGCAGCATGAGCCGACTCGGGACGCTTCTTCGCAGCTACAACCGCACTGGCAGCAGATGAGACACCGCCACCACCACCACCCATAGCGCCAGGAGATCCTCTCGCTGCCTCAACAAATGGCATTACGGTTTGACGTTGTGCAGTCTTGAGTTCAGATGTTTTGCTCACCACAGCGTCGTAGCCCACCACACCAATCAATTCAGGAAGAGCAGATTGAGCTGCTTTACGCACATCCGCATTACGATCTTGCAGGCAGGAAAACAAGGGAGAGATCATGCCATTCAAGTCGAATTTGGCAGCATCAGGTTCCTCTTTGATGGCCGTACTGAACCAGGTCAGTAGTTCTTTGCGCAGAGTAGGCGTTTCGTTGGCCAGACTGGTACCAAACACGGGAGCCATCATCTCCATGGAGCACGATTTCCTGATGTTCTCCAGTGCAGCAACACCAGCCGCTCTTACATTGGCCTTGTTATCAGATAAGACAGCAATGATAGGCCCAGTGAAGACTTTGACGTACTTGTCAAATGGCTTGCCCATCGCCACAGCTAAATTACCGGTAATATCCACTGCCTGCACTTGCAAGTTTTTGTTGCTGTCGTTCAGTCGTTGTTTAAGCACACCAGGGAATTCAGCGCCCAAGGAAGGTTTGATGCGGTTGTTGGTTTCAGCGAGAATGCTTGCTACTTTGTCCAGCCCTTCTTTACGAATCTTCCAGCTGGCGTCTCCGCATTCTGCTACTGTTTTACCCAGTGGACCAGAGATATCGACGCGAGGAAACAACGATTCAATGGCATCAGCACTGGCACTAGCGTCTCCATCATCGCCATCGTCTGCTGCACCAGCCTACGTACATATAATTAGATGGCTGCCATCTTATCTCTCATACAAGGCCAACTTACTGCGCCGGAGGGTGCTTTTGTGGGCTGTGGTGGATCGAGTCGAGACACACGTTCAAATTCTTGCTCAATAGTAGCTAGTAACGCAGGGCTGACATCTTCTACAAATGACTTGACCTCTACATATACATTATGTACATTGTGAGCTTACTAGTTGCCATAGACGCCACTTGTTTTGCTTACCTGGGCCAATGTACTGTCTCAAAGCACCCAATACTGTCACTGCACTTGTTCTGACCGATGCATTGGTGTTTGACAAGCCAAATTTCAACAAATCAATCAAATCACGCACTTGCAAACCATGAATACCGAAATCCATCAGAGCAGCATGAATCCATAAGAGTGAATCCGCCAGCACTTTGGGTGATTTTGCCTTCTTAAGTACGGGATACGCCTGCGAAAATACAAACTGCAGTGATATTTTTTCGGCAATCGCCACTAAACACTCACCCGCAGGCTTCTTGAGCTTGATGTCGCCCAGTTTCTCCACCATGGCAGGAATACACAGAGCAGCACATGCCTTGTTGAATTTGGGACATTGCTCTGCCAGTGTCTGAATAGCAAAGAACATTTTACCCATGACTTGAAAGTTCATTTCTTTCCATCCTGGCTTCTTGGAGAAGGAACGAATCACAATTTCGGGTTCAATGGAGGCAGCATCCGTTTGTTCAAAGTGTTGGCATAAGGACTCCATGGCTGCGAGTCGTACTTTCCATTGCGCTTGCTGTAAATCGTTGTGAATCGCTTCCGGGATGAATTCAGTGGCTCGCGCTTCAGCATCTTCAGGGGAGAATTTGTATTTGATCTCTTCAGGACCACTGGGAGGAGGTAGTTTGGCGCTCTTTTTGGAACCTGAAGCTGTAGCAGCACTAGCAGCAGCAGGCTTTGGTTTTGCTGATGATAATGCAGGCTTCTTCATACTACTTGCACCGGCTAAACGAGCAGGAGGTTTTCGCTTGGGAGGAGTTACCACTGTTGCAGCAGCGTATGGATCCTCGTCAATGGCCATGGGCTCAGCTTTTGGTGCTGGTTTCGGTGCAGCAGCAGGCTTTCTTACAGTGGCAGGCGCTTTCTTGACAGCAGCAGGAGGGGGAGCAGCCTTTTTGACCTTTGCCTTCACTGTCGCCTTTTCACAAGCTTCTTTGATTTTACCCATTTTGATATCATCCAACCCATCCGTGAATGCCAGCATTGGCTTTTCGCCTATCAGTTTCATCAAGGTACCCAAACCCTCAGCACCCGCTTCGCGTGCATTGGCATCCGCATCATCCAATAGCTTTTTAAACATCTCTGCAAATGCCTTGATCTCCTGTTTCCCAGGGATTTCCTTGACTTCCTTTAATCGTCTCGACACCAGCTTGAAGCATTCCGATCTGACTTGTGGGTTTTTGTGTTTGGATGCAGCCGTAACATCTTCAATCAGCTCAGACATGGGCACAGATGCAAATACGGCGTTGAGGCCGTTGGCGAGTTGCTCCAAGATGGCCGGTTTTCTCTCTTTTAGCTTTTCAATCATCACAGGTGCAATGATGGGCTTGTATTTGCCGAAATCTGTTCGTAATCCAGTGGCTATTTTCTCGACGCATGTTGCTGTTGCTCCCACCAGTAATATATTAGAATCGTTGATGCGCTATTCAATACGTGTGTGCCTTTAGGTGAGCAATTTCCATGCCGTACACAGAACAACACTGCTTACCTTGGCTAGTAATGCTATCAAGTCTGTGTAATCCTTGTCCATGATCTTTTCAGTTTTCGCCTGCTCCAGCAATGCATCCAATGCCTCTCTTCTTTCCTGCCATTTCTTTGATTCAATCAGCTCTTTAAAGTTGGACGGTAATTTAGCAGTAATATCCACTGGATCGGCGAAATCGAAAGCATCTACTTCGTCTACCTCCATGTCATCATCATTGTCGCCCTGAGCATCTCCTGCATGTCATAAAATGGTTAGTATGTACTCTTTAAAAGGGTGTATTGATTGAAGCTGTACCCATTTCCTGATCATCATGTGCTTGTTCTGGCTCTTCAATGGCCTGTTCAGATCGGATCAGACGTTCAGGGGTTGGTTTCTCGGCAGGTAATTTCGAGAAAGCTTCCTCTAATTCTTTGATTTGAACTGGTTTTAAGGTGCTGATACTTGGCATTAAGGGTTGCCCAATCCAACGGTATAATTCCACTGTTAATGCAGATGCCTCTGCTCGAACATTTTTGTCTGTGTGGCCAAATAACTTGGGAATCACTTTGAGAATAGGCTTTGGATTCACCTTTTTGATGCCAAATTGTCGAACAAGCTCTTTGAGCACGACGACTGTCTGAGTGACTAACTTGGGCTGCTTTGCATTCAAACCAGGCAGCACAAATTCCTAAGAAATATATTAATGTTTGCATATCCATTTTATGTTTGGGCTAGTATTTACAAGGACGGGCTCTGGTGTATCAATCTCTGCATAAAGTAATATAATGTCTGTTGCCTTTTGCTTTGTGCCTGCTTTGGTTGCTCCCAGACATTTCTCCACAAGAGCAGGTATCATGGTTTCGCGTGTGCTGTAAGCGTATAGACTTGAGCATAGGCTTGTGTATTAGTGTAATAAATAGATATGTACCTTGAAGCATTAGGTGCGTTGCTGACGTATTCCACAAGTGCAGCTAAACCAGCTTCTTGCGCAACGGCATTTGGCTCCACGGCAAGCTTCTTGAGAAAGGATTCGTATGTGTGAAAATCTCCATCTTCAGTGGTGATCTTGAATAGCTTTGTGAGATCCTCGCAAGCAGATACACGGGCCTTCCAAGACTAAATGGTTGCAAATGTGAGCAAGCGCATTTCAATGTACACTAGGTAGCCTACTTTGTGCTGTAATCTATCTGCTATTGATAAAGAAGAAAAGTCTTCTTCTTGGTTGTCCATCGTTTTATAAAGTATGTAAAAAAAAAAAAAGAAAGAAAGAAAGAAAGAGAGATAAAATGAAGAAGTATAAAAACTAGAAATACTTTATTTCCATGCTATGCCCACTACAAAACTCTATATCCACACGACACTGGAGACTCCGTGCCTATAAACGCGAAATTGGAATGTGATACACACATTCAAGATGAAGCAAACAAGGGCGCGTTCCACATTTGAGAAGCAAAAAAAAAAAAAATGTTGCCAATGCATACGACACAGCAAAAAAGCTGCTTTTTCGTTATAACAAGTGATAGACTTGTCATCTAGTCTCGAGGACAAATAAGCCCCGGCTTTGGGGCTGATTTGAGACCAAGGGGGGTCCATACTATTGTCTCATGAATGTCTACCGCAGGCCACGAGAAAAGAAACAATGAAATAGCAGCACCTCGAGCTCCAAAACGATTGGACAGTGGCACAATCAATGTTCAGATCAACATTGTAAATTGCAAACAGTTGCAATACAGGTCCATGTCTCCTCCTCAACTGCCCCTTCGATTACCATATTTCTCTCGTCTATAAATGTCTGTTGTTTTTCGTTATTTTTTCCTTTATTTTACCTTTATTTTTTTTTGTCTCTCTTTGTCCCCCTTACCCTTCTCATTTGTTCCTCCAAAAATTTATGCTCAAATTATGAATATCACTGATCTGCTTTTACCTCAAACCATCCACACTGCTGATTCTGAAAGAAAGGAAGAAATCATCAAACCAGTGCCAATTGACATGAAGGGTGCTCCGATACATGACGATGAGTTGATGCGCTTATGGGAATCAGCTCTAGAGAAATCTGGATTCGCAATGAAGACTTCCAATGAACGCAATACATTGACCGATGCCATCTTGTCGCCCATCACCTACTCTAGCTTTGTCAATGAGATTCCAGTCCACATCAAGGTCATTGGCAGACATATGAACGGCTCCTTCCGATGTCATATTGGCACTAGCAAAGCATCTCGTCCCATCCAATCCATTGAATTATGTCGTCAAATGAGGCTCTTAGCCGTCTTTTTCCGCACTGAAAATGTGAAATCGCAGCTGGTGTCTCCTGAGTTTATCTTCTTTCCAACGTGGCTGCTGCATTTGTTTCGCTACACGCAACATGACTCCACTCCTGGCAGAACAGATGTGCGCTTCCTGGAGAATGCAAACATGGCCAAAGAAGACCACATTTACCGCTTGAATCATGTGCTGAACACTTTATTTCGGTTCGATATTCGCAGCTTCGACCCTCACAAGATGCGATCAGCTATTGAGTTGGCTAATTTCCTGTTTGATCAGGCTGGTTTGGATTATCGTAACTTACCTCGCCCTCTGTTTGCCAATGAGACTCCTCCTCCTTCTTACCATCAACTCTTGGAACAGCCAGCCATGTATCCAGCTTTGCTCTTGCTGCTTCATTCTCCCAGGCCAACCAAGTTCAAACCCATGTGCCATAACTGCAATACCAAGCCTGCTTCAAGACGTCGCCTGTGTGTTGCTTGTTACCGCTATCAGCTCAAGCACAACGAGCCCAGACCTCTACGCTTAATTGTTGCCAACAGACCAGGTCCTCGTGTGCATCAGCACCACCAAGATGATCCTCCCCCTCTTGTTGCTCCCACTGGTAAATCATTGCCCATGGTCTTTTACTCGCCCAAGGTCTCTGCTGCTGCATCTCGCACTCAAAAGTTTTGTGCCAACTGCCATGTAAAAGAAACGCATCAATGGTATCGCAATTTGTGTGGTCATGGCAACTGGTGTGAAACTTGCAAGAGCTACTATCTTCGTCATACAAAGGTCAGGCCACCCGAGCTGTTTGTCAAGGCTGCCAAACGCAAGGTAGATGTCCGTACCTTGGTCAATTGGAAGACGTGGTGCTGGGATGATATATCTGCTGAGACGCTTGAAATGGCCACTGCTGCTGTCTTGTCCAACAATAACAACTACAGCTACTATACCGGCAACATGGGAAGTCCAACCACCAGTACAGCCTCATCCACCTATTCTTACCCTACTACTCCACCCCCTGCATCATCCGCAGTTCCCGCCAATTACTACTACTATCAGCAGCAGCCATCTCAAGCACAAAGAAGACAATCATTCTACTCTTCCAGCCCCTCATCGCCAACCACATCTACATGGTAAAATCATCACTCTACTGTCCTTTCATCTAATTATGCTACGCTTCCTTGTATGGTACACTATTTGTTTCTGTTTGTTGTTGTTTCCAACTGTTTATGTAACTATTTTTTATGATCTTCTTGCCAACTCTGTATGACCCTTCCATTCCCTTGCTTACCATCCGCATATTATATCATTATCATTACCATCATAGCAATAATAAACTCATCCTATAAACAACACATCTCAATGAACTTGATATAAGCTTGACGGAATGTTGGCTCAAATAGAAAGAGTAGCTTAAATCATGACCAACTGACTATACAAGTACTCACATATTTGCAAACATGAATGCCGACTATGTTTCTCGAAAAAGAAATCGACAAATTAGTAGGTCATCCTTTTCTCCTGGTCAAGCACCCCCTTTATTTGCAATTGTCTAAACATCACATTAAACATTTGATTATTCTTTTTCATGCGTTTGCATTTGTCACAAGACACCTACCTGGTATGTTAATGATCCATGATTTGAATTGATTTGCTCACGATCAACGTAGCCCTAGTGTTTCTATTATTACAAATCAAAACACAGCGCCTTTCCCCCCCCCCTTTTTTTTTCGTAATAAAAGTATTAGCCGATCTATCTTGCTACGCTTGATGTCGGCGTCGCCTTGTGGGCTCTTGCCGCAGACATTTCAAATCAGTATATATATATTAGAAAAAGCGCTATTATGTTTGCGGGCATGTAAATAGCCTCATGAGATGAAACTGGTCCCTGAAAAATCTGATTTTTACTCATCTCGTGCAGCGTTGCACATCTCAGTACAGAATCTTGCTTTGGATGTAGTCGATGTTAAATGCTTATCCTAGTAACTGCCTTGCTTTGAATCACCATGTGGGTCATCATATTTGGCAGAAACTGCAATAGTAAGGTAAAATGAACAGCGCTACTGATCTCTCCTCTTTAGAGAACTCATCTCAATAGCATACAATCACGTTAAATGGCAAGAAAAAGCAGCATGTTTTAATCATAGTTGATCATAAAGCAGGGTAAGAAATTTTATTGTTATCATTATTGCTGGCATATATACAAAATAAAAAGTAATTTGGTAGTGGCTGTTCATACACTATTAAAGCTACTACGAATTCATATCTGTTGATAACGAATGCATGAGATCCATCATGGCGTCTATAATAAATCACAAGTAAGCTCAGAGATTGAAATGAGTGGATGTACTTTTACTTACTTATACTCGGCGATCTTTCATGTCTCGAGTCTGGAATAGAGCTCATCAGTTGCTCAAACATGGGGTGTGTTGAGCCATCAGACAAATCAATGGGTGATGAAGCAGCATTTGCTCGATGCAACAAGAATCCATCAAACATATTTGCGGGTGGTGAGCCAAAGTCAAAACCACTCGATAAATGGTTTGAATCCAAAGGTTGAAGTGTTGGCATACCAGCTGTCATTTGAGCAAATACATCATCTGTCCAGACAGAATCACTGCTGCTTGGCTGCGAGGTAGAAAACACGTCTTGCGGCTGTGTTTGTTGTTGCTGTTGATGCTGCTGCTGCTGCTGCTGCTGCTGCTGCTGCAAATGCTCATCTTGTTGTTGCTCAATAAAGATGGCCGTCGGTGGTTGTGTGGGAATGGTCTCATGCCAATCTGAATGTTGGGTAGTAGTTTGAGCGTCCTTGGTTGTTTCTTTGGTAGTAGTGACACCTATCTCTGGTAAACCCTTTAGGCGTCTCCATGTATTGGTGCGATTCACGTCGTAATTAATAGCCAAATACCAAAACTCTGAAAAGAATTCGGCTGGCAATTCCCAACTTGCACTCATCGTCGGGTCTCCTCCATGGTAAAGAGCGCCATTCAGTAACATGGCAAAGCAACGGTCGTAATCCATTTGGTCCCTGAAAATAATCATTCGATCTCGCATATGGGGCGTTGGTATGAGGTCAATACGAGGATCGTGAGGTATAGCTAGCTGAAGAATGGTAGGCTGTAAGCGCACAGAGGATTTGCCAATATTGGAAATGGTAGATTGCACCCGTAATTGCAGGCGGATGCGCTGAATGGCACTAATACTGGATGGATTGGGCTGTTTATCATCGTCGCCGTTTTCTTCCGTGCTTGTACCATCATCCTTTTTCGACTTGCTTGCCTCCTCCTTGTCCTTTTTAGCCTGATCTCTCAGTTTTTTGTTTTCATTGTGCTGTTTGATCCATTGTGCCATGGTTTCATCATCGTCTTCCTCTTCCACTTTGACATGGTAAGGTGTGTCAGAGGACAAACTAGAGTGTCTTCGGTAGCCCGTAGCGTTTGATTCTGATGTCTTTTGTTCGCTATACTCGTCGTCTTGATCGTCCTCGTGCTGATTGCTCTCATCCATCATTTCAGTATCATCCTGCTCATCCTCATCATCTGCAGCATTGTACGTTGCCTGCTCTGGCGAGTCCTTGCTATTGGCAGGTGAATTTGCGAAATGTGCGGCCATGGTGGGTTTCAGATTGATGTTGTTTCTGGTATAAGCATTGACATAGGCTTCAATGGCATGAGGTGTTGTCTTTGCCATTTCACTCAATGCTTCCTCGGTCAAATAGGGCGAATGAGTCGGTATATGAATGTTGTGATGAAGACAGACAAACTGCAATGTAAGAACAACACCTTTTAAATACCAATTCTCGGCTCGATAAGCGTCCATTTTGCTCTTTGTTTGATTCAATTCCTTCACTGCGCTATTCCTTTGCTCTCTTAATTGACGTATAGTTCCCTCTAAATCCTTCAAATGCCGTTCTTTTCGCTCACGGAATGCTCTTTGGGCAGCTCGATTCTGTGCTTTTCTCAGAGCTGGAGAAGCTGGATTTGGTTTTCTGCCTGGCTTCTTTCTAATCTTTATAGGCTGTCCATGTTCATCGAATTGCTGCTGCGGTGGTTGCTGCTGTTGCTGTGGTGAATGTGTCATGAGTGGGACATTGCTGACATAAATTGCGCCTAATGAATTGGCGCTGTAAGCATTCTGTTGATGATGTGGATGTGGTTGCTGATGTGGTTGCTGATGTGGTGGTTGCTGCTGTTGTTGGTTATAGTACCACTTGTTCTTGTTGGAATCGGAGGGTAGAAAGCTGTTCATTGATTGACCTCCATAATGATCCATTTTTTTTTATACAGGGGCAGATGCAGGCGTACAAGAAAGTGTGTATACGAGTGAGAAAAAAAAAAGATACAAAAAGGAAAAAGAGAGAGAGAGCAAAGAAAGAGAGAAACAGGGGAACACGGGATTGTTTGGTCAATGGAATCACACGTGAATTAGTTTAATGCAAAGCTTAAATGTGGGGTTCAATTACCATCTGTCTATCAGATTTGATTCATAGTGTCTGGATTCAGTTTAGCCTTTCTCTTTCAGTCATTAATAATTTGATATGCTATTTCTTACCATAGTATTCCCAGAGAAAAAAAACATATACACTGTTGCAGCCATGGCTCATCGATTGGGCATTGGTGCAAATCATAGCAATCCAGTTACACAATAATCAATAGATTCCCCCGCAAATTAAGAGATTTCTTTTGCCCTGTGAATCATTTCTGGTTGCCATGGTAACTCGAGTTGATCAAATCTAGATTGACACCATGATGTTTTTTGTTTGATGCGAGTATGAATAGGATGTTTATTGATGATAAAAATAAGCAAGATGATGTAGAAAAAAAAAAAGATGAAATGGATGTAGTTTTCCCGCTTATATGATACATTTCCCATATAAAATTAAGCGTATGTAATGTTATATGCTTCTAGTCATGAATTCGGGTGAACTATTTTTGCAGGTGGTAAATTTCAGGGATGTCCCTTTCACTTAAGCCATCCATGAAGCGGCACCCACGACACCAGCCAAAGCCACAGACCAGCCCAAGACGGCTTGCTTGTTGGATCCACTCGTGTTGGAGTTATCCATGTTATTTTTTGGGGTGTTGGATCCATCACTCTTTCCTCCTGCCAAACTACTGGTTGGCTTGGTGGACATGGTGGATGTAACCATGATGGTTGAGCCGCCGCTAAGTGTGCTTGGATAGGTAGAGACAGAGGCTAGAGTGTATATGCAAGACAAGGATCAATCAAGGGCACATTTTCATTTCGGTGATATGCATACCTGACATGGATGCAGTAGCAGACATGGTGGCTCCAGTCGTAGTGGCGCCATCAGCAGCTGAACTGGTTGAATTGGAGGCATCAGCCAAGATATCCTTCTGAGCCTTGGGCATGGCAGATGGCCTATGTATGTAGAGATTGAGTATTTCATATGATAAAGCACCAAGAAATTCTTTCAAATGTACCAATTTGAAGTAATACATGCTTCCTGACATGAATCACCTCGATTTTCACATTTCACAATACAGCTATTTGCGGCGATAACTATTGCGTGTTTTACAAACAAATAGAGTGAATTTCCTAATATATCCATGATTTATATGTCATTTTATTTACCACATTTGTCCAGACAGGCTTGATCTGCTGCTTTACAGTTACATGCTGCCGAGCAAGATGCTACAAAGAGACCGAGACCCAAGAAGATGGCAGAAGAGAATTTCATGATTATTTTATGTTCTGATTGATTGAATGTACGGAAAAGAGAGCGAGAGATAGATGCGGATGCCTGCATTTATATACGTTTGATTCAAATTGTCGTTCTATTATTATTATGGCAGATATTACATTCGCCATGTAGTAGTATAGCTTCACACAGACCCTCTCATAGCAATCCAGGGGAGAGTTCAGTTTTTTTTGATATAACCAAAAGAGGTAACGGATAGTATTCAATCTTGCTCTTCATTACGTACTACTATGCTGAAATGTGTTACATGTGATTCAACAGAATAGCGCAGAGACAAGAGGCGAGTGGGGTTCCCCACATGTTAAAAGTACTTTAGATCGACAATCATTCAAGCAGAGAAGCCTATACATGCTATATATTTCTTAGCCTTGTTAGCAGTCGGAAGTCATTGTATCATGAAGATCCCCCATCGCTTTTTTTCGAGCAGATCTTTGTATAAAAAGGGGTGGGCTATTTTCTACAACCCCCTTTATTTTTCTACCTCTTTCCTTTCATCCCTTAAATTCTCACTCTTTTTTTTTGCCTCTAATTTTAATTAATTAAACTCATTCTTCACCACATGTCAGGCATCGCATTCGAACACTTTGATCCTGAATTGGAATTGGGAAATTTAGACGAGAATGGTCGTCCTATCAGGCCCCGTAAAAAGCCTGGAAGAAAGCCCAATCCGCCATCTCCTGCTCAAAGAAAGGCCCAGAACAGAGCCGCTCAAAGAGCATTCCGTGAACGAAAGCGCAGAGAAATGAGAGAAGCTGAATCTACTGTCAAACGATGCATATATGCCCGCGATCAAGCGTTGGGTGAGGTTCGCCGCTTGAAACGAAGATTGGAGGAACTGCAGTTTGAAACAAATTACTTGAAGGGTTATGCTTTAACCTTGAAAATGGCTTGTGTCGCTAATCAGGTCGAAGTTCCAAAATTCTGGGATACAGGTGTTACAGATGAAATTGGTTCTGAAGAATTGACCTTTTCAAAAACCAAAGGTGTGCCTCAGCAACTGGAAGTGTTCCTGGACAAGAAGATGAACATCATTAGCATTGATCAGCATGTTTCCTCGCTTCATCATTTGCAGAATGAAACCAATACAATGAGCGACAATGATCTACCTCCATCCTCGATTCTGTCTTGCTCGTCTTCTATCAGCTCTTACTTGGTCGATGAAGAACAGGCTGCTCAAAGTCCTCTGTCTTCTTCGACCTCCTCCTCTTCTTTCTCTGATGCTGTCAGCCCTGGTGCCTCCTCGTTTGTCTCTGATTTCGAAAATGCAATCCAAGCGCATAACCATCATCCTAACCTTGGCAGCAACAGCAACAACAACAACAACAATGACTTTGATATCAACGATACCTTATCATCTATTGCTCCTCAACTGGCAAGTCATTTGGAAACACCATTCTTCCAACAATTACTGAATACAGACTTGGTCGGTACTCATCTTCAACAACCTTGCGCAACACGTTATGCAACCTCACCTTCTCCAACATCAAACGACTTTCCCACTACTGAACAACAGCAGCAGATTGGCATGTCTTCAGCCAGCCCCAATGATATCATAGATCAACAGCAGCAACCTGTAGAGGAAGAAGAAGAGAAGGTGATTGACGCTAAAACCGGCTTGGTGCGCACTGTTACTGAGTATGTGGACACCATGGACGCAGATGACAGTTCCTCCTCTTCAGCATCATCAGCATCATCAGCATCATCAGTGAATTCGAGTGACAAGAAGGTATTCCCACCCATGACGCCATTAGATGCCATTCATCAGATGAGAGCTGTTAAGAACCTGAGTCCCTCCACAAGAGCTTTATTCACACCAAGTAAGTTTTACATTGTATCCAAAAACCTAAATTACAGCAATACTCACACACTGTCTAAAGCTGAATTGCAACGAACGATTCGCCATGACACTCGTATTGATGTAGTCCCTGGAGCAGCTTTACGCGACCATATGATTCTGTTTCAAGATTTCTACAATGCCAATGACCTCTTTGACTATTTAGCCGAGAGCTCCGTTTTTCTTGGGGGAGAATTGGGTAACCCTGACTCGTGGTTTGTGCCTCCAAACTTTTTCAAGCGTTATTGGTTCTTGTGTCCCAATCACAAACACAAGCGTATGGACAATGCAGCGGAAATCATGGTAAATTTGGGGAAAAAGATGATTGAATTGATGGCACAAAGAAAGCAAATGTATATTGAGCGTGATCAGTATGCCGACTACTTTCCTGAGCCTACAAAGGAGCAAGTGGAGCAGCAAGTACAACAAGCGGTGGATGACGAGTTCTTGCACAGAGATGAACAGCAGCATTTAAATGACATGTATCAGCAACAACAGCAACAATGCATGGAAATGTTTGCTATGGATGAGGACGATGATGAGGACATGCGGGATCAAACCTCAACATCAGCAGCAACAGCACAGCAACAACATGGACCACTGAACTTGCTAGATAGTGATTTGCCACTAGGTATGTTTTACATGGGATGTAGATAGTATAGCATACTGATGATATTGTGTATAATAGATCAATTTATGACAATGATAAACAATGCAACTATGCCTAGATTAGCACCCCATTCATTTGCTGTTTAAACATGCACTTTTGCTATCTAATATATACCCCACTCAAATCTTTTTTGCTATACTTTCCAACTCTTCTTTTTCTATACACACTTGTTTTTTTTTTTTTGCATATATCACCTCTCACTTCCTCGTTTTGGGAATGTTCTTGTATACAATATAGTCTCTCTTTCTCCTCAACCCTCTCTTTTTGCTCTATCATATGAATTAAAATTTACAGAAAAACCAACAAAGCTTAACAGTGAACCATGCATGCCACATGGTACCTGAAATGAAATATTATGATTTTCATATGCTTCTTGATAAGATTAAGGTTTGGTTGGGGTGGTACCAGCTTTTTGGGCTCGATATAGGCTGTTACATGTATTTATGCATTGTTTCGTGCTAATGAGAATAATCTGTCAAATATAGGTACATATCATATGTGCGTACATAATACCATAAATAAAAGGGGTTTGGGTATACAGCATAAAGCAAGTAGTGCTGGACGTGGTATGAAAACAATACATGCCTGATATATGGGCTATAAAATGTATAGTTGCTCATAACTGATTAGCGACATCTTCCAGCAGTTGGCTGCCTAATTACAAATCTCATAAACTCACCAACGTGTATTTTTAAATGTTGGAATGCTGTTGATATCAAGAGTAATTCAATTATCCTTCCAGATGGACAATATTTGAGGATTTGACGGAAGGATAAGAATCAACCAAATAATGAATGAAGTACAGTATAAAAAGATCGCTACGCTCAATGACGGCGTCGCACTGCGGGCTTTCATCGAAGACATTTCAAATCAGTATATCAAACAAGCAATTAATAGTAAAAGAAAGGTTATATCAAATTCAGAAGGGGGAAAGGTATCCCTTCCTCCCAATCCCCCTTTGCCTATACACTGATGTCAAACGAAAGCTATGATGGAGGCAATGTGAAAGACAGTCGAAGTTTCATGCAGCATTTGCACAGCACATTCTCCGTTCGTGCCACGTTTTCTGGCAGTAGAACTGTCGCATCATTTACTGTGTTGCTATTGAGATGGCAACATAAAGTTGGCAAGCAATGCGTAAATACAGCACTTTCATAAGATCTACAGCGACTTTTCTAAGAGATTTCATTGCAAAAGCCACCTTTATAGGGGGAAACCCCTCAACAATAGTAAAAAAAAATATATCGGAGCTAATCGATTGACCTTTCAAATACATGTCCCCTATTTAATTAGCATTGCAATCATCATTGCAATCATCAGAAAGGCATTTGGGCAGGCAACAGTGCCAAAATTGATTCCAACTCAGAATATTTTTCGACTCCAGATTGGACAAATTATGTTTTTTTCGACTTCTTTAATCTATTCTTTGATATTCGACTATATGAACTGTAATGATCATCCGATGCTTCCTAATACATTCTTCAAGTACTTTTCAAGGCGCTTCCAATGGTGCTGATTGTAATAGGTGTTTTGAGCGAAACTATTGAGCAATTTGGTAAAATATGAAATGAGGGTTTTACCGGAAATAGCCATATTTTGCATATGAAAACCTCATAAAAATGATTTCAGAGGTTGCTATGGATCGAAAGAAACATTTTGATTTGATAGATACCATAGTAAAAGTCTTCATTTTCAAGGTGAAAAATGCGATCGTTTGAATTTCGATGAAAACCATGAAGTACTCCTCATGCTTTTTGATCGATTTTTGGCCATGTTTTTTTTTGACTCAAAAAGTTGTGCAAAGGTGCCAGGAAGTTACTGCTACTCGAGTACAATTGTTTGGCGTCATTCCGGCGGCTCAGAAAGATCTACATGTCAAGATATGAAGGCTTGAAAGCTGTCAAATTTGGTTATGTTTTGCTTTATGGCTTTTATTTACACGACATGAACCACATCTTTAGTAGCTAAAGCCGTCTGGAAGGGCAGCTCTGCAACCTGTGCAGCTTGTAATTTCAACAGGAGACATATTGATTTTGTAAGACTAATTCATGCGAATTTTGATGCCCTATGTTGCTGGTAAGCTTATTATTAACAATGCAAATGAGAACCCGAATTTGCTGCTTGAACACTATGGTTGTACACCTTTGCTTGGCTACGGTAAAATCGATTAGGACTAATATTAACAAATGTTGAATTAGATGCAATATCACTACACTTGACGACGGTGTCACCCTGCGGGCTGTCGCCGTAGACATTCCAAATCATTAACAATAATAAACTCTGCTATATATATGTAGATTTTAAACAATCCATTATTAATAAAGAAAGAGAGAAATCGAATTTACTACTTAGATATTACGATTTTGCATATTCGCTTCGCAACAATCAAGCCCTCGTATAGATCAATACTATGAAAGGCTGGGCTGGATTATATGTGAATACAACACGTAAAAAGACATGGCTTACAGATTTACTGAGTTTATTAAAGATGAATGCATTGAATACCCCCCAAAGAGTAGCACGCTTTATTATGTTGCCTTTGTTGCAGAAGCGGGCCCATACTGTTTAATTTTATTAATAGGATGCTATCTATTGCACGGCATGAGATAGTAAAAAGATAACATACATGAAAAATTGTCTTTTAATACTATACGATACAATGTTTGCCACAATATTCATTAGATACTGTTTCTCAATCGCTTGATGACCGTGTGGAATATACAAAATAATCCAATCAGACTGTAGATAACGATCTTCATAAACTGCTACTCTAGTGGAATTAGGTTCTCGAAACTTTGTGGTACTATATTCGCTTTTACTATGCCATCGCGTTGTTGAACAGTTCGTAATATATGAATGTTATTTTGAATGTGTATGTTATATCAAATGTCATAGCAAGGTCTCACACTAAAGGTTTTAGGCTATTCTTAGGTCCTTTGGGTAAATCATGCTAATCATGATTTACAAATCAATTGTTGGGTAGATAGTAAACCTATTTGTATTATAGTTCATCATCATGCTGTAAACCCTAGCATAATGAAAAGTATATAAATGCATCCTTGGGATGCATTCTCAATAAAAGTGTAATTCTTTGGCAGATTCAATTTTACATTGTATTTTGACATAACAGTGTACTAGAGCTGATTCGTTTAAAAGTTACTGGCAGATAAATGTAAAATTATCAAAAAGTTTCCGCATAGAATGTTACAAAGTGTTTGTTATTTAATGGTGTTGTGAGCATAAGTAACAGATTTAGATAAATGTATATGTCTCAGCAGTATAAGTGAGAAAAAAAATAACCTTTATTATTTTTGATATTCATATTAACTATAAAAGTTACTAACAAAGTCTGTGTGCACCTGTGTCGTGTGTATAGGTATAGTTTTAGAGTAGACTTAGATAAATGTATATAAAAGAATAGAATTGAGATATAAGATGATCTTTATTGTTTTGCAAACTAAGTTGATATTTACACTAAATTAAAAAAAACTTACACACAAAGTCTGTGTGTACCTGACACCTGACAATGAAAAAAAAAAGGGGGGGGGGGTGCTTGCTTCTTTTATACTGACGCCGAAAGCTCACGTCTGGGCCACACTTCTTTATATAAAGACGCTGATGGTCTCACGTCTGACATTTAACTAATATTGAACCCTTATATATGGTGAGAAAATCTTAATCTTGTCAAATTGTGGTTTTTTTTAAATATATCACATTTTCATGGGTAAGAATGTAATGAATTGAAAAGTTTGAAATTGATTTGATCGACTTGACTATTCCCAATAACGGAAAATAATTTAGTTAAAATGTAATGGCAGAAGGTTCTTTAGATTATTCCGGTAATATAAGTATTGCTAGTTGCTGACTAGCAAATTCAGAGTGAATTCTTTTGGAGTTGTACTGTATAAACGTGCATCCAACTACTATCAAGGTAAGCTCTAGGCCATGGTATGGTATAGCACCACGGAGGTTTCATATATCGGATACTGGAAAATATGAACACAAAAGCGCCATCGTAGTTAATCAGAGATTAAAGGCTCTTCTTCCCAGAACATGGCGTATCTGATCAAGTTGTGGAATTTGAGGCTTTACAGACTAAAATTCACGGAGAAAAAAGAATAAAAAAACAGTAATGTCAACTTGATAAAGGTATGTTTTATTATCAAACTGACAGGTGTAAAGTAAACTGAAGTCTCTCTACTGGCCAGGTAGATGATCCTTCTTATATACTATAACAATGGATAAAAGTTCTATTAATTAGATTGACAAATAAGTCAACTCAGATCAACTAATGTCTAATCATGCTAAAAGACAACTCCAGCAAGCTAATCATGATTTAGCTCTGTCTGGATGAATAATTAGACTCTCATCCGAAGTACCCTGATCTATCCTTTCCATAAGGATAATTAATATCGATCTAGTAGCATGTATCCGATAGGTACAGTCTTCTTAGTCTATATTAATAGTACATATCTGAGTGTATATCGCTAAGCATACATCTTTAGCATGTATCTGGATATATGGCATGTCTATAGCATATCGTATGCATGTCTATAGCATGTCTCATATATAGTACAAGTCTGTAGTACATAGAGTATCTGTAGCTAGTATCACGGATATAAGCATGTGTCTTATAGCGTGGATCATGAAGTGCACATCTGAAGCAACAAGCTCATATTGCATTAATCTTGGTGCCTATCCAGATATGGTAAACATCCGTAGTCAATGTCGGAATACAAGTATAAGTCTATAGTGCCATTCATGTCCGTGGTGCCATCTATAGCCTATATCTTATATAGTATGAATCTTATAGTACTAGCGTATCTGAAGTCCATATCTTCTCATGATCATAGTATAAATCGATATCGTACATCTAATCCAGTGTACATACAGTTTATATCTAAATCTGGTAACTGGATGAACTGTCGGAATGCAGATCATAGTGGATGTATTCCACACAAGTGATTTCTTGTTTGCTATTTGGCTATGGATTGCGTGATATGTTGTTTCAAGGCAACACTTGTTGGTATCATTGGCCTTGAGGGGGTTATACCGTAGTCAAACGAAGGTGAATGGCCATGACAAT